ATATAGGACCATTTTCATCATAACAACCAATCAGACGTCTTCCTATGACCCTTTGGGCCCACTGTATAGGGTGAATTGCTTGGTATGTACCTAGGCTCGATCAGTGGCACAAGAATAGGCTATTGGTAGCACTTGGATGCTAAAAGCCAAAGTGACTTTTGTGCCATTTCGTTTGGTCGTATTAGAGGACGGCAATGGGGATTGGTGAGCTACAAGCCTGTGGCTATCTCAAAAGTGTCCTATTGGTGATATAGACGGGCTGTGGGGACTTTCACACTAGGCTAGAGGGTATGCCAACTCGAACAGATGCGGTGTATTTTCAATGAAATAGTGATTCTGCATCCAACACAAAACACCTCCTTCTAGTATTGCAAGTGGAATGATAGTTATCAACGATTTTAAGTTTGTCCTCTATTAGTTAGTAGTACCAATGGTAGTGTTGCTGAAGGGATTGTACAAAGACATGGAAGGTATCAGGATGCATCTGCATCTTGACTTTTTCTTGAACTCTGAGGCCAAACTCTCCATTGATGCAAATCTGACCTCCTGTATTGCTTCCACCGATGGACACAAATCTATTTGCTCTGATAGTCTCTATACGACCATAAGAGATCATAATCACCTATCTTGTTGCCATGATAGTCGTTCTTCAATAAGACCCACACAAGAAGGCGACGGAACTTATGGTAATCCAGATCCGAGAATGCTGGTCTACACGGGAGCAATCCGATGACATTTGTGACCTTCAAGGCGAGAGGACACGAGCTGATAGGGCCTTGAGTTTTGCAACTCCTCTTGATCCAGGAGAACCCAAAGCTGACTAGTTGAGCAGATGGAGGTACAATGTCCATATGGAAGACAATATCCAGTACATTTGGTTTTCCGATACTTCTGACGCCAGCAATACTACCACCGTCTTGTTCAAATACCCACTGCTGACATGTCGATTGCCGTTTATACTCAACACGTCCTGTCCGATACAACGGCGCACGTACTCAAAAAGCAAGACACAGAAGAATGTGTATTTCCAACTAGAATGACACTATACTATCCAATGGAACTGGACGACGATGTCCTGAAAGTGGATACGACAAACATGGTGCACGAGAAAGCGTCATTTGTGTTTGGTGGAAATATTGTCTCTTTCATTGGTATTCCTTGTTGTTGTTGGGAGTCGTTGCAGCAATGGCATTCAAGTCTTGGAATAAGAAAGTGAAATAGGACCAGCACAACCTACTATGGCAAAAACAGCGCAAACTTCTTGATAGCTACAAAGGCAAAAACGGTGAAGTCAAGATCCACCTGATCAATGATAGCTTCCTTGACTTATATCGTCCGAGCCTACTTGCAGCATTCCACCGTGTGGAAACGGTTGTTTTGTAGATTTGTCGAATACTCCAGACGACAGTAAAGTAAGTACAGTCGATTCAAGTTCCAAACAGCACACCTATAACTTTGCAACAGGAAGAATCGGCAATATCATGATTGTAACGACGGCGGCAGAGTCTGATTTTTTCTCCTTTAGCCTAGTGAAAGTCCCCACAGCCCGTCTATATCACTAATAGGACACCACTTTTGAGATAGCCACAGGCTTGTAGCTCACCAATCCCCATTGCCGTCCTCTAATACGACCAAACGAAATGGCACAAAAGTCACTTTTTAGCATCCAAGTGCAACCACCAATAGCCTATTCTTGTGCCACTGATCGAGCCTAGGTACATACCAAGCAATTCACCCTATACAGTGGGCCCAAAGGGTCATAGGAAGACGTCTGATTGGTTGTTATGATGAAAATGGTCCTATATTAAAAATGGGCTAAGGTCGAAAGTTGGTGTTTTCACCATTTCTCCAACTTCCATTTCGCCGTGACTGGCGGATGTTCTGTTAATTAAGTGATGGATATGGTTTTTGTCCGTGTAATTTTTCTCCGGACTTGTGAAAATTCCATGGCATTCACTCGTGGAGACAGACAGACGTAGCAACACAGTTATCATAGTTATACGAAGGCCCTTTTTCTAAATGTTACACCGTCTATAACCGCTAACACTACATTTCCGGGAATTAATTTCCCAAGACCAAACGGTTTTCGCGCCGTAGTTAGTCTACACGGGCTGCGAATTTTGCGTGGTTTTCTTACGGCGCGACTCGTAGAAAGTGCGGACAACATAAAACTTTCTGGAATCGGTATTGTATACTTATACCGATTAAAAGGTACGATAAGCCGAGTGGTATTGGAGGGGGATTTGGGGGTATCCCCCAAGTAAGGGGGTCTGGGGGAATCCCCCAGGCACTACCATGCCAATCAATTTATTTGTTCGCGCGTCTAGCATTTGACTCCTTCGAATATACGCAATAGTTCACGATCCAGAAAACAAAACCCAAGATCGAATAGTATCTGAAACTGAAATTGAAATGATGACACCTAACCGCGTTGCTGTTGTTACTGGTGCCAACAAGGGAATTGGTTATTTCATCGCCCTCCAATTGGGCATGTCTGGATTGTTCTCAAACATTATTCTTGGATGCAGAGACGTTCAACGAGGAACAACTGCTGCAAACCAAATCCAAGCTCTGGTGCAGAGCAAGGCAGACACCAAGATTGAGTTCAGTCCTCTTGTCATTGGCGACGAAGCGACTCATTCTACGTTTTGCGAGAAGATGAAAAAGGAGTTTGGGAAAGTTGATGTTCTAGTGAATAATGCAGGTTTCGCATACAAGGGTGTAGACCCTACCCCCTTTGAAGGTCAAACGGAAAAGACACTGAGCATTAATTATTTTGGACTTGTCGACTTTACCCAAAAAATGTTACCTCTAGTGCGAAAGGGCTCAGATCCTCGTATTGTCAATGTCGCTTCCATGGCCGGACGCTTGGGACAAGTCTCATCCGAGCTCCAAAAGAAATTTTCAGAGGACTCCTTGACCATTGATGAGTTGAATACCTTGATGAATCAATTCAAATCGGGTGTCCAGGCGGGAACCTACAAGGCTGATGGATGGAGCAGCTCAAATTACGGCATGTCTAAACTAGGTGTCATTGCCGCTACCAAGATTTGGGCCCGACAGGAACCCACCATAAAAATCAACGCGTGCTGCCCCGGTTATTGCGCAACTGATATGAGTAGCCACAAAGGATCTCGATCCGCGCAGGATGGCGCCAAGAATGCCGTCATTCCTGCCACCACGGAAAACCCGCCAACTGGAGAGTTCTTTAGAGATTATGAAATTAGCACATGGTAGTAAACTGCAATCCAAGAAAACAACGAACTTTGAGTGAATCATCTGATTGTAATACAACTTTTTAGGCAAATTTAGTACTGTTGGATTGCATATTGATGGCTCCACCCCCTCGTGCAAGGCCATTGAAGGATCGTTTTCGCTTAGTCTTTTCGTGCTGGAATCGCTTTCCCCGAACTTGCAATAACTTTTGACTGGACTTGGCGCCAAACCCATCCTCTCCAAAAACGTTTTCATAAGAATTATCGGCCATAGCACCTCCATCTTGGTAGGCTTTTTCTCCCCAGAAAGTGTCGTCAACTCTTTGGAATGGTTTTCCCTTGTTCAATGCCTGAGCACCGTCAGTTCCAGCTTCTGTCTGGATATCCACATTCTTAGACTTGGTAGGTGTCCAGTTGAGAGCTGCTGCAGAGGCAGCCTTGGCCCTTTCAGCCGCCGCCTTGCGCTTGGCCTTGAGTCGAGCCTGGACTTCGGCTGCGTCGTCTTCATCGGAGGACGAGGAATCGTCGTCACTGCCGTCGTCTGAATCACTATCGCTTTCCGAATCGTCACTACTGTCCTCATCACTCGAGACAGTAGAGACACTTGAGACTTCAACATCGCTGACATCACTATCGCTGTCATCGTCATTGCTTTCTTCGGGAGATACAACTTGCGACTTGACGGCTTCCCCAGAAGAGGACTTAAGTTTCTTCTTGGCTGGTTGTGCCGTTTCTTTTTCCTTTTCTTCATTATCAGAAGACGATTCCTTCGCGGCCGCTTTGGCGTTCTTTGGTTTGTCGGCTTCATCATCGGAAGAATCAGACGAGCTGTCACTATCCGAATCCTTCTTGTCTACTTTCTCATCCTCAGATTCACTTTCACTGCTTGACGAGTCACTGCTACTGCTCGAGGAATCGTTGGCGGCCATCGTTTTCTTGACAGGCGCAGCCTTCTTGGCAATTTCCTTTTTCTCCTCGTCATCACTGTTAGACTCACTGGAGGAGCTACTGCTGCTACTGCTGCTACCACTGGAAGACTTCTTGCGAGCGATAGGCCGCTCCTTGGGCTTTTCCTCTTCTTCGTCGGAAGAAGAATCACTGCTGCTGCTGCCGCTGTCACTTTCATTGCTCTTGGCAGCAGCCTTGGCGGGGGCCTCATCGACCTTCACCTTTTCTTTGCCGTCATCGCTATCAGAGTCCGAGTCCGAGCTACTGCTACTGCTACTACTGTCCGAGTCGGAAGCGTCCTTGGTGGCAGACTTGGTGAACGATAAGGCTCCCTCCAGAGTAGGAATAGACGAGAGGCTATACTTTTTCTTGATAGCCTTTTCTAAGGTATTTGCAACCTTGTCAAATCCCATGGTGGAGAGCTGGTGATAAATGGCAATGGCCATTTCTTGTCCACTTTCTTCCGTCATGTTGAATTGAAAGTTGCTGTTGAGTGTTTTTCTTTTTTGATGGCGGGAAAAATGAGGATTTCTGACTTGGTTCAGGTTGGTTGGAGAGAGAAGTAAGACGGGCGAATGCCTGACCGTGTAATTGAGTCGACGGAGTCGACTGAACTATGAGAACTTAACTGAATGTCCATTGCCCGCCAGTCCAACCATCAACATCTCCAACCAAGTTTTTTTCTTCCATCGTTGACATTACCAGCCAGCTGCACTGCTCTCTCTCTCTCGGACACACACACCCAAGTCCAGCAACAGTAGAGTATGAGTGCACGTTCAAACCGTCGTTCGTCGCGTGCCCGCAGAGGAAGCGGCGAAATCGTTGCCCCAGGCTACGGCACGAAAGCGGACGTTCAGAAGTTGCAAAAGGACTTGGGGGGAGCTTTGCCTGTCATTGCTGTCACCGCCATGCTGCGATCGGAAGGACGTGGAATTCGGGGAGCTTCGGATCCAGATGTTACAACCACGGTGCAAACTTCCAGTGCCTGGGCTGATTTCATTCACGATGAAGGAGCAGGCACTATTTCGTTTGGAATGGCTGGGTCCACCAGTGAGGAACCCGCCAGCAAGAAGCAAAAAACGGACGAGGGCAACGCTGCTGATCCTCAAGAGCAATCCGATTATGATCTCTCTGTGCTTGTCCCGAGTAAAAAGAAGGCCCCAACTGGTACTTTGGTTCAATGTGGAACCCTCGATTCCTCTGTCATTGGCCGCAAAGCCATCAAGAGTACAGAAACTGCCGTCTATCATTTGAATATTCCCACTTCTTTATTGCCAAAAGTAGCCATCGCCAAGGTTTGCACTTCCTGTAATGCTTCTCACACCATTGCTATTGATCGGGCCAACCAAGCCTATGGCTGGGGCCGCAACGAAGCTCTTTGCCTCGGGGACGAAGTGGGCGAGTCCAAGGTAATCCCCACGCCTCAAATCATTGCTTCCAATATCCAAACGGCAGCCCTGGGCAAATCGCACACCATCTTTCTGCAATTGGATGGAAGTCTGCATGCCATGGGACAAAACAAGTCGGGACAATGTGGTTGGCGACAAAACGTCAAGTCTTCCGGGACTTTGAAGCCTTGTCAAGTGAACAATAAGGATATCAAATTTGCTCGAATCGCCTGTGGAGAAGACTTTTCAGTGGCTTTGGACGAAGAAGGCATCCTGTACTCTGCTGGATCCTCCGAATTTGGTCAATTGGCCAATGGTGAGACGGGAGAGTATTTCGTTTCGGCCAACAAGCTGGCCTTTGCCAATTCCTATGGCTTTGCGGACCGCACCATTTTTCATCAATCGGCCAAGGATTCCAGTCGGAACGATCAAATGAAAAAGACCACGCAGATCACCCAAGAGATTCGGTTGCAAGACGTGGCCTGTGGAAAGCATTTTGCCATTGCGCTTGAAGCACCGAAGGAAAATGGGAGTTCCACTCGGGTCTTTTCGTGGGGATCGGGAAACTATGGATGCTTGGGACACGGTAGGCAACAAGATGAATATTACCCGCGAGTGGTGGAAATGCTGCCAAATGGCATGGTAGGCACCAATGTTGCTGCCGGTAGTACTTGTTCGCTTGTGTTGACATCCAATGGACATGTCTACTATTGGGGACAACATCAGTCTTCGAAGGATGCTGTTATGAAGCCACAACTGGTAGACGCTCTCGCCAATAACCAACACGACGTCAAGAAGATTGGCTCTGGAAGCAGCTTTGTGGTCTGCAGTACCAGTCTGGGTAGTACCGTGGTGTGGGGACAAGGACCATATGGGGAACTTGGTCTTGGATCCAAGAAATCTAGTTCCAAGCCAGCCTTTGTGGAACCATTGGAGGGTATCAAGATATTGGATTTAGCTTGCGGACAAGGGAGTGTGGTATATGTCGTGGAAGAGGAAAAGAATCTGCCTACCCTAGATACTGCCGCCGTGGAAGCGGCGTTGGGTTAAGGAACATGTAAGCAAGATATAGTACGCTATTGCTGATATGATAACGTAAAAAACACAATTTGACATGATTGAAATTGTATTTCGGAGAAGGAAAAAGGATTTGTCTCTATCATGGATGTTCTTTTTTGTGGGAGTATTCCCAACATCCCAACATACTGCACCCGGAATCCGTTGAGTCACAGACGAAGAGCCTGGCCGAAGATTGGTCAAGGACGGAGATTCGGCATTGTTTTCTCGCAATGGAGCTTGCAAGATGAGGAAGACAATGGCAAGAGCATGACTGTATTGGCTAATGCCAGCAACAGTTTTTGTTTTTCCCACCCACACCACCCTGGCTCTCTTTTGCACCATTGCTCGGTACCTGGTACATTATTCTGTCCGTGTTAAGTCGCAAACCAGTTCCTAATTTAGTACCTTCGCTACTATGCCAATCCTACATACCCCTTGTATGTAGCATTCTCACACTTTCAATGGTAGCATACCGGTACGTATGCAATTTGACAGACAGGAATACATCATGCGATCCAAGCTCAGGAGTGGAGGCGGTGCCAGGTAATCTTAGTAGTTGAGATGCGTATACAATTGCACCTTCCCACGTGCACCGGGTCCGATATTTATTGGGAGTGCTTGTGGAAATATCTTGGGTGGATACCGTTGGCATCGAGGTTTGAAAGTATCATATTCCACGTGCGGTCAAAGACAAACGATTCGTTCGACCAACCCTATTTAACACATCGCCAGTACATCGCTAATTTTTTTAGCTAGCAGCACAAATTCAAATCATCTTTCACATCGGAGTGAAACGCTCAGATTATCTCACAATTTCAGCAATTCAGCATCTGTCAATCAAAATGAAGTTCTCTATTTTCGCAATTTTGCTCTCCACTGTCTCCGCCGTGGATGTCAACCTTGAAGGATCCATCTCTACAGAGTCGTCTCTTGGAAAGAAGATCTTGTCCAATGCTCGTGCTTTGAACCAGAACAACAATGGATACACGTAAGTTTGCAGAAAGACATTTCAAACATTTTGCCACATCGAAACAATGTACTAACATTTTTTTCTTATCGCGTCTACATCACAGCTCTTGGATGCAAAACTACTCCATCAAGTTTGACGGATGTGTTCAAATTCCCCGCTTTGAACGCGAAGAAGGATTCCGCTCTGACCTTTTGGCTAAGTTCAAGCTTTGCCCATCTGACTCTTGTGGCAGCTGCTGGAACGGAGGAGAATATGTTGTTGACTTGAAAGAACTCATTGAAGCCTACCAAGAAGCCAAGCAGATGGAGAACGAACAAGCTTGTGAAAACGCTGTCCAATCCTGTGAATACCAATGCCAAAACGGATATTACAGCTACCAAGGAGATGATGACGAAGGTTGCCAATACTCCTGTTTGGCTGCCCAATCCATGAGCTACTGCATGCAAGATGACAATCAAGATCAAGCCATGGATGACATTGGTGAATGCCGTGCCTTGAACGAACAAGAAGGACAAAACGGAAACAACAATGGAAACAACGGTTACAACGCCAACTACAACACCAACTACCAGGTTTTCTACGTTGGTGCTTACTGTACTTCCAAGGGTGTTTTCGCCGGAACTTTCAAGGATTCCGCCTGTACCAAGAAGGCCCCCAGCGGAACCTACGAAAAGTTCAACTACGGATCCAGTCTTCCGACTGAAGCCCTTGTCCCCTCTGGATGCATTGCCAGTTGCGATGCCTCTGCTTACCAAAACAACGATAACAACAACAATGGCAACAACAATAACAATAACAACGACGACCAAAACCAAAACGCCGTCGCTGACGTTTGCGAAAACCTTTACGAGCAATCTGCCAAATGCGAAAAGAACGTCAATGGTATCACTTACCCAGACACCAGTGGCTGCGAGCTCATCAAGGAAATGCTTCCACGCGCCAACAACGCTTTTGCTCAAATGCAAGGAAAGAAGTCCGCCGCTGCCATCTGGGCCTGGATCTTTGGAATTTCTTGTGTCTGCATGGGTGCTTACATCTTTTTGCTTCACAAGAGAGTCATCCGTGAACGAGTTGACATGAACAAGCTTGGCCTTGTTTAAAAGAGCCACAACCCCTTCTTGGTGCAAACCATAGGAGTTTGTGTTTTATTTTGGCTTCTGTGACACCACCACCTCGATCATTCCACAATTTTAGATAACATTCGGGAAACATTTCTTCTGGTATGCTTTAAAATGCTAATATTTGAAAATAATATTTTTGGCTTGACACAAAAGATAAGGTTATTGCATATGGACCTATAGTGCTTATCATGCATACTGGTACCCACAACGTATTACTCGTTGCAAGATGACTTTCATGATACTGATATATGAACTACCAGACTTACTGTACCGCCGGTATATGTACCAGTACTGGTACAATACGCACTCAAATCGCTATCCCTTTGGCAAAAAAGAGCGATTCAAATGATTCATTCCCCAAAAGTCTGTTCTTCGGGACCATAATCACAATACGTGTGGCACTGTTTTTTGAGTACATTGACACGTACAGCTAAAAAATCGCGAGCCCAACCGTTGTTCCAGGGAGGTGTTCTCTCTCGTCAAGAGTCTTATTGTTGCCTTCAACTGTTGCTAACTGGCATAGCTTGTTTGTACTGTAGGCACATTCTCGTCCTTCTCTCTCACGACAACGCAGCCTCCACTGAGGTCCACGCTTGTAGCGTCCAACATCCAGTCATCCTTTGTTCTTCAAGTGAAATAAAATAAATAGCAATTCAAGAATGGATCAATTCGGCAACAACATGGAAGACTTTAGTGAAGGTGGAAATGATTTTCTGCAGAACATGCTGTACGAAGATCGATCCAATAATGACTCGAGTGGATTAGATGCTGATGCCTTGTTGCGAGAAGCTTTCAATCGATCAGCGACCTCACTGGGTTCCGATCCATTGCTGAAAGATGGAGAAGACGATGTGATGATGGATGCGGGATTTGACAAAAGTCCTTTCTTTGCAAAGAGTCCATTGAAGAGCCCGGAAATCATGAGTAAACTACTACAAAAGAGCGGATTGCCAGATTTAGGGAGTCTGACTCCTGGTACTGGTACTAGTGGTAATGCGGTTTGGGGGTCATCGGCTCCGGACAATCAAGGGTCCTTTGGGCAACAGCAGAATTTCTTTTCTCCACAGCAAGGAAATAAACCACTGAACGCCACTCTGGATGCCACACCGCTAAGTTTATCGCTAGGGAGAGGCGGAGGAGGCATGTCATCCAACAATAACAATTTTGGAAACAACAACAACGTCAACAGTAATAACCCGTTTGGAGGAGGAAGTGGGGGTATGGCTAGTAACAATAGTTTTGGAATGGGGTTCGGCAATTCCATGCGGCGAAAGACTTCCAACAACAATATGACCAATGCCAAATTTGGGGGCTCGGTCATAAAGGCTAGCATAAGTTCCAACAAAATGAGAGCCCATAAGAGTGATGGTTTACTGGCACGAGCCTTTAAACAAAAGTACAATTCCAACAACCAGTTGAACAAGACGAATAACAATGCGGAGATGACAGTGGCTGCTCAGATCCCGCGGAATGCCATTTCTTCGTATGTACCCGATTCCGGTAATCCTAGTGGTCCCACTCCTACCTTTGGTAATGCTTCTACGAATCAGGGAGGACAGAATGCCAGCTGGGGTTCGCAACCGGGTCCATCCAACAGTACCAAGCAATCACCCTTTTCCAAATTCTTGGCGGAAAATTCCAGTGGACGCAAGAACGATACATCCATGATGCCCAACAATAATTACCAGCAGCAGCCAAAGCAGGATACCTTTGGAACGGTACGATTCAACACCAATGCCAATTCGAAGTCTTCTTCCACGATGCACGATGCTTTGCGAATGTACAAGAAACAATCCAAAACACAATCTGCTTTGCGCCAGTCATCACAGTCATCATTACGGAAGCACTCACAGTCTGTGGCAACCTTTGGAAAGACGAACATAGAATCACTCCTTCCACCCCAGCATACCTCTGGTTTCAGAAGCTTTGGCACGGGGAACCAGAATTTCTCCTTCAATCTCAATCGAAATACCCCAAATAACACAACTCCAATACACAAGGATGCTGATGCACCCAGCCTGCTACATCAATCTTGTCGCTTGTATCCAACCACCGCCGCAGTTATGGAATCCGCCTTGCGGATGGATCCTGATGCGGTGCGCAAGCCCATCACGCCAATACTGGAAAAGGGGCAGGCCAAGAAACTACAAAATACCTACGGTTACCCTTTGAACATTGCTCTGTCGCATGGTGGAAGCTTGGAGGTCCTCAAAATGCTAGCGGAAGCGGCTCCAGAAATTTTGCTGGAAAAGGACGGGACAGATGGATCGAGATCCTTGGGAATTGCAGTCATGGCCAACTATGACTGGTCCATTATTAGTATGCTTTTGAGGACAAACGTCAAGTGCATTCAAGTGGCGGATCGAAGAGGGAATTATCCGCTGCACATTGCCGCCAATCATGGTCTTTCTTTGGGGATTGTCAAGAAACTCTATCGTCTATTCCCCAAAGCGTTGCAAATGAGAAATTTCCATTCGGAAACGCCTCTGGACATTGCCCAACGATCCACGCGTTGCTCGGAAGAAGTCATGAACTTTTTGCAAGCAGCGGCCTTTTCGGGTCTGGAAAGTGCGGCCAATCACATGCAGACTCTGGAAATGGACGATCTCATGGAAACCAACTTATAATATTAGTCGTCGGAACCAATCTACCAGTTACTTGCCCTCTCAAGCAATAAAAGCAATAGAGCATATAATGGTTACAATTTTAAAACAAAGCTTCTCATCTCTACCTACAACTCATCAATATCGGAATCAGTGATAAAATCATCAGAATCAAAGTCTTCCGAATCGCTAGCAAAGTCATTTTGGTTTTCATTCCACAGCATTTCATTCATTACATTCGACGGCTCGACTGGTATCTGGAATTGATAGTAAGTACCCGCGGGTGTTTCAAAATAGCTACCACCATTGGGATCGGTAGAGACGCCCTGGGCGTTTTGATGTTGTTGTGGGACATGTGGCGAAAGGAACCCCTCTACTTGCTTCACATAATCCATCGTGAATCTGGTTGGTGGAACCTCAACAAGTGCTTTTTGGACATCAATCATAGTCAATGTTTCATCGAGCCGCTCCATTGGCCCTTTCCGACAGGCACTCTGCAAAATGTGATACAAGTCAGATGGAATGTATCCTTCTGTTTGGCCTGCAAAATACTCGAGAACTTCACGTTCAATTGGGGGCAACTTGTGACCAACCATCCATTTCAAGAATAAATCGAGGCGGTCATCATAGGTGGGTACACCAACGTAGTGTCGTTGTGGAAGGCGTCTCCAAACAGCTGGGTCACAGTCCCAAGGTCGGTTCGTAGCACCAATAAACATAACTTTTGGATTGTTGATTTGGTCAGAGGCGACACCATCCCACCATTGCAGCCATTCTGTTTTCATGTCTCGGCTCACTTCGATTTCTTCTGAATTGCGTAATTTGAACAATCCATCCAATTCGTCTAGCACGACAATGCAGGGGCCAAGGAGAGAAACAAGCGAAAATAGGGAGCGCACTCTCATTGTACTCTCTCCGTAGTACTTCTTCTGCATCAAAGATGGTGTGACTACCAAAGTAGGCAAGTTACTTTTGTTCGTAATCGCTTTCATCAATAGACTTTTTCCACATCCCGGAGGTCCCCAAAGGGCGAGTCCTTGACGCCCAGATTTGACAAAACTGTCATATGGTGTTACAGCTCCTCTTTGCGCTCGTGCATTGAAAGATACCCAATCATTGATATTTTGCTTTATAGCGCCAAGTCCTCCCACAGAATCAAATGTAGTTTTTCGATCGGACTGAAGCAGGCAATCATGCAACATGTTTGCTTGGTCCACTGTCAACTGCATTACAATATGTTCTAATTGCTGTATCGATAGACCTGCCTGCTCATAGAGGTTGAGAGCAATTGATGCTAGCCATGGCAAGGAGAGAGGTGGTTTTGGGGTGATTGCAACTTGGCTTTTTTCTATCCATGCAATCAAATCTTTTACTTCGCTTCTGGAAAGTGCATTTTGACTGTTCGATGAGAATTCGTTGTTGAGGTCTCGTATCGTAGAAACCAAATCTTTGCACAGTGCAGCTACCAGGTATGCAATGACACCATATTGACAGTATGTCATGGCTTTTGAAGCTGCTGCTGAAAAATCCCCATCCTTAACGAAACCAAAACGGCGATTCGACAACCATTTTGGTCGTTTCCATCGAAGAGTGGGTAATTGTAGTGCATTGTTATTTTGTTCTTTCTCTCTTTGAACACTACTGCTCTGCCTTGAAACGCGTGGCGGTGACTCCCTCGAAGACGAGCCATTTGTCGTTGACAATGATGTGTGCGCGAGAACCAGCAGTAATAATAATGACGCTTTCATCTTTCCATTGTGGGTCAGTCGAATTACAAAATATTTTTGAGAAGTGTTGAGGTTTCCTTCTTTCTTTCGTTGACGGGCGATGGATGGACGTTTTACTCGAGTGAGTCATTTGTGGTGACATGACGGACACTATAAACACGTCATACAGTGTATGCTATGACATTCTGATTCACCAGGATGACGATGTGGACACAAGAAAAGTCCTCGGTAGTTACTACAGTATCGTTTACATTTCAGTTCAAATCACAGTACAACAAAGACTCGAAAATGAAAGTATCCATCGCTACAGCACTCTGTCTCTTGCCCACCGTGCTATCATTTGGCGTTGTGCCACCAACCGCTGTTACAGTAACCACCCAATCAAGGTATGTTGAGATGTTTTACAGCTGACTGAGTTCTTTCATGACGAGCTCAATTTCTGACGTTCGATTTCGACATAGCCAAGCACTCTTTGCCAAGGGGTTTGATAAATCTAAGAAGCCTGCGAGCAAGGAGAAATCTGCTGCTCAAATTGAGAGAGAACAGATGAGCAATAAGTATGACGACATTGCCGCTTCTGGGGGTCAAGAATACGCCATTTTCGTCCGCCAGTTTGGAGGAGAGGACGGATCCTGGTTGCCATGTGGAAGCATTGCTGTTCCTAGAGGAGCTCAAGTTTCTGATGCCATTTTTGGAAACGAGGAACCACTCAAGCTATCAATTGTCAGAACTTTCCCAAAGTTGAAGGGTTTCGAGGCAGAATTTGAATACGGATACAACCTCAAAATTTTCCCAGATGATCCAGTCGAAGTTGCAACTAAGAACATGAAGCCTGCTGGTCCTTCGATTGGTAACTGGATCTCCAATGTTCTCAGCCCCATCGATGCCAGTAAAACCCCACCACCTCAATAAATGTATCATTAGAGAAACACTTGTACGCTAACTAAAATGCAAAAAACGAATTCGCTAGATTATACAATGCATGTCTATCAAATATGAGACATCGAGAGTTCAATTCCCATCTTCATCGTCTTCAGATGGCGCTGGATCAGAGTCATCACAGTCGTACAGAGGTACAGCAAGCTTCTGCTGAAACATTGGGTTGCTTTTTTGCGGTTCTTGCATACGCTTTGCCTTTGCCATCATGTGGGCCATCCTAGATCCACCTCCAGAGCCAACCTGAAGGTTGCTGAATTCGTCAAAAGGGTCATTGTCCTCCTCGTCGAGGTCATCACGATTTCCCATTGGTTGTGCTTGCTGCTGCTCCAAAAACGCCCGAGCTTGGGGTGATTTATCAAGGTATTCTCTTTGACGCTCTTGGAAAGCGTTTCTTCTCTCATGGAATTCTTTATAGTCCTCATCGACCTTCTTACGATCCCCCTCATCGCCGCCTAGACCACTCAGATAATCCCCGTTGTCCCATCCACGCCCGCCAACCATTGGGCAGCCCACAGCATTGTACTTTTCATACTGTGGTGCGAAAGCATTTGAGAAGCTTTTGTTTGTGAATGCAAGCAATAGCAATAAGAATTCGATCTTCATGGTTGCCATCTGCTGTTCTTTTTGTGAAAGCAATTTGAAAACGAAAAATGCTCGACCAAATCGACCGCTTAGGACAAATGCAGAAATGGAGATATGAAATTACGACGACGCCTATAATCTACGAGTACACTTCTTCCATGTCCTATAGTAACACAGCCAGCCTATCAAACACAAACTTTTAGCTACTATTGGAGATAGTGTACAACGGACCTGTGTCATGATTACACTACGAATACGCCTACTCTACACTTCTTCAACGTCGCTCCTACAGGGGGCCCAGTAAGTGAACACACCAGCCAGTCAGCTTATCAATCCCAAACGTTTTGATACTATTTTTAAGGCATCCAGCTGAAGTATTGGTTGTAAGACGGATTCTTGATTGGAGGATCCATGAGATCAACGAAGCCATAATGACCTGACGCGTAACCAGAGATAAGGTCGTATGCGTAGTAGAAGACGATGCAGGCCCAGATACCAGACAGGATAAGCTGTTTTGGCGATGTATTGGCGTTTCCGTAATCTCTCTTTGGTGCTCCCTTCTTTTCGGCCATCTTTTGCACGGCCCAGTCTTGTGGGTTTTCGAGATAAGCGTCCTGTCAAACAATGCAGTTAGAAAGGTACAGTATAGTACTGAAGGAGAAAACGTCTAGGAAACTTACCATGTTTCCTTGGGCCTCCTGAATTCAATTGAAAAACGCAATTTACAATGGAATGTTGAGAAAAATGAATGAGGATACACCAACTCAAACAGAATATCGGGTCATGATATCTCTGTAGCACTCACAAGCCGATCGCACTTCTCGGTGGCCATCATCTTGTAAACTCCTTGTTCGTATTCCTCACCATTGAGAACACGCTGGACGAATGGGAGGGGACCGGCGCGGATCAAGGAACCTAGTAGTACATCATCATTGTTGAGATATTGTGAGGAGCAGTCAGCATGAAGAACGATACATTGTGAGAATGTATTGTTTGAAGCCAGAATCATAGATTTCGAAAGCGATTGACAACTCCAAGGGATCGGCACAGTGATCAATATTTTCCCATACATTCATGGATTTACTCACCAACTGGCCCATAGGCTGGAGTGGCTTCTTCGTCATTTTGAGGAATCCATTTTTGGGTGGTTGGATCGAACTTTGGAGCCATGTCTCGAGCTGTGCTGGATCGACCTGTTTGCTGGTGAGCAGGGGCAAAAGCAGATGCTCCTTGGAAGGCAGCGAGAGCAACGCAAAGAAGAGAAAGCCTGGCGATCATGGTTACGTCTTCTTTGCTCCAACGTTGAGAAAATAAGTGGATCGATCCAGCACCTCGTACGTGAAATGAAACTTCAACTTCGAAAAGTAGGACTAGTTCGATTGATGCTGCCGAAGAATTCAAATCAAACTCATCATCATTGAGAACACAAAAGATGAACACGACCACCGGTACGGTTTCGAGAATCATCCTTGGATCTTGCAACTCACAACACCACGAGCATCAGCCACTTTGGCCCGTAGTTCAGTCTCGGAACCCAACTTCCTTTGTCTGGGCGGGTGATGCGGTATATGCAGATGATCGAAAAGTAGAGAAACAGATACTGGACGCATCACCCGAATACCTGAAACACCTTTTGCAAGAGCAACGAAATGAGCCTGGGTACAAATCACTCTTGGAAAGTGGTGTAGAAATATTTGGGACGATAGATGATCATGATTATGGTACAAATAATGGAGACAAAACGTTTCGTTGGAGACGAGAGAATGCAATTGAGTTTGTCAACTTCCTAGACCTTCCTGACACCTCACCAATGATGAAACGAGCAGCAGCAGGACTGGGCGTGTATGGTGTCCAAGTTTACGATTTCAACGAACCTAATCCAAGGAAACGGTTATTGTCAGACGAAGCTGCAGGCTTGGATCCAGACGTAGTACCTGATCTCGATCCATCCGCGACACAAGAGCCTTTATCGATAGGCAACCGACTGGTGGCAGTTTTTGTGCTCGATGTCAGGAGCAATCGAACACCATGGCCAAAAACGCTCAAAGAAAAAGTGATGAACAAAAATGATGGTTGTATGCTGGGAGATGAGCAGTTTAAATGGTTTGAAACCGCCATTGGTCGCTCCAATGCTACTGTTAATATTATTGTGACTGGATTACAAGTACATGCCGAGAGATATTACGACAGCGCCAAGGTAGAAAACTGGAACGGATTTCCAAAGTCACAGCATCGCTTGTACCAGGCCTTGCTACAGCCCAACGTTCGAGCACCCATCGTGATTTCGGGCGACGTTCACCATGCGCAACTTCTTCGCAAGGACTGCAGACAGAGGGGATCAAACACACTCCGTCCCCTGTACGAGGTGACCACTAGTGGCATGACACATTCATGGGGATCAGTTGAAACTTCTACCTGTGGACGAATCCGTCTCGGTCGTCTCTGCAATGTGACGTACATGAACCATGCCAAACGATTTGTGCTTCACTTTGCTCATCATATATTTCCGTGGAACGAATTGATTGTGGACGATGATTCCAATCAAATGCAGTACACTTTGAACCTCAACGTTGCAGAGTTAGAATTCGACTGGGAAGACCGTCAAGTCTTTACTCGGATTTTAGGCCACAAAGGCCAAACGATTCTGGAACAACGATGGCCATTTCGAAGCTTGACCAGTATTGAGGAAACCATGGTTGCTGATAGAGATTTTCAATCGTTGTCGCATCGTTTGCAACGTCAAGCAACAATAATAGATCAAGACGACTGGATATGTGTGCATTATACAGGTAGCCCAAGCCCGGTTTCATTTGCCATGGCTAGTATAGCTACTGCATCTTTGGTTTCAATCCTTTTGAGTGCCCCGTTGTTGATTCCAATACTCTTGCTTTGGTTGCTACTCACCAAGCGGCGGAAGCGATCTTCAAGTAAGCAAAAATCTGAGTAAGACTATGGAAACATAATGCATCCTTTGCTATACATTCATACAGTCTCTATTTTAAAATCTCCCACCACGCACTGGGGCAAAACTGTTGTTCGGCAAATGCAACTATTTAGTTGTTGGCGAAGTCAACTCCCTTTTGGATTTGTTTCTTCAAGTCTGGAAGCATCTTGTCCAACCATCCTTGTTCGTAGGCGGTAATTTCTCCAAATCCTAGAACTTCTTCGACACCATCCTTGCCGAATTTGCAAGGTGAAGCAAAGTATGGGGAATCTGTCAAGGTAGATTCAACATATGCGCATTGGACAATGCTATCGTCTCCATCCATTGCCTTAAGAACATTTTCGGCAAACACATATCCAGCATAAGCCATACTCAAGGTGGCGGAACCGGCTCCTGCCTTGGCCTTGACGACTTCGTCACCACCAAATTGAGTTCGGACGGTCAATGCTTCCAGTTCTTCATCAGATGGGCTGAATCCCTCAACTTGAGAGAAGAGAGGAAGAATAGTGATTCCAGCGTGTCCACCAATCACAGTGACATCAACATCGTCGGGGTTCTTGCCCATGGCGTTTCCGACAAAAGTATTGGCGCGGCAGACATCCAAAGTGGTGACACCGAGGACCTTCTTTGGGTTGTAGACGCCCTTCTTCTTGAGCACTTCAGCGGCAATTGGAACGGTACTGTTGACGGGGTTGGAAATAATGGCCAAAACGGCGTCGGGGCAGAAGTCTCCACAGGCTTCGACGAGTGTCTTGACAATTCCTGTCGAAATAAATTAACGATGAGGAGGGCCAAGTAAACAATCCATTTTAAACAAAACAGCCCTGCTCAAGGCATCACGTGTGCACACTCAACAATAATTTATACATACCTGCATTAGTATTGAAAAGATCGTCACGAGTCATGCCTGGCTTTCTTGGAACTCCAGCAGGAATCACAACGACGGCAGCATCTTTCAGGGCAGCTTCCAAACCAGTATCGTGGGTTGGAGGCCAAGTTCCAGCCGATGGCAAGTGGCCAGTGACACTGGAATTGGAGGGAATGTGGGAAAGATCCGCAGCGACACCGGCAGTACCAACAATATCGTAACAGCTGAGTTCGGTCACTTGGGGAGAAAGCTTCATGAGCAAACTCAATGGTTGACCGATTCCACCACCGGCTCCCAAAACGCATACTTTCTTCCCCATGGCTGCAGTGGATGAGTAAAAACGGCTTTTATTTGCTAGCAACCTGCCAGTATGAGCAACTCCTTTGGAAAACATGCTGTGTGTGATTTGGCGTTCTCGTCGGTTGATGTCAGTGATATATAAAGCTTCTGGCTTTTTATATGCGAACCCTTATGACCATTGATCTGACTGGATTTTGACGGATGGAGAAGAAAGTGCTACTGAAGTTCCTGCGGAGGTTTGGTCGACTACTTTGACAAAAGAAAGATTTTTGGAGAAAGGAGTACTATAAAATAGAAGTTCAAGACATCGCTAGCAGTTCGGAGCCGGAGTGATACCAACCGCTCAAAACGAACGAGACGATGATCACTCCCGCTTCCAGATGAGTAATCATAACCATACGGTAGCGGCAATCACTCATCGATTTCGAAAGTTGAATCAACATCAGTGGGTTCAGGTGGACAAGTCTATTCATTTTAGTCGGATACTCGAAAATGCTCTTGAGAGATGATTCGAAGCGTTGGAAAATTGACTGGCGCGGGCTTAACGCCCGAAAAGCTTTTACTATGGAACAAGCGATGAATCCGCACGCCATCCACCCTTCGAACGGACAATTCACATTTCAATCAACCTCATTCACAAAATTTCTTTCCACCAACCTCCCTCCACCATGCCCAATCGAAGCATCGATATCGCCTCATCAGAGGAGTTTAGCTACAATGTTGAGGCCTATCGTGCCGAGATCTTGTCGGAAGGATACGTTGACGAGCGCTCAACAGGTTTCGACCTAGGAAACCGAGGAGGAGGACGATATGAGGGTCCCACCGCTGCTGGTAGAGAAGGAGCCCCCAAGTCGGCTCGTCAACCTCAAGCGTCTCCCGGCCCCAATGCAGTTAACGTTTTTCGTAGATTCTTGGGCGGTGCCCCAGGGGCTACTGTGCCAACTACTTCCCAGAAGCGAGTAGCCATTGCTACTTCCAAACAATCCTCTTTGTTCGATGACAGTACTGCTACTGATGCATTTTCCGAAGCCAGTGCCGAAACCGAGGTAATGGGTTCCACCGGACGCAGCACAGCTTCTTCTGGTAGTGGCATGGAATCTACTTTTGACTATTCTACTGTGGGGGGATCCACAGCTGGCACCAGTCGGTATGATACCAGTCGCTACTCCAGTCAGTATGAGACCAATCAAACACCACCCATTCCTGAGGGATCGATTGCCCGTCATAACATTCCCACATCCAACCTCAAGAACACGGTCAAAATGGCCACCATGTCTCTAACAGAAGCTGCCCTCGAAGAGAACCGAAAGAATTATGGATGGCGCATTGACCCCGCACAAAGCTTCAGTGATTGGGAAATCAAGATTGTTGCCGAATCTGGTCAAGTCAAACAATACAATGTGCACCGCATGGCCTTGGCCGCCGGGCCTCGCAAGAGTGAATACTTCGCTGACTTGTTTGGAAAGCAAGTGAATAACTTCAAGAACCAACGTCTCCGCCTCGAGATGCCAGACGAAAGTGCCAAGGTATTCCCCGTCTTTTTGGATTTTGTCTACGGTGAAAACGACCTCGAGTCTGTACAGGAGAAGGAAGAAGCCTACGCAGTCTACGAGCAGGCTGAATTCTTTGACACTCCACTTTTGAAGCAATCCGTGGCAAATTGGTGCAAGAAACGCTTGCAATGGTACAATATTCCTGACTTTTTGCCAGAGTTGGAACGCTTCGAAGACGCCGGTCCACTCGTGCGGATGGCAGTCGATTTGTGCGCAGCTGAATTTGAAGAGCTGGGCACTGACTTTGGCTCCAAGATTGAGCCCAAGTACTTGCAAATGATTTTTGAGAACCTCATCGAGCGTGAATTCAAGTTTGATCGTGGTGCAGATTACATTTCGGAGATGATTTTGGAATGTTGCACTGCCCACCCCGACATGGCCGAAGCTAATTTCTTGGGCTTGACAGATATGCGATTCCTTCCTCTGGCCCCTGTCGAAGCCGTTTTACGACTACTGGCTGAGGAAGGCAAATTCTGTGATCCCAACTTGGAGGCCTCGACCCTTCAATCCAGATGCATCAAGAGTTTGTCTGAGAATTGGGAGTACTTCTCCTTCCAATTTCCATCGAAGGATGACATGGCCGCAGCAATGATGGCTCTACCCAAGAGCATCATGGCTCAACTATTAGTATTGACCACCGAACTTCCCTAAAGCTAATGTTCCGATCGAATTGGTTCCTATACTTGAGATGTCATCTCATATTGTAAAAAATTAAATAGTCCTGAAAGTGTGTTCTACATGTACAGTAGACTCTTAGACCACCTCCGATAGCTGCACTGTAGGAGTAGATGGTCCACTACGAGCACTATTTCCAGTGTCAACGTCGGAATCGTTGATCTTGATATCTTCCATATCATAGGCTTCCAATTTACTTGGGTCTTTCTTGTACAAGGTGGAGAATGAAATAATCAAGATCAACACCAAAATGACCCATCCCCAAGCTTGGACAAATTTAGGATAGGACCCGTATCCATCCATAAAGTCTAAAACAATCAAATACAAGGCAAGCGCTCCAGCCAAGATAGGGACAGTGAAAAAGAAGTCAAGCTTGCACAGGGATGCTGGACCCAATCGTCGCCCAGTTGGAGTGGACGGATTGTTGTAGGTTGCCTTTGCCAAGGCATACTCCAATCGTTGATAAGTGAAATCCCAGTTCAGCATTAAGGATTCCATAAACGCAACCAATAACAGTGCAATGGAACCAATAAAGTGATCAAAGACTTCGAGTAATTCATTTCCCCGCTGAGTGGCAAAAATGATACCCACCAAGGCAGATCCAAGGCAGCACACCAGGCTCATCTTCCAGCGTGGAAGTTTGGGCAAGCCTCGTTCGGCAAAAAAGTCGAGGGCATAACTCGTAAGAGTTTGCTCCATCTGCCATCATGATTGAAAGAAAAGATAACGTTTAAGAAAAGGTTTACGAAAAGCAAAAGTTCTTCCAACCCAAACTCCATGGACTTACGGCATAGGCACTATCCAAACCTAACAAAAATAGAGTCGAGAAGAAGAGTACCGACATGGCGTTTGCAGCCGAACCAAAGTATTGCATGGCTTCAGCCATCGTGATGAAAGCCAATCCTGATCCGCTGCGTGTCGCCAGATCTTCGACAGAGACTCCCGATTGAGTAGCCATGTGTCCGACCAACGAAAAGGTGGCAAAGGCCGCAAAGATACTAAACACGCAGTTCGAAAGGGAAACAATCATACAGGCACGGTAGACATCCTCCTTGGGCTTTGCATAACTGGAGTAGGTAATGACAGTTCCGAGTCCAGGAGACATTGAAAAGAGGGCCTGTCCACAAGCCGCAGCCCAGGTTCTCGCATTCCACAAGTACTTGATCTCAAATCGCCCAATGTAAAATTTGATACCTTCGCCAGCACCCTCGAGAAATACTGTACGGATGACCATGATTGCCATCAATCCGACAGGAAGTAGCACGGTAATGACTGTAATCTTGGCCAAGATTTCGCGTCCAAAGCCGACCGTCATGAAGACAATAATCCAAAAGCAAAACAGGGAGACTACCAAGGTGCCCTGCACGCCTCCCAATCCACTGACATTATCATCTACCGACCCTAGTACATTATCCAGCCAAAAGTTTTCGGCTCCCGTGGCAATCCAGGGAAGTGGGGTCTGGAGGGAGTTCCAAATGTATGGTAAGGTATAAGCAATGACCATCCCGTAATAGCATAGAATTATGAAAAGCATAAGTCCCGAGGCAATGCCTAAACCCTTCCATCTGGGTCGAACCTTGTCGTAACAACGAATGGTCGACAATTTGGTGTGCTGCCCCATGATCATTTCGTACAAGAACAGAGGACAAGCGACTAGAATGGCCGACACAATGTAGGCCACGAGAGCCGCACCTCCACCGTGCTGAGCAATGACATATGGAAAACGCCAAACGTTTCCAATACCAATGGCGTATCCAATCAACGCAAAGAGGTAGTGTTTGGTGTCAATGACATCCCGTTCTTCATCGTTCGTATCCTGTTTGGTGCTCGACTCGGTAACGATTCCATTGCGGTTGCGGTAAATATGCAATCCACCATAGTACAGAGGTCCTACCAAGAGGACTGCGAGGAGTGTAAAGAGACCCGAAGCAGATAAGGCCATTTTGTTTGCTGTCGATTCTTCTAGTTGCAATGATCGGTGGATCGTGAAGTTCAACTATTCCCATGTGGCGAATAAACTGGCAGGCGGTTGTCGCACGAAGATCTTTTTCACCTTGTTTGACTGGTTCGACTCAAAATATGTTTGATTCGTTCGACTGAACGAATTTGCCGCCCGAAATTTCATCAGCACAGGTATGTTTGATATACGGATATGAATAATCACATTCAATATCAGCGACCGATGCTTCCAAGAATGGGCTACTCAAAACTGCTGGCTGGTGCGTTTAACTGCCAATCTGAAATTGATCTTGGTGGAGTGATTTCTATTTTCTGAAATCAACAGCATTCAGGTTGTGGTCCACCAATCCAGACGAAAGGGGACGAGGGTACCTACAACTTGATACAAAATACCAGCATGATACCCATGGAAGTGGATGAGCCTACCAACGTTATAGGAACTGAAAATGCGACCGTTCGAGCGCTGTCGTCGCCTTCCAAAGCATTGTCGCCGAATCAACAACGCAACGGCAATATGATGGTTAGTTCGTTTTCCAACATGGCTAACCAAGCTATTTCCAGAGGACAATATAGAGAAGCTCTCAGCCATTATCAAAAAGCGTTGGAAGACTATTCCAGAGAGTCCCCTACTGTGGTTCAGCTGGTGAATGCGGCGGCAACTTGCTTCAATTTGGGAGCGCTATCAAAGAAATTGCAGGATTACAACAGTGCGGCCAAGTATTTTCGGCAGGCTGAAAACATTTATAGAAACTGTCAGATCCAAGTGCGACAGATTGGAAACGGAGGAAAGGATCGATCATCCTCGTCATCATCTTGTAATGTTTGCTTGATTCAATTGATTGTAGAAACTCTGCAAGCAAGAGCTCACTTACACTACAAATATCAGAACTTGCTGGAAAAAGCTATTGAATGCCATGAAGAAGTAGTGGAGATCTTGGAACAGCATCGCTTATACGGGGACGATATTGATACGGTCCAGTTCAAAATCAAGTTCCAACCGCTACTGCCCGAACAACGGTGGGAGCTGTTGGTGACATCACTGCAGTTTCTAGGCAAGTTTTATGTGGAAAAGGGTGATTTGGAGGACGGGCTCATGGCCTATCAAGAAGTCTTGAAAATATTAGAAGATCAAGATGAATTGGATACTCAACATCGACAGGAAGAAACGATTCAAATCATTCGGGCATTGGAGGAAATTCACGCCGATCAGCAACCCGATATGCACGAATCAAATGCCGAAGAAGCTTCGGAAATGCAACGAATGGCTCTCTTGGAGGAAGATGATGAAAACTGGGACAAGGCTCTGATATACTGGGAGCGCGTTCTATATTTCCAATCACAAGAGTATGGTGAAGAATCATTTGAAGTTGGGATTGCTTTGTGCCAAGTGGCACGAGTCATGGTGGCACAGGGAAATCACGAAGGTGGTCTGGATCTGTATCAAGCGGCTACATTGAAGTACCGAAATTCGAACAATCTGTTGCCAAACCACTTGATTACCAATGCCGCACACGCGTTTCTAGTGCTGCAACAACCCTTGGAAGCTTTAGCATGGTTGGAAGACCTTGCGTCCCAAAGCGTTGTTCCAGAAGAAAAGGCTCTGATACTATATGAGCTAGGAAAGATATATCTGGAGCAAGGACAGCTACACGAATCGTCACGGGTTCTTTGCGAAAGCGCCGAGCTTGGCGAAGGCGACGAAGAGCACGTATTCGCTCTACTGCAAAAAGTGGAATTCTTGCAACAACGGAGACAGTTGAATTCTCCAGATGTTGCTGCTGCCATGGCATTGGAAGCAATCAATGAAGGTACTGATGAAGAGGCTTCAGCTGTATCTACCGTTCTTTCCAAGGACAAGATCGCCACGTCAATGAGTAAGAAACCTTTACCAATCGACTTTGACGGCGAAGAAAAGAAGTTGGAACTTGAAGATGTGTTGGGCCCTATTTATGACGACAAGTCAGAGCCCGGTCAACTCTCAACACTCAGTCCAAAGAATGCAATGTCTTCAAAGAGTGAACTTGGTTCTCTTCTCGAAGTTGCAGAGGAAGAAGAGAGTGGCGAAAGCGATGAGGAACCTCAAGTGGCACAACTCAAAGACTTGACCGCTTCTTTGGACAAAAGTGACGGTGCTGATGAAAGCGCTGTGATTGATCAGCCGGATATGGACTCAATTCCAGATATCGAAGAGATGAACGGACCATTGTCATCCCCTATCCACATGCCCGTGAATGACCCTACTGATAGCGACATTTTGATATCTGCTTCGTTGGAGTCTCTACAGTTCGAGGATGACGACTACAAATCTGTGAGTGCTGCTAGTCATCCACCAATGGATGGCAACGTTCTCTTTGGGGACGAGGAAGGCGAACCACAGCATAAAATCCTGGAGTCTCGTTCACATGTCTCTCAGCTCCCTGAAGTAACTCCCAGCGATGAGTCTTTTCGGGGAGCATTGCCTTCTGAAGCGGCTGAAAGAGCACCGAGTCAATCAACCGATGGACCAGCAACGTTATCACGTGCCATCTCTGATGCTAGTACTCCGCATAGTCTATCTCAACATGACTTGGCGATTACCGACTCCCCCTCGGAGGGAATGATGTCTTCTGGCCTTTCTGGCATTGATACGATCAGCTTGGGAACCACCCTCTTTGTTTCGGCTGAAGGTCCCGAACCAGTCTCCGACAACAATGCTGAAGCGCAATCTCAGACCATTGATGATGAAGTTAACGACCATGCCGATGACCTTCCAAAGATGACAATCTCCGATGTAAATGTTCCCGCAGCTGATTCGTCCCCCGCCATTACATATCCAGCTACAGCCGGGCCATCGCCAGCCAAAGCATCCCCGGCGGATAGCGAGACATCCAGAACGGGTTTACTGAAAACAGAACAGAAAGGAAAACCCAGTCCAGCTTCTAAAGGTCTCCGGCTTCCTTCGTTATCATCCCCACGAAACCCAACTCCACATGCAAAGACAACCTCTTCTTCATTGGATTTTAAGAATCCTATTTTGAGAATCAAGCGAGACTATGCCGAAATGCCCAGGGGGTCCAGATCAGAATCGAGTCAGGCTTCAAAATCTGCTCCTCGCAAAGGTTTTGTGAAGGCTCTTGCCAGCCAATTTAAGCGATCACGAAGCAAACGAGCAACTGGACTCGGTGCATTGGACGAAGATAAAGTTGTTGGAACTAAACTACCCAGCGAATTCGATGATGATTTCTCCCAGTGTGATGCGCCAGTTCACTTTATCTTCGACGACGATGACGCATCCCAGGTTTCCCAAATTACCTTTCGAATGGAGGAATATTCATCTCGGAAGACAAGCCAACCAGATGGCCAGTGGTGGTGGGGCGTTACCAAGGAAGGGCTGGAGGGATGGTTCCCATCAGAATATGTCACCCAAGCTGTCCAAGCGGCCGAAGGTTTCTTGTCTGCAAAGTCAATCCACGATCTTGCGAAATCCAGGCCACTTGACTTTGATTCCGACGAGGAGTCGGAGGCTGGGGACGAGCGCCCAAAGGAATCCACCGTTGGACCGATCACTACAGAGGATTTGGACAGTCAACTCGAACGACCTGCTCCGTTGTCGAACAACGCTCGTGCGCAGTCTGCCAGCACTCGCGGAACCCAGTCTAATGTTTCAAGCGGTCCAAATACAACTCAGTCCTCCAAGAAGCAAACCCTTGTTTCGAAGATTGAAGAAAAGGAATCAATGCTACAAACCCAAATTGGGGAAAATGGATCCGAGCACGTGGACGTCGCAACAACGCTCTTTGATCTTGCTGTCCTGAAAGGCAAGAATAACAACTTCGACGAAGCTCTTGAACTTGCCCAGCAATCATTACAATCGCAGAAATCCACATTGAACATGTCTGATGCATGTAAGACCTTGCATTTCCTCGCTGATTTGCACATGAAGCAAAAGAAATCGACAGCTGCGATAGCATGCTATGAAGAGGCGCAGCGATACCAAGAATCGCTGTTTGGATACTTCCATGAGGAAACAGCAATCACATTGAACCGAATTGGGAATGTTTTTGCAACTCAAGGGGAGTTCGGTCTTGCTATGGAGAACTACAAGGAGGCCCTCCGCATTCTAAAGGAATGCTGTGGGGAAGAAGTTAAGAACCCCTTGGTGTCACAGACTTTGATCCAAATAGGTGCAGTGTACTACAGAGAAAGGAACTCACTTGCAACCATCCAGTCCAAGGTTGATGGATACAGCACATTCATCGAAGGTGGTATGTTGGAAGTCATTGGGCGAGCTCATGAGGAAAGAGGTTCATACCGTATGGCTTTGGCTTTCTTTGAAGAGAAGCTTCAATTCCTGAATGATAACGAGAATTCTGACCTCGAACAGGTCGCTGAAACTTTGAACAGTCTAGGAATGTTGAGTTGTCGAGCTGGCCTTTTCTTGGAGGCCATTGACTACTACGATAAGGCACTCGGAATCCAAATGAAGCTTGGTTGTGATGAAGTCCAACTTGCCATGGCTCGGGTTCTTGCCGGTAGTGTACAGTACTCATTAGGCCACTTCAGCAAGGCACTGAAACTATTCCAGGATGCCATAGACACTCTTCGGGACCACGTTGGTTCCGAACAAGAGACAGTGGCAGCTACACTTTTCCACATGGGAATTGTTCGCACCGCATTGTGTGAATATGACGATGCCATGTCGGATTTCCGTGATGCGCTTGATGTGCAACAGAAACTTCTGGGAAATGATCATCCTGCAACGCTCAGAACTAGACGGGAAATCGGAAATCTTTATGCTGTTTATGAGTCGGAACTTGACTCTGCATTTGAAGAGTTCAATGATATCCTCGAGGTTCAAAAGAGAATTCATGGAGAGAGGCATCCCAATGTTGCTGAAACCTTACAGAGTATAGGGTGTGCTCAAGCGAAGAAAGGCGATCACAGCGCTGCACTTCGTACCCTCGAAGACTGCTACAACATGCGATTAGAATTCCTCGGTATGGACCACCCTCTTCAAGCTACAACGCTTCACGAGATCGCCAAAATTCAGCTAGGGCGAGGTCGTCTGAAGAAGGCAATGCACATTGTTGACGCAGCTCTCAATATTCGAGTTGAGTCGCTGAGTGAGCAGCACATCGATGTTGCTATGGCACTTGCAACAAAAGCAAGTTGTTTGGTGGCTCAGAATAGCTTTGTTGAAGCGACCAAGCTATTCTTGGAAGCACTAAGTATTTCCCAAGCCGCTGTTGGCCCAATCCATCCATGTGGTGCAAATATTCATGAACAGATTGGCATTATGCATCTTCGAAAGTGTCATTTTGAAGAAGCAGCAGCCGCCATCAACAAGGCACTTGAAATCTATCGCCAATCAAATTTGGATGAAGATCACCCTGGAATCAAGGGTGCTTTGGAGGAACTAGAAAGAGTCGAAAGAGCTGAAATGCTTTGTGTGTAGAGAGATATAGAAACACAGCAAACAATAGATTCAGCTTATATTACAATTAGAATCTGTTCACAAGCATGAATGTCATACTTTACTATTTCGTTTGATTACGGTACTGTTGCTTGCTGTCTTGCAGTAGGGGTACCTGGTACTGTATTTTGAAGAATAGTTCACGGTTCCAGTCAGTCGTCAAAACGGCAAATGGACAGACCGGACTCTCAAGCCAGTCTTTCCTTTCATTTTCTTGGACAACATAAAACAACGAAAAAACATCCATTCTCAGAATAACAATGGTGAAGAAGAAGCCAGACGCCTCGTTAAAGGGCAAAAAGCCTATGAATACGGCCAAGGCCGGGAAAACTACTGTTATCACCCGGAACCCTGGACACATCACGAATCGACTGAAGCGTAGTGAAATGTATGGGAAATACCTGCAACAAAAACGAAAATCAAAGCAAGAAGAGAGAAAACAAAGAATCAGGGACGCTGAGGCCCTAGGTGAAGACGCCCAAGTAAAGAAGGCAGTCCCCAAAACTTTGGACAACACTCGAGAAATCGAACCTACTCTTGTTAAGCAAGACCCAGAAGTATTTGCAGATGAAGCAGACGACGAGTTTGCAAGATACTTTCAGTCGGAAACTCCTCCCAAGGTCTTGGTGACGACACGCCCGCGACCATCCAGACACCTCTTTTGGTTCATTGCTGATTTGCAACGTCTGATCCCTGCTTTGCATTTCTATCCTCGAAAACACTACTCTCTGAAAGAAATCTGCAGTTTTGCACAGAACCGAGGCTTTTCACACTTAATTGTTCTTGGGGAGAATGCCAAACATTGCAATGGAATGACAATCTCTCACTTGGGGTCGGGAGACGGACTTGTTGGACCTACTGCATTCTTCAAGGTTTCCAACGTTGTTACTTCGCAGAATATTCCAAACCACGGTGCCTCCACTAAACACATCCCAGAATTGAACCTGCACGGATTTGGAACTCGTCTTGGTCACAGGATAGGGCGACTGTTGGGGAGTATTTTCCCTCATGATGCAGAATTTGTTGGACGACAGGTTGCTACCTTTCACAATCAACGTGATTATATCTTTGTGAGGCATCATCGTTATGTGTTTGAAGAAAAGAAGAAGAATGAGAAGAAAAAGAAGGACGACGAACCAGAGAAAAAACTAGAATTGAAGGATCGAGTCAAGGCCAGGCTGCAAGAGTTGGGGCCACGATTTACTTTAAAACTACGGTGGCTCCAAGAGGGTACATTCGATACACAGTTTGGAGAGTACGAGTGGATTCACAAGCGAAAGGAAATGGACACCACGAGAAGGCGTTTCCATTTATAAATATAGAACAGCTGACGTTCATCACTTTGATCTGCCATTTAGTCGTATAATAGGGTATCTAATCGTTATCATCTTATCCCGTTCTTATTGCTTTTGCGGTATGCCTCTTTGGACGGAAGTGATCCGATCTCCCAAACTCAAGGCAATTCCTTGGGTCTTCGACCGGATACGGATGTAACCAGCAAGCTTGCCGTCATTATCCTCCTTCTTTTCAACAGAAACATTAACAAGGGCGTCTTCTCCAAACACACTACAAAGCAAAGGAGAAATAACGTTAGAGATGTATCACGAATCTGATGCCATGGTAGTTTGGAAGGATAGAATGACCGTTCAAGATCCATTGAAGGAGATGTGGCACGCCTTGCCGGCGTGACAAATCTCGTGAAACAATATGCCCCAATTTTAACAGACAAAAAGGAGTAAAAGTCCAAGACATCCAACACGAAACTGGGGCTACGAAATACAGCAATAGAAAGCTTACCTTCTTGCATACAAATTTGCAGCCAGGAATGTGGATGTGTCTCCTTCGCCAGGCGGAGCAGTGAGGCACTTCATCTTCGTGGATGTGACAATGTGCTCCAAGAAATCCTTCAATGAAGTAATACTGGTAGCGATAGCAACCTTGTTCTCCCATTCGAATTCTGCCCACATGCTTCGGAAAAGCTCTTCACTGCAAGTAGCAGGTCGAATGTAGTCCATGATATCCATGTGGATATCATTGAGGTGGATCAACTTCTGCTCTTGAGAAACCATATCCTTGTAGACGATACTCCCGAAGATGTGTCCAGTTTCCGTACTTGAAACCTTGATGGACGCCCGAATAGTCTTTTGGTCCATTGGGCCGATGGTATTTGATTGGGGACGTTCGACAATCTTCATATCTCCCATTGTGGAGAGTTCGACAGTTAAATCAGCAAGGGTGTTGGCGGTTCGGTTGATGACAAGAATCTCCAATATGATATCGTAATCATGAACAGTGACAATAGCTTCAGCGTAGACAGGATCTGCGAAACCACTCAACGGGTAGCAGTGAGAGTTATCCTTGTCCCAGATGCTGGTGTTCTTGTCGTAGCCAGTGGCCCGAGCAAGATCCGAACCGTCATCAAGATCAACATCTCCACCACTGACGGTCATGCTCTTCAATTGACGGAAGTGGATCAAATCGTCAGCTTGTGCGGCTGTCTTGGATGCGTCTTCCTTCTTGGTCTTCTTAGGAGCGGATTCGGCAACCTTGGACAAGTAGAGTCCCAGTTGCTTCTTACCGTCCTCGAGCAAGATGGGCTTCAATAGATCTCTTGTCTTGGGGTCCAACAAGATTCTGCAGCATAGAGAGCAGCGTTCCCGGCAGTCCGAATAACTAGAGCGTTGAGCAACATTGGGGGCGCGGTTCGTTTCCGCAAGCTTGGTGACAGCACACAGAATCAAAACAGTTTTTGCAGTGCGTGCCTTGTCAGCAGCAGGGAAAGTCAATACAAGTTTGGTCAAACTGGAGACCAAGGTTTCGGCGACAAAGATGTCCCCGTTGGCAACAATCATCTTGCGTAACTTGGGCATATTGTCATTAATCTCAACAGGCTTGGGCGACGAGTAGGAAGTTTGCGTTGCATATGTTCCATCCGAAAGGACCACATTTTTGGTAACAAGCTTTGGCTCCTCGCTTGCAGGCGTATCTTTAGGTTCCTCGGCAACAGCGAATGGCGTGGAACCGACTTCCTTGACAATATCATCAAAGGTCTCTTGGGCATTCTCAGGTGTAGTATATTCACCCAAGATCCACAAGACAATGCACATGACTGGAGGGGAAGTAATGTCTCCAAGAGAGTCGACTAATTTTGGAAGAAGAGTTGCACGAAGTGGAGCGTGCTCTTGAATAATGGCACGGACAAACATGGCGACTTGAAAAGATGTTCTCTCGGTAGAGGACAATAATTCCATCAAAAGACCAACAACGGATTCGGCAACATGTGGGAACTTCTTGGCGCACTCGTGAATGGCATCGACCAATAGATGTCTTACTGCCATGCTCTTTTCATCATCGTCACCAAGAGCCTTTTGCAATTCTCTCTTCAAAGCAGTGATGACGGATTCCACGTTTCGAGAGTTTACATTGTCCATTGCAATCTTGAGAACCTTTTCGCAAATGTCTGGGTTGGGACTGGAAAGTGCTCTCATGATATCCATCAAAAGCTCTTGCACAATCTTTGCGTGTGTCGATTGAAGGGCCTCCAAACGATCCAAGACAATAAGTTGGACGTTGTTATCGGTTTGTCCATTCAAAAGGTTGGAGTATGTGACAGCGGCAGCTCGAACGGCAGTAGGTGAATTGGAAAGACTTATCAATGTCCAGGAAGCCTCGTAACTGACAGCAGCAGATTCCGATCCCAAAAGGTGGAACAGGACACGAACGAATCTAGACTTTTGGGTTGGGTCCTTTCGGCAAACACGACGAGTTAATTCCAAGACAAGGAGAGAAAACCCGTCCCCAAACTTGGAAATACCATCTCCCATGTGTTGTCCCAAAAACTCAAAGGCAAGTGGCTCGTTCTCGTGAAGAAGCATCAAGAAGGCATTGCGACGAGAAGCAGTATCTGTCTCTGAAGCAATGAATTCGGCAATGAGATCTGACCCATCAGGCAACAAGTGATCTCCATGAAGCTTGTGGGCGTGAAAGACAGTCAAAGCAGCATTTTTTCGCACATAGGCGTGTCTATGAGTCAGACAAGCCTTGATGGAAGGAATTAGAGGTCCCAAGATTTCCTCGTCCGTGATTTTGCACAAGAATCGCAGCATACTTCCTCGGACAAACTCGTTGGGATGATTCAAATCGTTCATCAGCGCATTGCACACCAGAATCATTTCTGGAAGTAGCTTTCGGGAGACCTGTTGCCCCGCTGCTTTTTGCATAAGTTCGTCACTAGTCATGTCTTGGTATTTGGGAACAACTTCCCAATACAGCATACACAGTTTCTTCAATTGCTTGTCATCCGAGTTGATGCAAAATCGGATCACTTGCATCAAAATACGAGGCATCGCCTCTCCTCCAAGCATGGCCATGATGGCAGCTTTCAAGGCGTGTTTCTTGACCTACAATATGAACAAAATGCAGTGATTAAATTACCGTTTGGTGATGCCAAACATCTTCCAACCAAGAGTCATTGCTGAAGCTCCAACATCCTACGGATATCTACGTACGTTATCATCGGAATTTTCCAAGTCCTTCGCAATCTCGGCTTCCGAAGGCAAGCCACCAGCGGTGACATCACCAGCTAGGGTGAATGTACAGTAAGTTTCGTTGCTATTGGAGGGTGGCATTGTCCCTTTGGGTACGGTACCTAATGCCAACAACCAAGTTGCGCTGCAAGAAAGGTCACTTGAATCAATCGGCGGTTGTTGTCGTAGAGGCTGGTAGGAACGCTACATAAATGGGGCAAGTCATCATTGGTCCATCCGGCGACCGACTCACTCGTAGAAGTCAAAAATGATCTCACAAAGATCGATTGGTTTGGTTTCACATTTATCAATATCTCTTATTGCTGCGGTGCCAATGGAACCATGATAGAGATCCCCGCACACCATGAATACCTTTCCCCAAAAAGGGGATAGACTGGGAACAGATGAAACAAGGAGTCTATGACTTCCTGCTGTGCAAGGATTTCCGCACCTTTCATCATCTCTTGATTTCGTCACCTACGGTGACCATCGATTGGCTTTCTTGATAGAATACAATACAAAACATCTTTGACGCTCTAAACCCGACGCTATTTGCTTGTTGAAGAGCGTGATTGATCTGGATTTTAGAATGGACATTCGCTATGTGAAGTGGATCGAATTGCTGCAAATAATTGAAGGCAATCATCCTGCTTGGTCCATTCGTTCATTCCGCTGAAAAGAAAAACAGGACATTAAACTTGAAGCAGAAGCAGCAGCAGTCGTCTATTTTATGGGATTCGAGACGCCCACATTTTGTTTCACCTTTCGCCGATGTCGTTTTGGCTGATCCGGGGAACCTTTGGATTTTTGAATGCTTGGACGAATGGGAACCCAAGGGCTCTGAGACTAAGGTTTGCAATGCGGTGCACACTTTATTGATTGATTGCGAGGGATTTCAGTTCTCATCCACTCCCCAATGGTTTGACTGGACTGCGCAAGGGGGTTGAATCAATTATCAGATTCAGGTCGACTACACGCTGGATCACAAACAGCGGAATGAGGTGAACGGCTGTTTCTGCTGGCCAACAGAAGGTGGGTGTGAGTCTCTCATGAGGAGCGCAATCATTGGGGATGCGATGGGTATCGTTGTGTCGGCTACTCGCTTCATTTCTTCGTGAGGTGAATGCTCTGTGCGGAAAATACCTTTTGGAACGGCAAGAATGATCAGCGTCGAATATTGCCACTCTATAATTGACAAGATCTTTGCTGACACATCTTGACGTCAGTTTTTAAGTTGTTCAGCATCGGAAAGAAGCTGAGCTCCAAGCTTCTCCGAACTTTCACACTGGATGGCTGGGGACTTCTCTGGACAATGAAGCAATAGTCATCTCCTTTAGTTCAAACCAGGCAGGAAGTATACAGCAAGGTATCACCGCTTCAGAGTATTTTACCTTGAAAAAACGACAAGAGGCGAGGGGGGTTGTTGGCAGGAGGAAGTTGTCTGCTAATACAAATCGGTGGATTGATGTGTTGACATCAATTTTGTGACGTTGACAACCTCGGGCGAACATCGCGACCATCAAAAGCCAATCAGATGGGTTTCTGTTTTGGACGTGGCAATTTCCTTGGCACGATTTTTTGGTCCGCACTGACATCGTGTACCCCATTCTGATTCGCGAGCAAAAACCATGCATTTCTCTTGAACAAAACCATCCATCACAAAATACGTAATCAAAAAATACGCATCAGATCAACGTAAAGGAGATGGATGTTGACGATCTCGATTTCACTGCTCTTTCAATCAGCACAACTATACTCAAGCAGTCAGATTGCTTGAGCGAGGGATGGGGAAGTGAAGAAACGCGAAAAGCGTATGTTTGCCTCAAAACGTTGGAGAATGATGCTCCACAGAAGAAAGTTGCGCCCATCAGCGCATATGAAATCCTTCCCAGATCCGCTGCGCCTCATATTTATCATTCACAAAACTCTTGGTGCGTGGATGAAGCTGATGGGATGGATTGCGATGAAAATTTTTGGTAAAATGGTTGCAAGAATGGGTCCTGCAAACGAAGCACCTGCTACAAGCAACATATTCCTCGATGAATCATGTTGATGATTTCGATGTAGACTGTTTGCCAACATGCTATAAAATTTAAAACCGGCTTGTATGAAATTGTACCGTATCAATTGACTATCATTATCATGGAATCAGAAAACAAACGCTGTTTATTGTTTTTCAAGTCTCTCTTTTGACTCTTTTGCAAACGAATCTTGAACAAATGCCACTCGATGCAAAACTGTTCCCAAAGGGAATTTGTCTGTTGATTTCCCCTGATACTTCCTTTTTTCAACTTCACTTCTAATAGTACCATCGTTTTCTCCGCACAGACACATAGCGAGTTCTTGACTATCACTTTTTCAAGCTACACTGCTGTTCTTGACTGCGTCTGTGTTCTTGTCTAGTTGAAATCAAACGGACCTCGTCACCCACTGTTGTCACGACAATCCCTAGATCATCATACTGGTGTCAAGGAAGAAAAGAGATAAGAATAGATACGGCTACGATATTCAATATCGTGGGCGGACTCCCCAAATGCCCGAAGCATCCATCGATTTCGAGTTGGTGGCACTTTGAAGTTCGGAGTTGGGTGACTGAGTCAGAGAGTTCGGATCAGTCGAACAGACACCATTTCGAACACACGTCACTTCGATCCGACCTTTGACTCACAGAACCACATCACCCAAAGACTGAGTTTGTCGAAGTACGAGTAGGCCCAGTATCTTCTAGTGTTGGCATATCTTCCAGCAACCGCACTTCGCAAAGCATATTCATAGAACTGGATAAAATGAAGTTCCAAGCGTTGGCTGTTTCACTTGTTTCGCTCTCTTTTGCATTCGATTCTTGTGTTGCGTTCTCGACGCAGCAGAATGTCCGAAATTTGCATTCTGTGACCCTCAGATCGGCAGCAGAAGCAGAGGCCCCAGGCATCGAGAGCATCGAGAGCTTGACAAATGATATCATTTCAAAGCTTCAGTTCCGGGAAGCACAATTGAAGTTGGAGATCCTCAAACTAGACACCAGTGGAACTCTTTCAGCGATGAAGGATAGACTGAGAAGTGCAACAGTTCATAAAGACGTTGAACATACTACAGCGGACGAGGATGCTCATGCTGTCGATAGTGAGAAATTGAAAGAGGTATGTTCTAGTTGAATGGCTGACTCTGTCGCTCTCATTTTACTGGGAAATGCCCTAACTTTTCATTGTTACGTATGTTTATAGGCTTTCGAAAAGACTGGAATTTCTTTCGAAGACACGTCTGATCCGGACTTTGATTTTAAGGATCTCATTAGGGAGACTGAAATGTATGTAAACGATGGACATTGGAAATCAGCAACCAGAAGAATGAAAAAGCTATCAAAAAGATATGGAAAAAAATCCAGTGATCCTCGTGAAATTCCAGAAAGTCTATACGTCTCAGTTCTTCAAGAATGTTCCAACGACCGACTCCATGGAGCTCGCGCAGCAGAACCAGCTAGAAAACTTATGGAGGAAATGGTTGCATTGGGATATGAAATTCCAGCCGACACAGCAAATTACTGTGTCCGAAACTGCTTGAGTGACGGAGAAAATGGTTCGCATCAAGGTTTCGGAGGAATTGACACAGCACTAGCTATGATTACAGCCATTGAACATGCTGAAAACCCAGTGGAGATTAACCTTGAGACATACAGTAGACTGATTTTAGCATTGGCGGCTGAAGGATCCATTGAATACTCCCTCAAGATTTTGCGAGAGCTTGTTGCCGAAAAATCACAGACTCCATCATTGGACCTCTTTGCCGACGTTGCGTCGTACTGCCTCGGTGGAAAGGAAAATCCTGGAAACCCAGAGGTGGTTATGACCGTATTGGCATATGCCAAGGCAGCCGGATATGAGCTGGATCGCATCGCATCAACAGGAGATGGTAGGAGGTTGTTGGCTTCTGGTGTTATCGCAGCGGAAAAGTTGGACAACATTGGACTTGGTCTGAGATTTTTGACAGCAGCGAGCAATGCAGAAGGATGTGCTCCAGATAAGGGAGATGTTCTGGTTGCAAATTCTTCGCCAGCTGCCCAGCGTGCTTCTACAATTATTCACCGAAAAGCGCTGGCAAAGGCGACCCAAGACGACTCTTGGAAGCTATCTGTTAGGCTGTTGGAAATCATGATTTCGCGTGGCCTGCGACCTTCTCCAGCTACCTGGAGGAACGTTGTAACTTGCTGTGCCAAGCTCGAAAAGAGTAGAAAGGCAACATCCCTTCTGTTGGATTGGGTAAGTGTCGTTGTGTGCGCCGGTTGCATCCCTTTTTACAACGAAGCTGACGATGCATGTTTTCCTTTCAAATTTATAGGTTGAGATGTCGAAGGATAGGCGGGCAGAGAAGCCCTCACTTCGTGTTTTCAACACTGTTGTGAATGCTTGCGAAGTTTGTGGAGAAGAAGAACTTACAATTCAAGTTCTTGATTCGATGAAGGAAACCCATAACACAGAAGGAAACTTGATCACTTTCAACATTGCTCTAAAGCGATTGGCAAAATCTGGGAATACAATGGCTTGCGAGGGTATCATCGTTGGTATGTTGCAAAGCGGTATTGAACCATCCGTTGTTTCGTACACAACCACAATTGCAGCATGTGTACATGACCCAAAGAAGCCAAGTGTCGCTGTGGAGTGGATCAATAGAATGAAATCCCGTATGGTGCTGCCAAATGTCATCACTTACAACACCGCCTTTGCCGCGTGTTTGGATGGCACCCTAGAGGGCTCACGTCTCGCAAGTCAGCTTGCAATCGATATGATGGCCAGTATTCAAGCACAATTGGATGCTGGAATTTTGGATGCCGATCAATATACTGACGTAACCCCCAACGTCTACACAAAATCATTGGCAAAAGAAGCCATGAAACAACTCAAGACCAACTGGGAAGCTGATCTAATCGACAAAAAGGTCGCAAAGGAAACTCTTCGTGTTCCCCTTCTTCAGTTGGTCGAATTTGCCAACTCTGACCTCTCCCAAATGGCGGAAAAGCAAAAAGAATTCATTTCCATGGCCACAGAAAAGCCAACTGAGGAATTAGCAGAAGTCACGGATGCTACTGACGAAGAGCTTGAGTATGCTACTGCCATTGGTACACACCGCGCTGCTGCGGTTTAGTTTTAGTAACCATTAATCCTATGTAATTTTATCTCGCAACTTTTTGCAGTGTCTTCCATTTTATTCCAGCTTGTAGCTCTTGTAGCTGCCGGTAGGAAAAACTAGAGCTCCCAACCAATTCGAATAGACAAAAGCAGGCTCTACTAGAGTAGTAAAAGGTGGACAAAGTTCTAGTTAGACTCATCAGACTCATGCATGCAACGTCATCATCAAGACTTACTCTGATTCGTTTTTCATGCCACGGCAATGAACATGACACAGTCAATATATTGATCGAGTCATCGATTGTCGAAAGAGCATTTAAGAACTATACATAGATAGAGCTATTGTTGCATACTGTTCTATTGATTCGTGATACAATGAGGACTGCTTCGAATATCTTGCTCGCCCTGGTAGCTTTGGCTTCCTTTCAAGAGCATTGTCTTGCTTTTTCACCCAAGATCAAAGCTGGAAGGTCAATTGCATCATCGAGACAAAGCCTTCTGCGTGCCGTTGGAGAAAAGGAAAAGACACGATCGAATATTCCTCCACCAAATACCAGTGAAGACGAATATCTTGATCAAGCAACGAAGGGAGGATACACTGTAAAGCAACGTCTTCGAGAAGAGATTGAATCGCCGTTTCGCAAGGTTCGGTTGTTGTTCTTTGCTTCATCCACTGGGTCTGCGTTAACAGCCTTGTATTTTTCGGGGCTGAATACGATCAAGGCCCTAGTTGGTGGTTATTCAGATGCAATTCCCTTGGACGAAGCATTGACATCTGATGCCATCAATATCGGTGCCGCTGTCATTTGTGGTCTCCTTGCCTTCCGTGAATACAAGGTCGGAGTAGCCAACTTGGAACGCATTTCTCGTGGAGGAAAGCTTGCATCCTTGGCGGTGGAACCAGCCACTGTCCAAACAACTGTAGGACCGAATCTTCGACGATTGGCGGACTACCGACGCGACTACCGTGTTTTGATTGCTGGAGGAGGTGAAGAATACATCTCCAAGTTGGCACGATCCTTGAACTCTGACCAATTGAAAGATACCAACGTGTTTCCAGAGAGACTCGAAGAGAGTGATGTCATTGTCGTTCCAGTGTTACTTTCTGAATCCGGGGGCGACTATGTTATTGGTGACACAAAGGAATTCTGGAAGAGTGTGGAAGCAGGTTCGGAGGAGGACCGAAACTTTGATATGTCCCGATCAGATTCTGTTGTTGCCTTTCCAAGAGGCCCTGGGGCATGGCTGGACTATTTAAAGGAAGATATCAAAACGGCATCAGGCCAAGGCTTTGATGTTCTAGAAAAGGGAATTACCCTAACTGTGAAGAAGAATGGTAGAATTCTTCGCCGTGCCACTGGTCTTCCTGATTGGGCCAATCTAGTCGGGGCGATGGAAGTCATGGATGGATCAAGGTTTGGCATGCCTGGTGACTCTGAAAAATATGGAGGTCCATAAATATGCTAAAATTATTCTAGCATAAAAGATAGTGCATAGTCCTAGTCATAGGTCCAACCAATAGCTATCCGATTACATTCTATCGTTTCATCTAAGGGCTGTGGAGATAGAGCACTGGTCATCATTAAGAATGTGTGTACTTGTACCTGCAGTAGAACGTGGTGAAGTTCGTTTCATTCATCTTAGTTTACCTTTCTTCTTTTAGTTTTCAAATGGGAGAACATCCCCCAAATATGCCCAAAATTTGGGAAGCCTGCCTGCAGCAGAAAGGAAAATTCCGTCACAGCAAAACTTATTCGCAGTTTTGAAGTTGGATACGCTATACTTGATCTAAAGGACAAAGAGCTTCCGCAGACTGGTCCACCCATCGTTACATCTTCTTGTTATAGGCAGAATGTTAGACCTGGACGTTTGTCAAAAAGCAAGCCGCTATGCGACACGCGTTTGCCAAGAGATGACAAAACGGTCATCGTTGATCCGAGACTTGGAAGTGGATTGCGTCCCAGCCTTTGAACGGGATGAAATCATTCCGTTCTTGGGCGACAAGCTCGGAAAGGGTGGTTTCAATACCGTATATGAATTGGAAAAGATTAATCTTGATGAACAGTCTCCTTGTAATGAAGCACAACGTCAACAAAGAGGACTAGTAGTTCGCAACGTGAGCAAGAAACTGGCAGTCAAGTTCTTGAACGAATCTGCCATGGGAAACTCGAACGAATTTTGCAATGGGGCTGCTGATTTGCTATTGGAGGCCAAGTATTTGAGTGCTTTGAGTAATCATCCGCACCCTTCAATTATCAACTTGCACGGAGTTGCCGCGGCAGGAGCAGCTGGATTCGCCACTGGTCAAATGGGAGGGTACTTTCTAATTGTGGATCGATTGTACGATACTTTGGACAAGCGAATTGAGCTTTGGAAGGAACTTAGAAGACGAAAGCTGCGGCATTCATCTGAATCCAATGTTAAGCTTTTGCAGGCTATGTTCCTGCAGAGAATTACTGTTGCTTGTGATATCTGTTCGGCCATTCGCCATTTGCACCGACTCAAAATTGTCTTTCGCGATCTAAAGCCTGACAATGTTGGCTTCGATTTTGATGGCCGCGTCAAGCTTTTTGACTTTGGACTTGCCAAAGAGTTGGACCCTTTGCAAAAGACCCCAGAAGGCGACTATGAGATGAGTGGAGGAACTGGTTCTCGTCGTTTCATGGCACCTGAGGTCTCACTTGGCGAGCCATATCACTTGTCAGCTGATATTTATTCTTTTGCCATTTTGTTTTGGGAATTGTGTGCCTTGGAGAAGGCCTTTGGAAGAATGAGTCAAGAAGAACACAAAGAACGAGCAATTTACAACGACGACAGACCACCAATCAAGAAGGAGTGGAAGCCAGAAATTTCAGCTCTGCTGCAAAAGTGCTGGAAAAGGAATCCGAGGGAACGTATTGATGCTGCAGATTTGTACCAAAAACTTCGTCATGAAGTCAACCTTTATTACGAAGAAGGTTTTGAAGAAGTTGAGGAATTGGGGCAAGAGCGAAAACTGTGCATATAAGCAGTTCATTGTAGTCTATTACCACTAGACATGTAACTCTTTTTGTGTTTCATTATGGCCTGATGCTGTACAGTGAATTGTTGGTTCTATGCCATCATGTACCGGTAGATCCTTTTAGTCCATTATTCATTTTCAAATTAATCATTATCCAAACAACCAAAACACAGTTGGTAGTCGATAGCAGGGTCAGTTTCTAGATATCTTTCTCCTCAGGATAGCTACTACTATTTCACCAATTTCGAAGTTCTGATGATCAACCCATTGCAAATATTGCCCAAACCGTACCGGTACCGGTGACCTGGTACCTGGTACCTGAACTAGTACTCATTTTCTCAGCCACCAGTTCGATCAAGCTCAAACCACTACAGTACCGGTAGTTAGGCGGTGCGTGAACTTCAAATCGTGATTCCATCTGATCCTGAATTTACTTAACGAAATTCTACATTTATTAGAATATGCAAGTCATCGTTTGTGAAGAAGACTTTCTTTCATTACAAACTCCGATCTTCGATAAATGTACAGACCGAAAATGCCTATTGTATCGATTGTGGAAACCGTTCACGTTCGCATTCCTTCTTCAATTTGGGACTGACTCTGCTCCTGCTTCGTTTTTGATGATGAATGGTGGTTAAGGCCTTCGTATGTAGGAATGTACCGGTACCGTGTGAGCCTCGACCAGAATCGATCGATATTTGTCTTGAGACAAGAGCCGTTGTGTTGCCGGTCCATGCACAGCCCTCCAAGTTCGATACCCTCCAAAGCCGGCATCCAAGTTTGTGTGAAGAGCCCTGCAACTGCAGCCAATTGACACCTTACTCTCTCTAAACTCGTAGATTCAACAGTTCTATCACTTGATACGACTGCATTCTCAATCGACAAGCTTTGAAACTATCGATTACAGTTGAAAGATAGCATCACGGCTTTGGGGCTATCAATCACACTAGAATTGATATATTTACATTACTCAAAAACAGCAACAACAACAAGGGATAACCAAAATGAATACAAACGACGTCGAAGCGATAACACAAAAACTGCTCACCGGAGAGTTTGACGTTGCATTGCTGGATCAAGTCGTGGGAGCAGCTTATGATCCAGTTTCACCACACCGAGCCGCGGCAAACAAAGCTCTTATGCAGCTCCAGGAAGCCCCTGATCTTTGGCAAGCAGCAGACAGCATTATTGAGAAAGCACAGAATCCTCAATCTCGATTCTTTGGCGTTCAAGTGCTGGACGATGCCATAAAAACAAGGTACGAACACAACCAACATCTTTTACGATTCTTGTTTCGATGAAACAACCAATGGCTCACTTTCCGTTTCTTTCAAAATCATCATTAAAGATGGAAAATTTTGCCCGCAGAACAACGGGAAGGAATAAAAAACTTTGTGGTTGGAAAGGTCATCAAAATGTCGTCAGACGAGGCACTGATGAAGCAGGAGAAAGTGTTCATAGGAAAGGTGAATCTTACTCTAGTCGAAATTCTCAAACAAGAATGGCCGCACAACTGGCCAACCTTCATCAGCGACCTTGTAGGATCATCCAAAACATCGGAAATCTTGTGCGAAAACAATATGCAAATCTTGAAGCTTCTCAGTGAGGAGGTCTTTGATTTCTCGAGAGATCAAATGGTTACCGAAAAGGTTAAGCGGATGAAAGAGTCTCTGAACGGAGAATTTGCTCAAATTTTCCAACTGTGTGAGTTTGTACTGGAACACAGTCAGCACGCAGGCCTAATCAAAGTCACGCTTCAAACGTTGCAACGGTTCTTGACATGGATCCCTCTTGGATTTATCTTCCAGACAAAACTGATCGAGGTTCTGCTCAACAAATTCTTTGTAGAACCTACCACGCGAAATTACGCACTCGACTGTCTCACTGAAATCGGAACACTGCAAGATTTGGAACCTCAATATGATCCATTGTTCCGGCAACTATTTGTGACGTTCCTGCAACGGCTGGGTGACATCTTCACTCCGGAGACGGACTTGGCACCAGCTTTTGAATACGGAAATGAAGATGACCGACTGTTCATTCAAAAGCTTGCACTGTTTCTAAGTGGATTCTTGAAGGCACACTTGAAGGTGTTGGAAGTCCAAGAATCCCACCAAGCTTTGATCACTGGAATGTTCTACTTGGTCCGAGTTTCTGAAGTCAAAGAGACCGAAATCTTTAGAATTTGTCTCGAAGCCTGGCACATGTTGGCAGAGGATCTCTACAAAAGTGAACACAAAAACCAAGGATTTTATGATCGAGGCGCGGCCAACCGTGTATTGAATTTGAATGGGGACGCAGCAAATGGATCCTCCCGAAAGTTCCTTTACAGCCCTGTCCTCTCGGGTGTTCGACTGGTCATGATTTCCAACATGGCAAAGCCAGAGGAGGTCTTGATTGTAGAAGATGAGAATGGAGATATTGTTCGCGAGACGACTAAAGACACGGATGTCATTGCCCAATACAAGACCATGAGAGACACTCTTGTTTACCTTACGCACTTGAATTGCGAGGATACAGAATCCATTATGCTTGCGAAGTTGACGGAGCAAGTCGATGGAAGCGCTTGGAGCTGGAACAATTTGAATACACTCTGTTGGGCCATTGGAAGTATCTCTGGTGCAATGAGCGAGGATGAGGAAAAACGATTCTTGGTCACTGTCATCAAGGATTTGTTGGGATTGTGTGAACAAAAACGTGGAAAGGATAACAAGGCCGTTGTTGCAAGTAACATTATGTACGTTGTCGGTCAATATCCACGTTTCTTGAAGGCGCATTGGAAATTCTTGAAGACAGTCGTCAACAAGTTGTTTGAATTTATGCACGAGTCCCATCCAGGGGTACAAGATATGGCTTGTGATACTTTCCTCAAAATTGCCACAAAATGCAAACGCAAGTTTGTCACTCTTCAAGCAGACGAATCTGTACCATTCGTTTGCGAGCTGGTCGAATCCCTGCCAACCATTATTAGTGACTTGGAGCCACATCAAGTGCAAGCATTCTACGAAGCGTGCGGTTGCATGCTGAACGATCGGGGACCATCCGTAACTATTGATAGGCAGGCACTACAATCACGCTTAATGGAGATGCCAAATCGCACGTGGAAGGTCATAATGGATCAAGCGGGAAACAATGTCGAGAGCCTTGTGGAACCAAATACTATCAAAGAGATCATCAAGATTCTGAAGGCCAACAACCGCCTGTGTCGAAGCGTTGGTTCGCTGTTTACTCATCAATTACAATCATTTTTTCTTGACATGCTCAACGTCTACAGAGTTTACTCTGAAAGAATATCGGCTGCTGTTCAACAGCAGGGTGCCATCGCCACGCAAATGAGTCTTGTTCGTACGATGCGAAGCGCCAAAAAGGAAGTTCTTCGACTCTTGAATACATTCATTGACAAGAGTGGTCCGCCGGAAGCCGAGCCAGTGGCTGTTGCCAAGGGTTTCATTCCACCAGTACTAGATCCAATTCTCGCGGACTACAAGAGAAATATTGCTGGCGCCCGAGATCCCGAGGTACTAACTCTATTTGCCACTGTGGTTGAGAAACTGAAGATGAATGTTGTCGAAGAGGTTCCAAGAATTATGGAGGCCGTGTTCGAATGTACATTGGAAATGATCACTAAGAACTTTGAAGATTTCCCCGAACACCGAATTCGATTCTTTGAATTTCTCAAGGTAAGAACATTGAGCTCCATTCAATAGCAGCCCGGCGTTAGAATCACATTGATGCTCAACGATTCCCCCCTTCCAGGTGATCAACAAGCACTGCTTCCCAGCTTTATTCAATATCCCAGCAGAACATCAAAAATTGGTTGTTCATTCTGTGGTCTGGGCCATGAAGCATACCGAAAGAAATATCTCTGATACGGGTTTGGACATCCTGCACGAACTCTTGCAAAACGTTGGAAGAACACCAAATGTCGCTCAAGCTTTCTACCAACAGTATCTCCTTTCACTAATTCAGGACGTCTTTGCTGTCATGACTGACAGGCTGCACAAGTCGGGCTTCAAAATGCATGCCACTCTCCTTCGACTCATGTTTCACCTTGTGCAGATGAATCAAGTGACCGTCCCACTATTCGACCCGGCTTCGCAGCCACCTGGTCAAACTAACCCAGCTTTCTTGCGGGAGCACATAAGTAACTTGTTGGTCGCCAGTTTCAACACACTGTCGAAGATGCAAGTTGCCAAATTCGTTGATGGCATGTTTGATGTCAAGATGGATCTACCAACTTTCAAGACCCATTTGCGAGATTTTCTGATCGAGTTGAAGGAATTCAGCTCGGAAGATAATACAGCCCTTTACACCGAAGAGCAAGAGCAGGAACGTGTACAGCGAGAGCAAACAATGATGGCTCAGCGGAGCGCAGTTCCTGGAATGATGAAGCCATCTGAGGTCGTTGACGATGATCTGTAAAAACATTTAGATCAAGCTATAGTAATACACCCTGCTGTTTTTCTATTCATCATTAGTTGCTTCTACAGCACTTTGCCAAATTTCTTATCATCCTTGCACTGCAGGCCCAATCGTTGAACGTTTAGCCTGGCGATATGTAATAACAGCTGCGACCTACTCGTACTTCAATTTGACTCGTCTCCTATCCAATAATGGGATTCCATACCCACAAATTTGCAAGCCACTTTTCATGGCCGTCAGTAGGGTTGCTTCCATGCTGGGACAGGTCGTCCATGTTTCCATCTTCTAGCATGTTGTAAAACAATACGGCTTGTCCAGCTTTGGGCCGGATTTCTAATCCCTTGGAGTTATAATTGTTCAAGGCCCGTGGGATGCGAGTTTCTCCGCCCTTTGGAACATCGTTCAAGTAAATCAAAAGCGTCGCAAAACGACTTGGCTGATACCGATGATTGATGGAAGGATAAACAAAGTCATGGTGACTTTGATATTGCTCGCCATTCTTCTTGTATCGCACCACTTGCAAAGACTCGGCAATGGAATGATGATGGGCACTCGAATCATGATATTTTTGGAATAGCTCGGGGTCGAGCTGCATGACTTGGGCAGCCTTGCTATAGATGCTCTCAGTCAATTCGTTGGAATCACGCGGAAGCCAGGCATTGCTGGAACTTCGTGTCGACAAGTCTTGGGTTTGCTTGGCAGTAGCACCCGTGTGCAAGGTTGAAAGCTTTAGGCCTTGCTCTTGCGATAATTGGATCACTGCTTGGCAGTCTTCTGGTGACAAAAAATCTTCGATCAAAAAGGCACGCGGAGCGACAGACAAGACCTTGAGGGAAAAGTCCCCGACTTTGTGTTGTTGACCAATGTAATCGGCCGAGTGCATAAAGTGCAGTGGAGCACGCGGGGGAAAGTGGCCCAACCAAGTGCGCTTACTGGAAATCAGATAGTCTCGTGCGTAAGCCTTATTGATGATTTGGCGTTGGTACTTGATGTACTGTTCGGGAGTCAACTTGCTTTTAAGCTCTTCCGGCGTGTTGGGTTCATAGTATACCAACGCATTGTCCAAAGTGATCGCCCACCGTTGCAAGGCAGTAGAAGTGTCATAAATGGGTGTCACATGAAAGGAATGCCCAGGCATAGTGGCAGTCCCCAAGGATTCAAACGGTGGAATTTCACCAACCAGTCGATTGTTCTTGGTGTTGCCACCCTTGCCATCCCAAATGAGCAAGACTGGGTTGGGAGATAGATTGACAAATTTGGCTGCAAACCCAGTAAAGTCAAGTGGTGGTTGTTGAAGTCGTCGCTTGCGACTCATCTCGCTGGAACTTGGACCATCCAATTCTGGATAAATATCTTTCAATTCAGGGGTCTACAGCAAGCAGAAGGAGTGAGTCATGCAGAGTGTGAGCAAAACTTGGCAACAAAGTGATAACACACCAAGCAAGTCAGCCAATAGAAAGGAAAGAAATCATACACACCTGATAATAAAAGCTCGTTCCCTTGTATTTTAATCCTTTTTGACTCTTCAAGCATTCCAGATTGGGATCCATAGGCTTTTCCGAGTATTGCAGCTGTTCGTACAAATCATCTTCCACATCATCCGCTTGATAGTACTTGACAATGGTATCATAAGACTCGGTGGGAATGAAAAATTCCATGGGTTTCAAGAACTTTTTTCCGCCAGTGACTTTTTCATTTGGACAAAAACTGATATTGGCCATTCGTCGATAATCGTTGACATGAGGATGTTTCTGAGTGGATAATTCTGGCATTTTTAGGAGGGTAGATTGCTGCTGTTGGCTTTGATTCCATAGATGACTAGCCACAGTCGCAACAATTGCAATCATAATGGCAGGCAAGTGTTGCCTCCAAAAAGGTACCTCCTCTGCCTCAATGACGGAATCCTCTTCATCATATTCCTCATCGTCGTCCTCACTGTGAGAGTAGGTTTCAGCTGCTGCCACCGTCTCGTCGTACTGTGGATTCTTTCTTGGCATATTTGGAAATGTACAGTGATGGACGCGACTGTTAGTTGCTTGAGTCAGTTGGTGCTCCTACAGTTAGTATCAATGATGGTTCGATGGTTCGATCGAATTTTTTTGAATTGATCATCATCACAATGACATCGTAAAAGAGGGGGATATATTATACAGTAGAAGAAAAAGGGGAATGAAGGAATCAATTCATTGGATTCAATCGTGTTCAAGTATGCGTGACTCACTCAGGCGGTGTTGCAGACAGACTCACTCACTCTGACAACGCGCGTCAGACCCGGAATCCGGAAATAGTTCGATACGGATCCTAGCGCCCGGGCGACTGTTTGACAACTTCTGTGTCAGTATATTTTCTACTTACGGCGGGGAGATCTGATCCTAGCAGAGAACAACAAGAAGCAAAAGAATAGACGTGCCAAAAAGAGCAACAATCCGAAGCAATTGTCGACGTAGTCTCACTACTCCCTGCATAAAACAAAAAATCACACTCTCGCTTATTGCCCACTTACAACGTTTGGGAAGCATTGCTCTTGTCACTCTTTTCGTTTCCACCAGATCAGTGCAATCTTTCGAAACTCCATCCAATTGAGACGCTTCAGAATTTGACTTGAAAATGGCTTCGGATGACGAATACTCCTATGCTTACTCGGAAGAGGAGGAAGACTATCAAATGTCGGACGACGAATCCATGCAATTTAACCCTGAAGCCAAGGAAAATCCAAATGCGGCTCCCGTCTTTTCCTATGGTGCGTAGAAACTCTACTCGGGTCTACGAGTGATGGAAAGGATCGTGGGTCCTTTGTTGTTGTTGTCGCTGCTAGAGTTGTAGCTAACTTTTCTTTCTCTTTTTCTCTCACTCCCTTAAATGCAGCCAAAAAGCCAGGCATTCAAATGCTGCCTGCGGACCAAGTATTCCCTGAAATGAAACGAAAGTTGGTCGATGCGACTGAGGTTTTGGGCATTCCCGAGGTTGCGGCGGTGGTCTTGATGCGCGAATTCCACTGGCAAAAGGACGTCCTGCTAGAAACTTTTTTCAGAGACCCTGATGGCTTACTCAAAAAGAATGGAGTCTACCATCGCGTAAATCCCAAACCAGCCCTGAATTCACCCCATTGTGCGATTTGCTACGATGATGTCGAAGAAAAAATGGCCATGCCATGCGGACACGAGTTCTGCATGGACTGCTGGCACGACTTTTGTGCCAATGCTATTCAAGAAGAAGGACCAATCTGTGTCTGTACCTCTTGTCCAGATGCGTCTTGTGATGAAATTGTGACGGAAGAAGAGGTCACCAAGGCTGCTCCAGATCATTTGCCAAAATTCAGAACGTACCAGCTACGAAGTTTTGTGGAATCCAACAAATTGACGCGATGGTGTCCTGGAGCGGGATGTGAACGAGTTGCCACTGCCCAATCAGCGTCCGCAATGGAACAAGACGACAATGTAGCCCACTGTGATTGTGAAGGATGTCAGACTAGTTTCTGCATGAAATGCGGAGAAGAACCTCACTCGCCTACGGACTGCCCAGCGCTTGCACTCTGGAATGAAAAATGTCGAAATGAATCCGAGACTGCTAACTGGATCCTTGCCAATACGAAATCATGTCCCAAGTGTGTCAGTCGAATAGAAAAGAACCACGGTTGTAATCACATGACTTGCCAGAAATGCAGACACGAATTTTGTTGGATCTGTATGGGGGACTGGACGGATCATGGCGCTAACACGGGAGGTTATTACAAATGTAATAAATATGATGTAGATACCGGCACCAGTAGCGGAGATGATCTTTCGGATGCGGCCCGAGCCAAGCGAGAACTGGATCGATACTTGCACTACTACAAGCGATTCCATGCGCACGCGGAAGCACAAAAGTTTGCGCGAAAACAACTGAAGGAGACGGAAAATAGAATGGTTCTTTTGCAAGAATCATCAGACGATGTGAAATGGAGTGACGTCGAATTTCTAAAGACAGCCAATGAACAATTGGTGGAATGTCGGAGAGTTTTGAAATACTCTTATGTCTATGCCTACTACTTGAAGCCACAATTTGAAATGCAAAAGCAACGCTTTGAGCACCATCAAGAAATGCTCGAACGATTCACTGAAACTTTGAGCGAGCTTTCCGAAAAGCCACTGGCTGAAATGGATCGAACGGATGTGGTGAACAAGGTAAATATAAGGCATGATGGCTCGTTCATTGTACGCGTTATTGATATACCATTTCTCTCACCTTTCTTTTTCTCTTGCAGACACGTGTGGTGGACCAATTCATGAAGAATATTCTGAAATATGTCGCAGATGGAATGGATGATTGAGCAGTTGTATTGCAGTAGTGCACAAGCTAAAAGTCTGTATTAGATCAATCAAAATATGATCAACGATCAGTAACAATTCGTACACTAGAACCACGAGATAACACTGGTATCTCTCCTCCTCTGGACCATTAACATCAGCGATTTTTATTTCTGAAGTATTCTCTAGAGCCCACTACAGTAAGATTCACCTGTAGAACCATTGTAGCATCTTACGATTGAGCTCGGGGCGGTAGTGGCGTCCGTCACTGGGATAGAGCTTGTCGGCTGAAAGGTAGGTGGCGTCAAACAAATCCAGCACTGGAATTTGAAGCTCTTTCATTAGCTTTGTTTGCAGCTGGTATAGAAACTTGGATCTCGAGGCACTCATGTAACGGACCCGATCAACGCCAAATAAAGTGGCAGTGTCTTGTTCGTGCTGTATCAATCGATCCAAATCCACCCAATGAATATGGACAGCCATAGGAGACTTCCAAACAAGGGTGACGTTTGGATATCGTTTCTGGATCTCTTCAATGTAGTTTCGACAGGCTTCAGTGTGATTGGCGTAATCACTTCCTTGCAAAGTGTCTTGGTAGTCCAGAATGTCCCACAAACAGCTCCCTAGGATCAAGGCGGTGCTGTCGGAACTAGTGGATGCTTTGAGTTCCGGGCCAAACTGCTCGTCCAATAACTGCAGGTGAGTGTCCGTCGTCTCAGAATTCATAGGGAGTCTCATCTTTTCTCCCACTTTGAGTTTGGGTTGAAAGTAGTATTTGCCCTTTTTGTTGGGACGTTGTCGCACAAATTGATCCATGGTGGAGTCCCCGAAGGCAAAGACTTGATCAAAATCGCTGAGATTCATGCAGTTTCCTTTTGTAAAAGGAGGTTTAAATGCCTGCATCGGTGGTCTCTGATGTGGACGGCAGGAATATTTTTTGTGAGTATAACCACCATTTTCCCACTTAGACTTTTGTGGTGGGGGTAATGTTCCGATATGGTTCGAATATTCGATGTAGATTATCAGCTCTCGGTCATGCTCAGATTCTTCGTCTGTTGACATATCAGGGTACCATGGTGTAGTAGAAAAAGAAAGATCGTAAGAACCATCCCCGTTGTCCTTGATGAAAGCTACGGCCTGAAGACTGACAACCCGTTCGCCGTCGTCGGTGTGAAAAAATTCTTCGTATCGAACATACATTTCATCGCCTCCTGTTATCCAAGTGAATTAACGTTAGATCCTTTGTTATTACTCAACGTCTTGTTACGAATCAACTCTCTTGAATTTACCCACATACCTTTTTGCTTTTCTTTCCCGTGATCATCTCGAGTTCGAAGAGACCATGATGAAGGATCGCAGCGAACCTCTACCTGGCAGGTAATACTGGTACTAAGCTGCGAATTTAGAGTCGCTTGGGAAATCTCTGCTTGAGATGCGCTGTCAGGTTCGGAGGGGAGTAGTATGCATTCCATCGCTTATAGACCTCATTTTTGTCAACAGTGAGAATGAATGATTGAAAATGTGAAGACGAACGGACGATGACAGATTTCAATCGAACAAATCAAAATATGGGAATTGAGAAAATCCCGCGAAATCCTACGCCAACATCGCTCCTACTTTGACCATGGTATTTACCAAACCCCGCGGGATTTCAAAATAATCCCACGGTCGAAATAATCCCACGCCGTCGAAATGAAGCAAACATTCATAAAATTAAGATGCAGTGCATCTCATTTTCTGCGATGCCTGCAACTCAGGAGACGCCGAGGAAAGACAAGATACCAAGATTGGGACGAAACTCTTCGTTTCCGCTAAAGTTACACCAACTGTTGTGCTACGCAACGGCAAACAACTTGGAGGATATTATCTGCTGGTCTGGTGACGGCAAAGGGTTTCATGTGTTGGATCCCAATGAGCTAATGAAGCGAATTGCGCCTCTTTTCTTTCCCAACCAAGCAAGGTTCCGTTCATTTGAAAGGATGCTCAACATTTGGGGATTCCAAAGGGAGAGTGCTCCTAGGAAAACAAAAAGTTTCTGGTGCAATCCTAATTTTCAGCGCCATCGGTCAGACCTATGTCGATACATGACGCGGATTGAAAACAAGGGAACCAAAAAACGAATACCCACAGGACCAAGCAGCTATGGCTTTGTGAAAACCAAAGTACAAAACTCGCAGAAACAAGTGAGAAAACTGCACTCGGCTCTCAAGTTCCTTTCTGATGAGACGACATTGGAAAAAGAGGAGCATTGCCAAAGCTTGACACAAAGCAAGGGCACCAAGACACGATTACCTCTCAAGAAACGAGAAATGCTCTCGGGAGAGCAAGGTTGTAATAACGAAGAAAGCAGAGCCAGACAACTTTCTTACGAAAAAGCAATCACGTCAAGCCCCGCTCAGAGTCTCCAGGAAATGAAGAAGGCCACCAGCATTGTGGCAACCGTTCCTTGCACAAGGCAGCAGGATAAACCTGTATGCTACTCCGAATCCAGCAGGCCTTTCAGCTGCAACCGAGATGAGGAAATGGAACACTCATCAACTGCTGCTTGCCACCAACAACCAAAGCCAGCTTCGAAAGAGAGGGCAACTTTTGTGCGAAGGCGAATACTCCCAACAAGGACAAGATCTAAGCAATCCGACTTTGAAGAGCTGGCGGCTTTCCAGAGATACTTCTCATCACGTTACTGTCGCAACACAGAACCCCATTATCAGAAGGCAGTCCCGAACCGTGGGAGAAACTCGATATCCAATGGGATTCTTTCGAAGGAACCACCTTCAGGCCAACGGACATCTTCTCTGATCGATGAGGAAAACACATGCGGAGAAGCTGATTTTGGAAGGCTCCTGCAGAGCGGCTCTACTACAGAAAAGAAGAAGTCTCACATTGAAGGTCAGTTTGACGATGCACCCGATGATTCCGATGATTGATTCGCTTCTTGGGCTCGCTATGTCGCAATGCCAGGCTGAGGCAAAGAAAAATCACAAAGCAAGATTGAGAGCTAAAGCATGACAAGAAATAGAATAATCAGCCAATAAATGGCCGTTCGTTTTTCAGCTTCAATTGTCTTCTCAAAACAGGACGCTGAAACAAAAAATAAATGTCACAAGGCAATTTTTGTCTATATAATGTGACTTTAGTTTGTTGATTGTGCCAGAGGAAGCTAGCATATGCAGGCTGCTGTGAGGAGGCCATTTAGTGTAGCGATCGACAACATTTGCGCTCTTCTCGCGGTATGATTAAAATGATACTAGTTCTCCACCACCAGATGGTGCTTCAAACCCCAACTAGCTGATGTGAACGATAGCGCTATTGCATGAAGTCTCTGTATATACTTTCCAGGTTTTGTTGGTTCTGTACTTGTTGCTCCCAGTGCACCGGTCGAATTCCATTCTCTTTGCCATCATTTTGTTGCATGCTGTTCGTCATGTCAATCTTTGTCGACCACGAAGATAGGAAACTCGCAACATCAACAACATCAGCATCATCAGTATTCATATCAATGTTGATGCTCTCTTCACTGTCTTGACTCCAAGCAAGGGATCGTTTAAGGTTTAGCAAAGTGGCAGGGTCTGGTATGATGTTCCCATCTTCTCTTGAATCTGCCGAAGATACAGAGGAATGGTCGCTCTCGTACATTCGTGGTAACTCGAAAACTTTCGATTGTTGCTGCTTGCATGCATGTATCGTTTGTTGTCTCGGTAGCTCTGACATAGTGGTCGTTTGTGGTTTCAATAGTTCCATTCTTGTTTTTTCACTGGTATCAAAAAGTGGCGCCATGTGTTTCACACAAGCGTTGATCCGGTGCGTTGAAATAATTCTCAGTGCGCGGCGTTCGCAAACTGACGTGGATTGACACTTTCTGGTCCTACAAAAGAGACTATCTGAGTACAAAGGTTTCGATTAGTTAGATTTCCCGACGCACGTGAACATGGACCTGAAACGGTTGGCAGACAGGTGGGCACCAATCAGAAATCTTCTCCAAAAAATCTTCCGACATCAACACAACCTGCTATCGACGTCTTGACACCTGGCATTGTGCATATCGTTGTTACATCAAATCATCATGAAGATTATTAGATTCCTTAGCCTCATCTCTGCTGCCTCGGCATTTTCCTCTTTCACCGGAAGTTCGCTTCCTCGGTAAGTCCACTTTTTCAGATTCCTTCGTCGGATATATTATTGAATTCCTAGCTCATTCGCACCTTTTTAGTGTCCCGAGATCATCATCATGCTTGGATATGAAGTACACCGTCGTCTTGGTGAGACACGGTGAATCCACTTGGAATGAAGAGAACCGTTTCACTGGATGGTACAACTGCCCACTGAATGACAAGGGAAAAGGAGAAGCTCTTCAAGGGGCACAGCTTCTGAAAGAGGAAGGCTTCAAATTCGACTTGGCGTACACCTCTACTTTGCAACGCGCCATCAAGACTCTTTGGATCGTTTTGGAGGAGATGGGTCTCATGTATATTCCGATCGTCAATACTTGGCGATTGAATGAACGTCATTATGGTGCCTTGCAAGGATTGAACAAGCAAGAAACTGTAGACAAACATGGAAAGGACCAGGTTCTAGTTTGGCGCCGATCCTACGACATTCCTCCACCACCTTTGGACGAAAGCTCGGAGCACTACCCAGGAAATGATCCCACGTACGCCGATGTTCCAAAGGCCGACCTTCCACTCACTGAATCGTTGAAATTGACCGAAGATCGTTTCATGGTTGCATGGGAGAACGAAATTGGACCTAAGATCAAGGAAGGAAAGAAAGTTATCATTGCTGCACACGGAAACACGCTTCGCGCATTGGTCAAGCATTTGGATGGAATCTCGTCAGACGAAATTACTGGATTGAACATCCCCACTGGTGTCCCACTCGTCTATGAGCTTGATGACGATCTCAAGCCCATTCCTCACCCTGATGGTATTGCCCCTTTGACTGGTCGCTATTTGGGAGACCTAGAGGAGGTGAAGCAGCGTATTGGAGCCGTAGCGTCGCAAACTAAGTGAGCAATAAATGGAATATTGTGTAGCAACTGACGAAACACTTACGTTAGTTCTTCATACATTAGCGTTTTTGGTTTCTTGCAACAATGGTGGCCAACATGTCCTAGAGAAAATATTCTATCGTTCAATTCTGATGTTGCCATCAGCTTCGAAACATGACAACAGTTTTCGTATCTTGCGCATTCGGTTTCGAAAGAACCAGCCTGGCGTCTGTATGTCCCCCGCTCCCATATCTCTTTCTCACAACAAAAGTCACACATCACAATAGCAAAAGACGATGCTAGCTCGGGGCAACCTTAAGAAAATATTCTACGCTTGGATCGTCATTTTCATCATGTCATCATCGGATGCTTTTGCGACCGATGGAAAGAAAGAAATACCACAGCTTCCACCTCCAGATCCAGAATCAGAAAAAAACCTCCCAACCATTCGACTGGGTGAAACTATCTCGTTTGAACAATTTGGACCCATCATCTTGAATAAGGACGGCTCTACTCGAAGGATTAACAATTGGGATATTCTAAGTGATCATGAGAAGGAGGTCACTTGGCGAAGAATTTCAAAACGAAATGAAGAACGAAGGCAGGCTCTTTTGAAGCAACAAGAAGAGAGCAATAATGATGGAGACCAAGAGACTAAGGAATTGTAGGGGGTTCAAAGCTGAACTACTGGACTAGCATAATGAACTTCAGCAATAGAATACATTGGATGAAAGACTTCGGAGAAGATGAAGATGCTCATCGTGACCGCAATGGTTTCATAGTCGCAATGTGGTGACCGCCTCCAACCGCTAGGATTACTTTTCCATCGTGCAACCCTGGAGGACCATATACTTTCGATCCTTTAGTTTTGACCAAGCGAGCCTGATCTTCTTGACTGCCAGTGGCAATATTACCATGTTCGTTCCATCCACAGCCAAGAATCGCAGAGGTATCCTCGTCCAATACCATAGTGGACTCGGAGCCACAAGCTACAAACGATAAACGCTTGTCTTGGAAGAGTTGGATTGGTTTCTTCACTGAATCTTCAAACGATCCTGTACCGAGCTGCCCTTTGTCGTTTCGTCCCCAACCGTATACTATTATGTCGGAATCTTGCGACGTGACTTGAACAATATTGTGGGACCATCCGCAATCCAGCCTTACATCACTGCCAAAAGCGATGTCCAAATCGGAGAAATCGATTTCGGTAGGGCGAGGATCCTTCGTTCCTTCGAATGGTCTACCCAGTTGACCATACTTGTTCTCTCCAAAAGTCCATATTCGACCCTTTTCATCAACAGCTACTGTATGTCGCCTTCCACAACCAACGTCCACCAAGGGAGATCCGTCTTCTGGTATCCACTTGCCAACGGATACTTGTCCATCGTTCTGCATATTGGAAAGGGATTGACCAAATCTTCCACAACCAAATGTGATCAACTCTCCTTTGTCAGTGATGACCGCGGAATGGAATAGTCCTGCAGCTACACTTTTCACCTTTACATTTTTCAAAAAGTCTGGAGTCACTGGCTCCTTTACGGGAGCTGATGGCGAGCCACTGATTTGACCTCTTTCGTTGCTTCCAAATCCGTAGAGACGGTTAGTATCTTTCTCAATGACAAGAGTGTGCGAGAAGCCAAGTGCAGCATCTTGTACAACCAATCCGTGCAATGGTGGGGTACAGGCTAGCGGGGATGCTTCATCCTGATGTTCTTCACTTTCTGTTTTAGGTCCACATTGCTCGTTATCATTCCATCCCCACAAATATAATTTTCCGCTTTCCGTCAAGAGGCCAGAGTGCCCACCACCAGCGTAGACATTCTCTGGCAAATCAGGCTTTGTTTGTTTAGCAGTGCAGAGAACAAATTCTTTGGTCTCGTGCGCATCTTCACCATCGATCAAACATGCGGCGTTGTTTGGACGATCCAGCAAGAGCTGATTATGCTGATTGGATCCACTGCCATATAGAAAATGAAGTGAGGAATGCTTTTGAAAGTGCCGAACCATGGATGCCAGCGTTGTAGTGTCATCATTGGCTGCTTCAATTGTGTGCGTATTGGTCAAAAACTCATCCAAACTATTCAAATAAAAGTCATTCTTCCCACTGGGACCTTCGCTGACTGCCATGATAGCAGCCGCATGTGGTAGGTCTAGGAGGATTCGATTCCAAAATGCTGGTGAGTCGGGAGTTCCACGGTATAGTAGGGCCTTTTGTGTCTCTCCAGAGTCATCTTCTATTACTGAAATTGTTTCTCGAGCATAGCCTCCTTTTTCTCGAAAATCGAGCTCGTCAAGGCATTCGGCCACCAACTCGGGAGGGATCCAGTAGATGACCCCTTCTGTCAGGGTTGGAGCTTCTGGTGGAGTAACGTCCTTCATGGCAGTCTTGCGTATATCAACGACCTCCTGATCTTCCAACAATGTACATACAATGCCTGGAAATTGCGGATTGCCACGGTGATCGGTACTCCGTTGGGCCCAACACCGTTTGTATCCCTTGGCCCTCCCAAGCTTTGACACAACTCCAGGATGGGCGAGTGGTCCTGTTCCTGGATTCCAACACAATGAGCCATAACCGAACAACCGAAGTGATCCATCTCCAGACTCTAGCAATTCTCTAACTTCATCATTTTCAGGTAGTTTCCCTCCTATGTAAATCTGTTGAATTGGATCCCAAACAGGTGCATCCGATAATGGTTCCTGACTTTCCAAAGTCATCTTCACCGATTTCGAATTTCGTGGATCTTTGAAATTGATGCCGCTACTATCTTGTTTCGAGAGTGTAAGAGGACAAAAGGATAGTGTTGGAGGAAGCACTAAGAGCAGAAGCAGGAAAACTTTCATTCAAAACAGAAAGATGGAAACAATGGTTTTTAAAACCAATTGATGTCTGAAATTTTTGGTTCCACGTGGAACAAATCAGAATCGTCAGTCGTTTTATTGTGCAATGCTCCTCTTCACTCTGCCAAACAACACCAAACAAGTTTGTCATGAGCAACAACCAAGACGACGCCAAAGCATTTTTTCGACAATATGCAGCCGAGATAGCCGAAGCCTTGCGGGAGCAGGACGATGGTCCCAGAGTTTCCAGCGTTGAGGAATCGGTTCCAGAATTGTACAGGTCCCTGTGTTTCGACGAGCCAATTATTGACGGCACTTCAGCCAACTTTTCAGTGGTGGTTTCAGCTTTGTCGCGGCAGCTCGTTTCATCATCATCACCCTACGCTTTGTCGGATCGGTTGGTGAATGGAGTTTTGTACTTATCGAAACAGAGTACAAATTCCAAGACACAAAATGAGACCGCGAAGAATCAAGACTCAATAGCGATCGCCAAGTTGGCCTTTTCTGTGTTTGTGAAAGTTCCTCTCAACATCTGTGAAAACATCAACAATATTGCAGCTGTAAGAAAATATTTGGGGTCATATAAGGGGAATTTATCGAGAATGACGGTAGCGATTGACAATGTGGCTAGTGGCGAAAATCCGATAAATGATGCCAAGATTGATCAGGCAGTGAAACAACTCAGCGATGGATTGAGTGGAGCAGCAATATCACCGTCTGACAACAAGACAGACGACAATTCGCTAGGTGAAGTCTGGGCTGTGGAATCGGATCCATCCGACTATGATTACGGAGAGGGAGCTCCTGAGTATCCACTACAGTCCAGCTTTCAGTTTCAGGAAGATGATTGGTTAGACCCGAAACGACTTTCCAAACCGGATCCAACACTATTACTAGGTCAAGCGCAATTTGCTGTGGGATCACTGCTGAAACATGCCAGCTACAATGTTCTGGAACCCTTATTTTCACTCTCGGAAAAGGAAGTCAAATCCTTTACAACCGATTTGTCGCATCTGATATTCAATTTGCTGCAACCAAAGAGTCCTCTTGCAAATGACGAGCCCAATATGGACGCGGCACTGCAAGATGCGATTTTGACGCCGTTGTGGGTTTTACGAGATGCCGCAATATATAGTCTGAGCAAGAAACAACAGCAGCAGGGATTAGATTCAACGTACTTGGATGTACTTCACACACTTCTAGCCGTCGATCAAGCACATTTGGAAGATGTAGGTGGAGCTGTACCATCATCTCAAAAAAGGACAGATCTTTGTACGGCGTCCATTGTGGGTCTCTCCGCCTTGTCATCTTGGTGCGGAATGGCCGAGATCTCCACCCAGTCCACGATATCGTCAGTGATTGATGCCATGAATGATCTCTCTCACGTCATTGAACGAGCCAGCGATCGATACAAAAACAATCTGCTGCATTCGGTTATCCCCATGTTGGAGCTACTCAGTGGAATCACGTACGAAAAGGCCAAGAGCATCCCTGCCAATCCCAAAATTGCACAAGCTCTATTGAATTCTGGATTCTTACGCCAGCTACTTCTAGTGGGCCTGAGTGGAGACTTGAGCACGACGCAGAGTTTCCATCACGCGCTCTGGGGATTGTCCGTGGCCCATCCCACCACGGTGGGCAAATATGTGGCTCGGTTTCCAGAAACCAAAGACTTGGTCCGACACTACTTGGTGACAAAAGACTCTACCCCGAAACAGTGTGTGGCCAGTGTCTTGTGGAATGGATTTGGATGGATTCATATGGATGCCTCGACTGCACAGACTGCTCCAAGAGTCGTGTGGAAGACCAAGGCGGCCCAACAAAAAGCAGTGTCACCTCCACTTACTAAGGATGAATGCCTTGAAGTATGTCAAAAAGCCTGGACTCAATTGTGCCAGCTGGTGGCGTCCTCGCTGCAAACAGCAGACAAGGACTTGGAAGCAGCCTCGGAAGCTTTGGACGAATGGGATCGGTTGTTTTCCTTTGTGTCAGTCCATGCCGTGTCGCCAAGTTTTCATCAATTGTTGGACGAGTCACAAATCCAATCTGTGGCCAAAGTCTTGTCCAGCATTCCACAGCCTGAAAAGCCCGAGCTAGAACCATTAGTAGCAGAAGAAGCAGAGGGTGGAACGGATCCCGACGACAAGCGAAAAAAACCCAAATCGACTCATCATTTGGTTCTGTCGCGAGCACGAAAGATAATCAAACAGTATACACTTTTCTTTCAAGGCAGAGCTGGGTCATCCAAGACGGATTAGAGGATGCTTAGATGGGACGTATTGTAAATAGTACTCAACAATCTAAGGCTTCTATTATTACACTGCACTTGACCGCGAAATACTGTTATGATTTGGTCGAGGTTGATTTCTTGACGACCCAAGTAGCCCCCTTCATCATTCCCTTGGCGGCCTTTCCACTGAAATTATGCTTCTTGTCCACTTCTTTCGCCTTGTTAAAGCCCTTGGCCAGACCTTTCTTGGCCTTGTTTGTGATTTCATGCTCTCGATTTATTTCCTTTGCCTTGTCGACAGTTTTGGACATGGATGCTTTGGCCTTGTCAGTGAGGTTGTGCTTTTCGTCCATTTCTTTTGCTTTTTCAACTCCACGTTGTGCTTGTGCCTTTGCCTTGTCTTGAAGGTGATGTTTCTCGTCTAGTGCCTTGGCTTTGTCACCCAATTTGGCCACGCCTTCTCCACCGGATCTGGCAACCGATCCCCCCTTTCCTGGTGCCGTTGTGGCTGCTGCTGCAGCCGCGGCTGCAGCAATACCAACAATGGGACCACCAACCATTGTTCCAGCAACGCCTCCAGCCACAGCTGCTCCCATAAACTGTCGGCTGGTAGGATCTTTGGTTTGAGCCTTGAAGTTGGGAACTCCGTCCTCTTCGACATAGTTGTGACTGACTGGTTGGTTTTGTGGCTGGTATGAAGGGTTTACGGGTGGAGGATTCGGCATCATTTCCTTTGATATATGTGTATTTGTTTGCGTTGGCGTTCGCTTGGCTTTGAATTTGTGACGGGATCTATCCCAACTTGAGATCAAACGATGTTCGTTTTCCAAGACTTGGTGTCAAGAGGTTTCGATGACCAGCGAAATCACTTTCAGTTTTGGTGGGACTAGGAATGAGTCCCGTCGGAGTTTTGTGATTTTAGTCACTCGCGGAAAAGTATATAAAAATATATACTGTCTGTATGTCTATACGATTGTAGTGGTCTATGCTCCAACCGACACATGCGTGAGACGGAGGATATGGCGCGAATGTCACAAAGTTGTTTGTTTTGTGATTTCCCATCAGATTTCATCATCTCACTACACTAAACGAAACATGAACAGAAGTGGTAGCAGTATCGTGAAGAAGCACCTGAACAGTAGAACAGTCGATAATACGACTGCTATTCTGGGAGATGGTGCCACCAATGCTGAAGACGAGCTTGGACATGACTTCAAGCAAAGACTTCAAAAAACTTTGTCACATGAAAAAACGGACAAGACCAGGAGAGACTACCGCAATCGAATTCTAAGAATGACAAAGTATTTTCAACAGAAGTGCTTCAGATACTTTGAAGTTGGTGTTCGCAAAAACACATCTGCAGAAATGAATGATCCTGCAATGTACTTTTATGATAAGTACGAGTATGATCTTATTTATGCAGGTCTAAACGTAGATTATGTTCTCAAGTTTCTCATGGATCAAGAGAGAACTGCAGCAGGCAATCTGCGCACCAAGGCAGACATGCAAAAGTTTCGAGATGCTATCAAGTGGGGTGCCCAAATCCGTGGCGAAGCACTGTCCCAAGAGTGCTGGGACAAATTGGATCTTTATCTTTTCTCCTACAAGCGACAGGTTGCAGCTGGGAAGGGGAATGGGGATGTCCAAACAAAGGAGGCAGACCCAATCACAAAAGAGCTTTACATGCTAATTTGCAAGTGGGCGTCTGAAGATGGCAATACAATGGTAGACTTTTGGACAAAGACCCAGTGGAACTGCATGAGCCGTTGTGGCAACATTGACTACCTTGGATTCAGCAACTTCAGAATTGTTTTGGATGCACATGCTGTTACACATGACACTACAAAAAAGGATAAAGATGGCGATAGATGTTTTGCTAAACACATTTATGCAAATCATGAGTATCACTATTTGTGCCAGTGGACAGCCATGGGTAACTACTGTGCCTTGTACAAAAACGAGCTTGGACAAACTCAGAAACTTTTCATGTGGAATACCAAGGACGGCAGTGCTGCAAAGAAATATCAAGAACAGCTGAAAGCTCTTGTGAATAAAACTGAGGAAAGGAGAAACATTGTTAGTTCTCACTGTCGAAAAGGGCACTTCAATGCTTATGGTTTGCGGAAAGGAGCCGCAAGCTATGCAAGCTCAGGAACCACATGTGCCCCGTCCCTTTCTTCTATTGGTGATTGGTCAATGGGCTCCGTCTTTGACATATACTGGAGATTTTTGCCAGTTGGCGATCATTACTTGGGCCAGATACTATCAGGAATGGACCCAATGAAACCATCATTCAAGACCTTACCTCCACACTGGAAAATGGCAAATCCGATGGGCCACCCACTGATTCGCGAAGTCATGAACGCCAACTTTGGTCCCATCTTAAAAACACATAGTGAAGCGGACTACGATCCTACAGGTTTGTTGTTGCGTTGCCTAGCATGCATGGTATGGCATGCCAAGTCGTTCCAGGAGTACATTGCCCATAACCCAAGCAACGAACTTGTCAAGGTTCCATTCTACAACATGAGAGGATCAGAAATTGACGCATTGCAACAGCTTATCACTGTTGAACCAACTCCCGATGTCATGACCACTGTTACTGGCGTCCCGCCACACATTGAAACAACTTGCCAAATGAAGGCAATTCATGACAACTTAATACAGTTACTTGCACAAACAAGAATCAGTGAGGACAACCAGAAGCAGCGCGACGAGCAATTGAAGGCAGACCTTGTTGCGGCTGTTCACCATGGAATAGAGCAGAATGCAATTTCGAACGGCAACATTACTGCAAAAGGTATCAATGACATCATTCAAAAGCACCAAGACGCAACAAATAAACAACTTACCGAACATTTGCAAGCAATGCTTAGGAGCCTGCCTCCTCAGTTCCAAGGTGGTCAGCCAGCTCAGATTCCGCCACCTGGAAATCAAGTTCAGCAAGGGGGTGGATTGTTGCTTCAAAAGCCTGATCAAGGAAAATACTTTTACACCGAAAGGTTCTGGTCCGTTCCGGAAGACTTTGAGTTCCCTCCAAAGCCAAACCTTCCCCAAGCGCTTCGATGCTGGCTCAAGGGTATAAGGTATGGCAACAATTATGTGAAACCATTTCGCCAGCTACGACCAAAGGACCTCCCAACCACAGCACTCCAGTCACAGATGCGAGTTGAATGGCAGAAATTTTTCAAGTATCTCGAGAACAATGGGTTAGAAATGCCTAGTAACACGAGCGAAGAAGTGACTGAAGCACAATTGGAACGTACTACCGATGAGATGTGGGACCTTTTGGAAAAAAAGGTTTCCTATGCATTCACAAGAAAGAATGCAAAAAGCCACTGTCTTTCTACTTTCGCAAGGAAGGTATCGCCGTCAGAAATTGTTAAGAATGGAAATCCGTCAGATAAAACTTACTTGGAATCGAGGCAGAAGGCAAAACCTGCCGCACGACAGTATAAAAATCGAGTCCGACCGCTGGCTAAAAATCCAAAGTACCTCAGAAGAGGAAAGCAAAAGACAACAGCAAATGCAACGAATCCAGCAAGATTGCAACAGGCAACAATTCATGCAGGAGCGGGTATCTTGCTTGAGCCGATAGACCACTCACCTCGTGTCTTGAATTCGACTCGATATTCAATTGAAGCAAATGCAGAACAGGATCGAATGATGGAAGAGTATGGTGTTGGTCGTGGTCCAACTGGGCCTCCAGCTGTTGCCATCGGACATCACGACCAAACATCACCCACATATCTTCAAGAACTCATTGACAGATTTGGAATCAGGCATCCATATCCGCCAATATCAGTTCCAGGACCACTAGGACCATGTGCTTGTGCCGGTTGCTCCAAAGAGTTGGAACTTGGGCGACACCGATGTGCCCGATGCAACATCGTCATTCACAATAACTGTGCGATGGATCGAAATTGGTACATGCAAAAGAATGGTGAGGAAATGTGTTTTTGTAGTGATCAGTGCAAAAAGAATCTTCCCGGTGGAAGATACTTGTAGGAAATACCTTGAATAAAAGTAAATGCATGTTTCATCGTCGTCGATTGATGGTTCATGATTTTCTGTCTTTTTTGATGAACAACAAATTCGTTGTGATCGGAATTGTGTCAAATTGGTACAAAATCAACGTACGAAATACGTAGAAACACCGCGTGAATTTAGTATATGAAGAAACCCGGAAATAGATATACTTTTCGGAAAGCGTACTCGAGCGATTGTTCCTCGTACAAAATTCCACGTGTGCCTACACAGAAAGCGGAACTCAGCGATCCGGAATATATATGTTTTTTATATACTCATTCATTTTCGAAGGCTCATATTAGTCATATTTATATACTATCATGAAAGTTTTCGAAATTGAGATGAGTCCAAATAATCTTTCACTTGATTGATTCGATTACTTGATTGGGTAAATCGATAATCATACTGTACCGGTAAATCATCGTCGGAGAAAATTTACTTAAACAGTCCCGAAAGAACAACACCAGTTTTATTAGAGAACCGCCGAGCCGGCGGCCTCGGGAAGGTTTTTCAAAAAAGTACTGTAGGTGCACCATCAACCAAGACCACTCTCTTGTCAGCGACAACGTCAACAAGACCTTGTTCAAACAATTTTCACCATGCCAGAGTTAGGACAGAACTTTTGCTCTTATCTGCTAAAGTACGTGATATTGTTGTGCTTCCTGGAGTTTAGTTTTAACGGTTGTGGAATGTTCTGACCGTTGTTCGATTGATTTTTCAGGACACTCGCCATTGTCTTTGCCCTAATTGGCATCATTTTCACAGTCGAGGCTGGAAAGGGGTGTGATTTTATCAAGGTAGAAGATACCGATGGGGATATGCTTGACATGATTCGAGACGGAGATCGTCCGAGTTTTGTTTTTGGAACCGCCACTAGAATGCGAGTCGGCATTTTCATGTACGAGATTCTGGAAGGATCAAATGTACAAGGTTGCGTGGATTACCCACAGAAGTTTTTTGATATTGGTGAGTGCCTAGCTTTGATTCGTTCTGGAATTACATTATTTCATTGTCCTTGTTGTTGTTACAATGCAAGAAATAGGATTAAGCACTGGACAATCCCTAATGGCACATTTTCTTTTTTCTCCGCACCTCAGACGGTTACCCATCCCTCACATCGGCACAAGTTTGTTCCGTCGTGTCGCCCATCCTATGTGCCATTGCCATTATTTGCACATTGATTGATTTCTGCGTTTGCACATTCAAGGGTTCCAGTCTATGTGGTGGATTGTTCTACATACTTGCCATGGGAGTCCAAGCTGGAGTTTATGGAATCATTGCCGATCCAGTATTTTGTTTTGAGGACAGTGAATTGCAATGCACCATGGGAAGCGAAATGTACCTGGTCACTGCGGCCGTCGTTTTCTACTTCCTTGCGTCATGCTTCTCGTGCTGTGCTCCACACTCTGATCCATGCTACAAGAACGTGACTCGCAAAAACAAAAACGGTGACGAGGATGACGATGGTGTCTACCAAACCACCACTACCACCACGACGATCAAGCGTGCCACAATCGTACAGAACGATAATAGCGGTCCACTCAGTCCAGGGGTCAGCCCAGGAGGACGTCGAAAAGCGCGACCAACAGAAGACGTTGATCCTAATGCGAAGTATGACAAGCATGGAAACCGTGTTTTCTAAAGGGAATGAGTTGAGCGAGTCAGGTAGCCATCCAATTTGATTGGAAGCCCTATCCTACAATATATATTGCGTCTCCCGCTACAATCAATCAATCAGACTCATCAATTTTACGGCGCGTCGAACTTAATGTTAAAAACCTTGGTGTTTGAGCGGGCAAGGTGCCGTTGTGAATCCCACTGTACCGTACTACCGGTTTGAATGGAGTTAAGTTTCATAATATGTGTTACAACTATCGATACATACTAGTTGCCACCATTCATACTTCCCTTTCTTCCAATATTATTGCGGCTCTTCATAGGATCAACTCCCAAGGCTGTAACAACCGAAGCATTGGTCATGGATTGGTACGGAAAGGATTCAGCATGAACTCCTCGAAGTACAAATGACAACGGAAGTGGAAGGTTACCACCCACCAGCATATCGACTTGGGGCAAGAAAGATGACTCCACGGGGGTCAGAACGTACAGCAGCTCGGATTGCCAGTCAATGGAACGAACCAATCCCAAACCGAGACAATTGTTCGCATTCCCAACGCACAAACCCACCATTGCACCATTCATGGCTTGCAGGACTCGCTTCTCATCCGCCATCAAATCGTCGTGATCCGGGGACAAAAAGCTGCATTGGACCGTTTCAAACGGCACGCAGTAAGGGCGTTCCTGTGCCAAGTATTCGGCCAAGATGCAGCCATCGTCAATCCAACCAACTTGTAGCTGTTTGGCTGGAGTGAAATCCAGAGTATCCCAAAGATCTTCCAAGTTGGGTCCAAAGTAGGCCCCCAGTCGCAACGATCGAAGTGTAAAGGAAGGTATCGAGCAGGACATGGAAATTAGATTTGTGCAGGCGTCCAAGAAGTAAATGGTCGATTCCCTGCCGGATAGGGTGCGTTGGAGATCAAAGGTTTTGGCCTTGGACGATCCCAAGATTTGACACACATGTGTTGGAGCAATACTCAACGCCAAGGAAGTCAGGATTTCATACCCAAGGCCCTTGATCCATCCATCCATATTGATCAACAGTGGTGTTGGATTCAAGGTACTTTTGAGGTGGTCTCGGTACGCTTGAACCAGATATTGAATAGCTTCAATGTATCGACTCGGATCATCTTTGGATGACACGGCTCCATAAAAGACAGAGGCAACGTTTTCTCTGCTTTCTGTCAAATTCCAGTAGGGTGGTTGTAGCAGCGGCGTTTTCTGAATCGTACAGGACAGGATGCCTGGTGGAACTAGTTCAGGCTGTCCTACATCTGCATCCAAGATGGCAACTTCCTCATGAGAGCTAACGCTGAGTAAACGATTGGTCAAGTACCGCAGAAAGGTAGATTTTCCAACGCCTTTGCCTCCACAAATGAATATGATTTGGGGTTTCGCATGCACAAAGATCCCATCATCCTCCAGTGAGTCCCGCTGGGGTGCAGGTTCCTTTTGACAGGCACTTACAATGGTGTCCGCAGTGGTAATCCATGACGCTGGAAGGATGGTCGGTCGACGGGAAGCAGAAGCAAACCGGAAACTCGGCGTCCCTCGGAGTGAGGAAACTTGGAATCGAACCATGGGAGTTGTCGCTTGTATCGTAGTCCAACTGGACCAAAATGGGCTCGTCAAGATCACCTCAGCTCCAGTGTCTACATTTTCCTCTTTTTGCATAGTATATCCCAGAATGTGCAGAGAGCCTTGCAAGCACTGGATAGTCCCACGACCAACGATGCATATCCGGTTCTCTAAATCATTGTCACCTCGGCAATCGATTTCCACCAAGGCATTCTGTCCGTTCCACTCGATCAAGATATTACGAGGCAATTCATGTTCCTTGTCCTTCTTGTCTTCCTCATCATTTTCAGCGTCTTCTTCCTCCAATGGGCGTTTCTGTCCCCTATCATCTTGAGAGTCTACCTCGGGAGGGTCTGATGATGATTCTTCCTCTGGAAGACTCATATTCTGATCATTTTTCATCGTGATTGCTGAATCAATACTATTTGATCGATATCTCAACGTCTGACAGGTGCTTTTTTGCATAGGACAATTTGTCCCTTCAACGTCCACTATTTGGGTAAGCGTTAGGAGAGTGGTTTTTGTTGCCTTGAGTTGTGCCGTTGTTGGATGGATGAGGTTTGTGCCAGACAATTCGCGGTCGAAGGAGTCGTAGAAAGAGTCGAAGGAGTCCACCTTCAACTACTGATTTACCCGCACCGATCAACCAGTTCTTCCGCACAAGCATAACATTTCTGGCATCTGGCATCAACCAAATCGTGATACAGGTAAACCAGTACCGAGTTCATCAATCGCACTACAGCAGCAGAAACCAAAAGATGTTTTGTGCTGACGATGGATCAAATAGAGTCGGGTACTTTGGCAGGTGAGTCTTCATGCACAAGTTGGATTGATTCTTTGGTTGGTCGTTCACTGAACATGTTTTTCGATTTCTCGTTCACCCCAATAGGTTCCTTGTCTTGTGTGTTGCAGCGCTGGGAATTATCCTCAGCATGACATCTGCCACTGGGTGCTCCTTTCTACAATTCAAGAACAATGTCCGGGCTCCATACTCGGGACTTGGCGAGCCATTTGAAGGTGCCACCGAGGCATATGTTGGAATTTTCAATTATGAAGTTGTGGCTGTCGATTACGACTCGGTACCCGAAAAGTGCGAGGGCTATCCTGCAGGGGCATCCTTTGAGGTTTTGATTGCAGCAAGAATTGTTGCCGTCGCCGCTCCCATTTTTGCTGCAATTGGAGTTCTGATTACAATCGTTGACACCTGCTTTGGACACAATATTAGTTGTTTCATCGCGTCGGCATTCATGTATTTGATCGCTTGTGGATTGCAAGCATGTACATTTGTGGTCTATGCAGAACCAACCTTTTGGTAAGTATCAGTGCTCTGGCGGAATTCAGATATACATACGAATGCCTAACACTTATGAACAAAATTTTTGTCTTGGGCTTGCAGCTTTGAAGCTCCACACAACTGCTCTGTGGGAAGTGCAGGAGTTCAAAGTGCATTTGCTTGCATCTTTTATTGGATTTGCTGTACGATGACCTGTTGCTTTCCCCGACCGGACCCATATCGAGAGTATCGAAAGAACCCAGAGGAGTTGCGTGAGAGTCGGGTAAAGAAAATCGAGCGTACTGTCACGGTGGAACCAGACGTCCAAGGCGGATTCACGCCCGAGAAATTGGAGGAGGAGAAGAAGAAGGGAGGGCGAAAGTCGAGAAGGAAAGGAAAAGGATCCAATGGCGTCAGCAGCGAGTTGGGTACGAATCAAGACAATGTTGATCGGGTTGAGCTGAACGAGAAGAAGTTCCCTGATGGAAGTCGGCAGGTGGACGAAGTGACCTTTTACAAGGACGGAACGAGGTCTGTCAATACAACACGATATGGCCCTGGAGAGTAAGAAGGCTGGGGATAAGGCCGCTTAAGTGTCCGGGCAGTCAATTGTACAGTTGATGATCAAATTTGTGTATGTGGTCCTAAACCATAAGCGAGTAAAGTTAGGAAAGTCAGTTTTGTTCTTCGGACACAAATCATGCTATCGTTATTCCGATTGATCTACTGTATGCTTCTACTATTAAGCCCTACTATCGAGTCAGGCACAGCTTATCCTGTGTATACCCGGGCAAAGTTGACACTGCTGGCACCACAAACAGGGCAACTGCAATTTTGCGTCATCTTTTCCACACAACTGCCGCAGAAGAAAAAGTGCATGCAGGGCATGGCGATATGAGTCCGTTCTGCTTCGTCACAAAGAATGCAAGGAGACAAAATGGTAGCGGACCTTGCTCCAGATCGCTCAGATTCAAACGAGGCAGAACACAAGGGAGCAGTGCCTTCCTCTTTGAAATCTCTGGACGCAACATGAGAAATGGGGCCTGGAGAGGTACATCTGGGCCCTGAAGGCACAATATTATTCAGTTCTCGTTGTCGTCGCAAGTATTCCTCTTTCTTCCTTTGGATGCGCTCTTGCTCCTTCCATTCCTCTTGTGCCTTGTCTTCTTCTGCTTGCAGTTGCTTCTTGCGTTCTACTTGTAGGTATTGAGATACGAGCTCCCTTGGTTCTCCCTCACTACCAACATTCATGCCCAGCATTGAATTCAAAGGCGCAAGAGACATGTTGGCGACCTCAGAAAGTTCTTCGACTTGATTGAGAACCGCTTCTCGAGGTGGTGATGCATGTCTACTCTGGACCTTTCCAGTCTTCTTGCTTGGGGTTTTCTTCTTGGAACTTCCAGTAAGCTTGGGAAGAATCTTCCACACCCCTTTTGTTTTGGATTTTGTCGCGGTTCCAGAAGACTTTTCCGATGATGATTCCTTCGTTCGTGCCGTGGCGATGGTACTGGCAACACTCTTGTCCATGTTCTCATATGTATATCTAGTAAAGTCGGCTAGGGAGTCCCCCGATGATCGATTGTAGTCAGTTGCGGACTGTGCAGGTCTTCGCGGAGATTGATCAAGTTGAGGATGCGCATGTGGTTGCTGGTGACGTTTCTTTTCGTTCACCTTTCGTTGCAGTCTCTCAAAGTATCTCCGTTTGTATTCTTGCTCTTGTTTCCACTGATCGTATCCACCAATGTACGAGGAAGGCATCGGCTCCTTGTTCTGCACTTTATTCACGTGTTTCTGCAGTTCTTCCTGTGTCAGAAGAACTGCTCCGGAATCCATATCATCGCTGCCATAGCCATTATCTTCGCCGCTCTCGTCAATCGAGTGAAAGGAAATTGATTGCATAGTCTGGTGGTAACTCCGATTCAACGCCGCCTCATCCTCGTCACTGAGTTTTCTTGGCGGCGGTACCAGCTCAGTGATCCCATCATCGTCGTCATCGTGATCCGTCCACACCATTGGCGAAACGAGAGCTTCATTGTCAGAATCCTCTGGCAATATGGTGGATGATGTTATCTTTTTACGAAACACGGAGGCATGTTGCACATTCTCTTCTTCGGCCTCGCGCACTACATCATCATCCTCATCCTCATCGTTGTCATAATCCTCGATTGAAGAATCGTCCAAGTCTACTGGTCCACGCCAATGCTTCACTCGATTGTTGCTGGCTATCGACTCCTGCGCCGTGGGATTGGAGGAGGTCCGACTCACGGATCCACTTGCCAGTGATGCTTGTCTTCGCTCATGTATCCGATGGTCGTAATCGTAGTAGTCTTCGACATCTTCATCTTCTGGGTGGTCCAAATCTCGAGGAGGCGTACTAGGAGCTGTGGAAGGAGATGAGGGTCTGGAAGTATTGATCACCATACATTCGTTCAACCGTGTCCCAGTCACGGTTTTGGGAGATTGGGATCGATTTCCTACTTCTTTCGTGGCAGAACCAGCACCAAGCAAGTTGGATTTTTGAGCTACAACCGTAGTTGCCCTGGCAGCATTTGCTGAATCTCGTTTCGATGGCCATTCTGCCGAATTCATGCGGCCATAAGGATCACGTGGAGGATATTGTACGGTAGTCTTTGTTTCAGTTGTGTAAACTGAAAGGTCCGCACTCGAGTCATCATTCAATAAGGTTGGTCGTTGTTGTGACTCTTTCTTTTCATCCTGTTGCATGAACAATTTCAAAGGCAATGTAGGGATCGTTACACCTTTCTCGTTTTGCTCTTTGTGGCCACCGGAGGAATGGCTGTTCACCTTTCGTTTCTGGTGACTACGGAATTGATGAAACATGTTGATCTATTTTCCAGTGGTTGGAATGCTTTTCAGAGTATGTTCTCAGGTTGTGAGAGTGTTTCACTATCTCTCACAAGCCACTTGCAGTTCTCGACACTGAAGCAAGATATAGGCTGTCGTGCAAAAACCGGAAATGGGTGTGGTAAGAGTTAAAAACCACCTGGATTGTCCTTGTTTTTTTCAAAAACCGAACAAGGTTGTGGTAAGAATTGAAAACACCCCTCAAACCGGTAAAGGGTATTGCCGGCTCGTCACAAAGAAATTTCTCGTTGCCTAAAGTACCAGCGACAGATATTTGTGACATGATGCAAGACATCACATCTGTTTATTTTTCATGTGCAAACAACCACGACACGAACAAATCTCGGGAACAAGATCAGAAATTTCCTGAGCAGACAAAACAGTGGTGCAAGGAGAATAAGAAAGAGGTTAGACGAAGAAGAATCAGGACAGAAACCAGGTATCCAGGGTGCGAAAGAGGTACTTTTCACTGAATTTGCTGACAATATTTTCCATAGACACTACCTGAATGAATCGTTAATTCCGGCTAGTACTACTACTGGCTGAAACAGTACCTGGTACTAGTAACAATAACAAGGAGGAGGAAACAAGAACAACAAGAAGCATCAAGATGGCTGTAAATCGATGCATCACAAAAAAACCTATCTAACCCTCTTCCTTTCACATACTATTATTTCATCCATCGCTGCTTGTTTCACAAATGTCATTATGAACCAATAGCGGTATTGTGATTGAGGATACAGTGTAGGTACAGTATGTAACTCTCTTCCCTCTTCTGTCATCATACTGTATCGGTTCGGCAGGGTAACTGGTAGAGAGGTGTACTCGTATATGTCATAGTTGGACCGCGCGATACTACGCGCATGACAGTATATTGTTTCGGATGCTAAAATTCGCGCCATACTTTTTACTCGGTATTCCAAGTGTTACAGATTTTCTTTACGTGAACTTCCGTAGGCCACAGTCCAAAATTCAAATCGATCGACAGAATGCAAGATATTGCTCGTTCTCCTACATCATTTCCTCTCCACCCAAACCAAGTCGTAGAAAAGGATCGACACTACGAAGTAGCGAAAAAGACCGCGATGCTGACCAGCAGGTGTTTTCTTTGCTGGATCAGCCGATAGTCGTGATAGAAGTTGTTGCACCCATCGCGAACATTTCTTGACTTGTCAAGCGATCCTCAAACATCAACTCATCAAACGTGACTACTGTAGCTGAATTGATTGATTCAATCCTTTCAAATTCATTCGTTAGGCTAAAATGAAATCTTTGAGTCCCGATACTTTGCCGCTCCGACCTGCCAAGAAGCAAAAGATGTCCTCGATCGAAACTTCTTTGCCAATCCATGGAACGCACTTGGATACCCCACTTCGAGGTGGCAGCAACACCAACAACAACAGCCGGTTGGTTACACCAAGTTTTGCTGAACAAAACAAAGACAAAGAAACTAATACCGGTACGGAGTTCGGGTCTTCCCTTGAGCGTTTACCTCCGATTTCCATGAAAGCAATTGCGATGGTATCCAACAAGAAATCCATCCAACAAAACAAGGCCAACAAGATCTCACAAGCTCAAAAGGAGAACCTCATACCTAATAGACTTCTTTCTCCGCGGAATTCTGCGAAAGATACTAGCCGAGACAAGCTCAAGGCCGTTCTTCAACGCAACGGGCAGAATGTCACCGGCACTGTGCAGGTGCTACTGACTCGCGTTGCCGACGGTGAGGCTCATGGAAAGCTTGGCCTCTGTCCCCGGTGCAAAGGTGGCAAACTCAAGATTTGCATGGATAATTCTGAGTTTGTCTATTGCAGCCGCAAGACGCTCTGTGGTTTCCAATGCGTTGCCCACCATGCCCCGCGAGCTGGACCATGGACTTGTGTGTCGTTTGATGATGATGATGATAATGACGATGCAACTAATCATGAAGCACCTTCGGCAACAACCACCACCAGTGCTGGATTGTCTACTGGTCAGCAGACTGGGGATGACAACAAGAAAATACTTTCAATACTACCGCCTACGCCATATTGGAATGCCCAACATGGTGGTGCTCATCCGATGCAACAAGGCTTTGGGCCTCCTGCAATGTACCCGTTTTATTATCCAGCGCACCACTTTGGTTTTCCACATCACCAACATCGTCAACCTTTGTATCCGTTGTACATGGGGCATCCTTCACTGCCACCACCACAGCAAGTTCCTGGGCCTCCTGACATTTACCGCACCCCACCTCAGAGGACTCCGAATAGCGATGGAGTGAAGCAGAACAAAGATACCAAGGTTCACGAGAAACGATCGTTTCCATTGCCAAATCCCGCTCACTTTCCGTACGTATAGAAGACACCTCGACGTGATTTTGAAGCTCCAAAGGCATAAACTGACAATTTTGTTCTCTCCTTTGCTTTCATTGGATTCTTTTTCCTTCTAGTGACAGGGGTGCAGCATCGCTTCAAAGGCATGAAGCAGGGGCGAGGAAGAATGAAAATCACAAAACAAGTCATAGTATTTGCAACTACACACCAGCTCAAGTCGCAATGGCAACGGAAGCCGCCAAAAATGTCCTAGAAGCAAGGCAGCAGGGGGAGACTGCCAAGCAACCGTGGACAGCCCAAGAAGATGAAGTTGTACGAAAGGCTGTCGTTTCGTCACGGTGTAATAATTTCAATGCTTGGACAACTTTGGCGCCGTTTTTGCCAGGCCGCAAGGGGAAGCAAATTCGCGATCGTTGGGTCAATCATTTGAATCCCAGGCTTTTGCACACTCCATTTGACAAAGAAGAAGACTTGCGGTTGTGGAAAGCTGTCACAGACTTTGGCACGAGTTGGAAAGAGATCTCTGTCCGACATTTCTATTCCAAACGATCCGAAAACGCAATCAAGAATCGATGGCACAGTGCCCCATTCCAGAGATTCATCGCTCTGACATTTGGACCGGACAAATACGAGGGAGCCATTGCAAAACTCAAAAAGGGGTCCAAAGACTGTTGATACGCAGCAGTTTTTGGCTTGGTACATTAGCATGATGTTCTACACTCGACGAAACAAACGACTACTTCCAAGGTTGTCGTCTAGAATGCTAGTTGTAGTACCTATCAATAAATAGTAGTGTTACATTATATATAATATATATTCTGAACAATCATGCTTCAAAAATACTATTGCTTGATATTCAATCCATACTTTTTGCGCTGCTTCCACCATGGTGGAAGCTGAGAATACGGAGTGAGAGTCCGGGGTTTCTCCACTCCGTCATTAAATTGCGATAGCCAAACCTGCAGACTAAGCAAAGGAGCGAGAAGATCAATCGCTGCTTTGGGCACACCCATGGGAATGAGGAGGCCGACTAGAGCACCATATCCTAGATTGTCTCCAGTGAATTTGTCTCCGACATATCCTACCGACATCCATTGAATCTGTTTTGAAGGTGTCCATAAGAAGGAGTACATTTCGGGTCCATTGTAAAAGGCTTTCGGTGGATCCTGAGGTTTCAATTCAGCACCCGAACCTGGGAGCTTGGCAGCATTTACATGGGTGCCTCGGTACCGTGCGACGACCCAAACTCGCCAAGGATAATGCGGATCCAAATGCCAGCCATCAAAGTCTGCTGTTAGATCAGGAATAGCTGCTCCAAGATTAAGACCCTCTCGTCCATAGTAGGCGAGCGCATTCAGATAATCCCTCTTGTTGACTGGGCCAATGGTGGGCCCCGATTGGACGTAGTCTTCCGAATAAAAGTGTTCAAAGCCAGCCACCTCAGTGATTCCTCCCGCGGCATCCACAGCTTGGAAATATTCTTCCGTCCATCCTTGTAACAATTCCAGGGTTGGTTCCAAGTTTTCTGGATTGAATGTACTAGACTCTGCGGTCATCACCTCCTCATTCTTAGTACTCGAGTGGAGGATGATTCCACCAGCACGGGATGTTCTGTGCGGCTGCATGATGGAAGGAGCAAAGGCATGCGCAAGGTTGGATGTGGAATGCCACCACGACTCGCTACCAATAAGGGTCAACAGTAGACATGCTTCCCAAACTATCCTCGTGACAACCAACATTGCCACCTTCGATCGAAGTTTCTGCAAATCTTCATAAATTCTGTGTTTGTTTATACGACAGCGTATTCAGTATGACGCATCTGCACTTTCAGTCCTGTGTGTCGAGTGTCGAGCATCTGATCCGAGTCATCTGTTACGATTCCTTCGACCTTGGACTACGGGGCTCGCTTTTGGCGCGAAGTCAAGTTTTTTCACAATGCGCTGAAGACGTAAGGCAACCGAGAACAACCCAAGCGCTGCGCTCCAATAATCTCATTCATCACACTCTAGAAAGCCATGAAACATCCTGATGCAAAACAGCGACATTCGTTCTTTCAGCCACTGCAGATGCGACCAACCAATCAGATGAATGATGGTCGCGAAACCAGTGGCAATCGTAACAACAATGATGGCGACGATAGGATCGCGAAACTCAAACAGAAACCTGTTCCAAAACGGCGGCTCCGGCATGCAAATAGCAGTGAAAGCGACAGTGAAAGTGACAGTGATGATGAAGTTCCCCTTTCCCTTTTGGCCAGCATCAAACCAACAAAGTCGACAGCAACGACAACCCAAAAGCGTCAACGAACATCCAAGACACAGCGCCGAGAGACTAATGCCTTGCAAACAAAACAGAGCAAGTCGAACAAGAGGACGGCTGTTCATGACCTTAGAAACCAGGGATCTGCTTCCAAAGCCTCACGCCAAACTACAGACCGAAAATCCAAACCAAAGGCTACGGTGCAAACCATGTTGTCATTTGCCGTCCGACCAAAAAGAGAGTCTTCCCAGTCCAGTCAATCTACAAAAAATGAAGCTTGTGTGCAGCCTAGAGAGCAACGAGCAGCTGCTTTGTCATCCAGCAGCGAACTGACACGGGATGATAACAGGATGGATTTGTCGACGACATCTCCTGGTCAATCACCAAGTCTGACTGATGGAACTTCCGCTTCATCTTCAAGCAATACAATCGATACTATCAATGGGTCCTCGCAACTGCAGGATACTGAAGAAACAAAAGAGGAAGAAACGGTAGAAACAAAAAGGAAGAAGAAGACACTGCGCCGCATTGTGAGTACAGAATCCGAAATTGATTTTGAACCGCCAGTTCCACAGTCTCCTCCGCACTCTTCCTTGTTGTCCCAACTCTACCAACGGGAAACCCGAGGCAATCGGATTCCATCTTGTTTGGCACAACCCAAAAAATGGAAGACTCCCTCGTGGGTGCGTTTGGGACAACCACCCTGTGTTGGAGGATATCAAAATTCCTCCCGCAAAATTGATCACCTCGCCTGGGATACCATGGGAGTCTTGTTGGCAGTGGCATCTCATTCGACGATTCGGATTTACCATTGGGACATGGTACGAGCAGCCTACTTGCAAGGCCAGAAGGACCAACAACATTGCAGAAGAACTAAAAGAAGGAACCAACAAGACCATGAGGTCGAAAATTCAGAATTTGTCATTCCTCCAGTGCTACAATTTCGAGTGGCCAATGCGATTGCTTCCTTGGCATGGAATCCTTTCAACGAAGATCAGTTGATTGTTGGGTACAGGTAAGTGATTTCTTTGGTCTTGTGGAATTTTCAAGTTGTATCGTAGCCAACCCGTGTAAAATACAGAATCACCGGCGAAGTTCACATGTACAATGTTGACCGATTGGCGACTTGGCAGTCCAAAAATCCAAGAAATCTTGCATCCCTTCCACATCAGTCCACGTACTGGCAGCTTTCTCACCCTCGCACTCGAGGTTCCGCCAATGCCATTCTTGTTCTTGATAGTACAACTATATTGGTAGGCCTCGGTGCGATGGTGCATTGCTGGAAACTCAGCAAGGGACGAAAGACTTCTCTGCTCTGGAGGTATCAACCCCCTGCAGGCGTGACTTGTGCCCGTCAGTTGGGTGCCAATTTGGTGTTACTAGGTACCAATCGAGGACACATGTGCCTGCTGAACTGGAAAAAGTGGAACACAGAGCGTTCATTCTCCACCGAAAAGAAGCCACTTGTTATGCAAGAATGGATACCTCATTCCACCATTCGATCGTCTTTGAACCAAGATCAACGTGGTCGAATGGGGATCATCAATATCAAGGTCGAAACCAGCTGTCCCAGTTATGAGGGTACCAATGCAAATACGACAATGAAAGGTATCGAAAGTCAAACAAATTTTTGGGGATGTTGTAGAATTTCGTGGGTAACGGTTAGTGGCTGGTTGATGTCCACTACCATGAGATCGCCCAATGAGAAGAGCCCGGCCGAGATATGTAGAGCGACCGCCCTTGTCAAGTACAAGAATTCCGATGGCACGTCGAAGGAATCTACACGACAGGAATACAGTCAACCGCATGATCCTGTCACAGTCTGCACCAATAGCAAGTGGATGTGTTGGTCAAGCGTTCCAGCAGTGACCAAGGTTCTGCCACATCACGACAAGCGTGTGTTGGATGGTCAGCTTCAGGTCTTGCGTTCCGAAAAGAGATTGCTTCACTACCGAGATGGCGAGTCTACCCACACGATCAAACTGGCTGGAATGACTACGCCACAATCGTTTGCCATCCACCCGGATAGGGAATGGATCGCAATGGGAGTGGGGGCACGTGTTGTTTTGCTGGTTGGCCGCAATTAGGAAGTTTGCTGTAATGATGCCACAAATAGGCTATTCAACTTGCCTAGGAGTAAATAATAGAGAATATGCAAAAATGCAGGACTATATGTACAGAAATGTAGGACAATTATATATGTACAGTATCTAAAATTAACAAAAGAGCCTTACGCTGAAGTGATTGGAGGTGATGACCCTCTGTTGAATCCAAGCAACAGGTCGGCGTCGCTCTGAAGAGCAGCCACGGACTTGGGAGATTTCTTTTCTTTGGGTGCTGTACTTGTTGCCACATGTTCGCCAGTTTTTGCTTTCTTTCCTCCCTTGGAAGTTGCATCACTGTTGGTATCACTATCAGATCCCTCAGAGTCTGGTTTGTCTTCCTTGGAAGAAACGGAAGGCTTGCGGTTTCGCTTGAGTCCAGCCCCTCCCTCTCTGTTCAATATCCTCTTGAGAGTAGAATTCCATCGGTTTTTGATAGAGTTGTCTGTACGTCCCGGTAACCTCTTAGCGATTTCAGCCCAACGATTTCCCAATTCCCTGTGAGCTTCCATCAATACCAAATCCTCTTCTTCAGTCCACTCGGACTTGTTGATATCTGGGTTAAGGTGGTTATACCAGCGTTCGCGGCACTGTTTTCCCAAACGCCCCTTTAACTGGCGAGCAATGAAGCTCCACTTCTTGTTGCCGTGAAGCTTCACAAGGCGAACGACCTTAGAGTCTTCTTCCGGTGTCCATGGTCCCTTGATCAGACCAGGTTTAAGGACCTTTTGCCATCTATGAAGACATTGCACATCTGTTCTCCCTGACAGACGAGATGCAATCTTCTTCCAGCTCTTACCCCCATAGTCTGAAACTGCTTGGCGCAAGCAGTCATCTTCTTCCTCTGTCCATTTACCCATGGATGCACGGCGCTTGAAAATTGCTCTGGAATCGATCTTTTCCGTCTTCTCCTTTGCAGGAGCCCTGTTTTCTTCGTCGAGAGCTGGTTGTACCAGACAATTTCTGGTCTCCTTGTTAGGAGAAGAGTCAACAAGGCGTGGAGTACATGTTGAGTGACTTGAAGGAGTACCTTGATTCGAGCCCTTGCTATTGGAAGGGATTTCTGGTGATGCTGCCTCTCCTCGTGTAGGGCTGCCGTCTACCCTGTATCCATATGGATGTGGTGGAGGTCCATGCATGAAGGGACCATAAGCCGTGCCTTCGCGGTAGTGTCGCATCATGTGTGGTGGAGGTGGGGGATATGGACCGTGTTTCCAGTAGTATGGGCCTGGTGGTGCTTGGGGGTGTTCTCCAGCATAGCCACCACCCCAGCGGTAGTGCCCCTCGTGGTAGTGAGGATAGTATCCTGGAGGCATTGGGCGCGGAGGATAAGGTGGCATGGCGTGGTATGAATGTGGGTATCCTTGAGCTGGGCGGGGGAACGAAATTGTTGGCGGGACATTCACTGCAACATTCGTTTGCTCTTGCTTGTTCGCAGGCTTTGACTTGTCGTCCTTCTCAACCTTGTCGGACTCTGATGCGTTCTTCTTCTTACTACTAGCAGAGGTGTCTTCTTTGGATGTATCAGAGCAAGAGACCTCTGAGGCTTCTGCGGCCATTGCCGCGGACGCAAGTGCTCCAAGTGGATCATTCATCATCATTTTGTCTTGTTCAGCTTGAGGAGGCATATCTTGTTCCTTCGAAGGTGTTTCCTTCAACGCTTTTCCACTTTCGTTCTGCTCTTTCGAGTTGGAAGATGCCGACATATCGTTCTGAGACAAACGTTGTGATCAGAGTGAACTAGCCGGTATGATAGCCTGGAAAATTTGAAGCCGTTCAATTGAGGGACGAAAAAATGTGATCGGTAAAAATCGGATGATACGTCTGGCGAGTATTTTTGGCATTTAAGGACAATTTCCGTTTACCGGCTTCATGTTGTTCATGATGTACTTATGCTTTTGGAATTTACCCGTTATATTTCCTATTTGGAAATTTGCAGAATGTTCAATTGTGGCGAGGTTCGCGTGATGCTGGACAAAAATATGCGAGTTAGCATGGCGGGCAGATTCGTTTGACATGACTCACACGGACAAAGATTGGCTTTTCTGGTGGACAAAATTAGGTCCGGCGGGAGAGCCGATAAGAGTTACTGCACAGTAGCTGTTAGTTGTCAAGCCAGCACATTGTCTTTTCTGATGACGGAAGGGCAATGGTATTGTATTCCCCGACGAACGAGGAAACCAAAATGATGATTAATTTTGGTGAGCAACAATTCTTTTATTTTTATTTTGTAAACGGTAATTTCTTCAACAAGTGGATGGCTGATTCTGGGTACTTCTAACAACGCTGGATGACACCTGAGCAAAGAGATCTAAATATAGTTTGATTGTATTCCAAACTGCACCATTCCAAGAGATTCCTTTATTCCTTTAGGTGGAAAAGCCTTAAAAAGAAGGCGCCAAACATGGGTAATAACACTAGGGTATTGTAGACATAACAACAACCTTTTTGAAAAGTAGTCGCGCGAGTCAAACTTTGCAACTTTGCTTGGGGTGTCTGCAAGGCAAGTTTTTGAAAGGTCATTCCTCAATCCTTCACCACGACACCGAACGTTTATCTCTTGTCCTTCGACCCAAGAGACCACAATAGGGCCTACAGCAGAAAAATGGAGAGAAAATATGAAAGAATAGTGCCTGGTGGTGATAGTCACCGACGTACGGGATCCCACGGCAGCAATGAGTCTGTTGAAGCAATGAACGGTCCGATTGTGGATATGCAAGCTGGGAATAATGCTGTGCACGTAGACGAGGAAAATGACAGGGAAGAGAAGTCTCCACTCAGAACAAAATCTGGTGAGAAGGTTATTTCTCCTTCCGATCAATCTCAGCGTTCGGTGCACTCTCCTATAGCCTTTGCGCATTCGTCATCTTTCACCTTTGATGATGCGTTTGACGAAGACGAAGAAAACCTCAAGCGGTATAATCTTGATTTTTCAATGGATGCGGGCGAAGCGACGTTGTCGGACTCGGTGCACGGGGGAATCCCTTTCCGCAACTCAGACGATCATGACTCGACCACGTTGCAGCTTCTCTGGAATTCATTTCAGTCCCAGAGACAAAGAGCACGTCAACGACGGGCTCAATTATTGCTGCAACAGTCTGAACGGAATTTCCGACAGGGCGTTTGGATCTGCATGAACACTTATTGTGATGCCACAGATGGAGGTCTTTTGCTTTTCGCTTTCCTCATCTTCGTCTGGGTGATCAAGATCATGAGCCTAAATGATGCGACAGCGATGCGGCATTGGTTCCTCGCTGGCATCTTATTGATTTCACTTCGGCTTGGGGTTAGGCCACTGTCTGGGTATTACACACGGCAACGACAACGAAGGAGGTTGCAATCACAAGATCGCCAGCCTCATCACGTTTTGCCGACACAATCACCTGCTCCGACAAAATTGAGGCAACGGACCCATAGCAATGATGAAGAGGACAAGACCACTCCTCGAAGATACCGTGATGAACCGCCCAGCAGTGGCAACCTCGAACTACAGAGTGTTACTAGTAGTACTGCCAGTCTGACTTAGGTTAAGAATGAAATTTTTAGTACACGAATGTTTGTGAATACTATCCTTTGAAAAGTGTCGTTTGATACGGATGACGGTGTTGGAAGAAAACCAGGCGATCTTTGTCTCAGTCGTGATAGCGTTTCTGGCCATTGCATCTATTTGGTCTTCTGCATTTCTTGCATTGTCTCGATGGAGATATATATAAAGCTCGATGGGGCTTTGAGTCAGCTGACGCTGCTTTACAGTCTCTTGCTTGAATAGTCACAATGGGGTGTTACTTCACAGGAAAGAAAATGAGAAGGCTTCGATCTTTTCTGTTTTTGCCATGACACTCTTGGGTTCGGCAGTGGACGTGATGGCTTCGTGTTTTCGCTTGCCAGAAATATGGTTACAATCAAGAGTTTCCGCACTTTTTGCTGGCTCGTCTTTCCAAGTGCGACAGGTCCAATCCTTTTGTTCTAATGCCTTTTCTAGGTGCTTCGGTTCCTTCTCTTTGAGTGCGTTGACGAGCTCGTCATAGAGATGCTCGGGTTTCACACTCTCTTTTCTGTCTCGGCAACCACTAATTTGATCTTGTTTGGCTGTGAAGAATTTCAGCACGTTGCCCAGGTTACTCGGACTGACGTAGTTGTGGGTGATGGCAATATTGCGGTCATCTAGATTGATGACACTGTGCCACCATCCATGTGGTACAAAAATAACATCCCCTGGACCTACTGTGCACTCCATTGGACGCTCGTGTGGAGGCCTCGAGCGATATTGCTTCGTGTGCTCTTCCCAGTACTGCATGAGCCATTCGCCAACAGACAAAGGCAGTGCAACCTCATCACCATCTTCTGAAGGAAATATACCGGGTGGGTTGACCCCAGGTGGATAAAAGATCCAACGCTTGCGCCCTTCGATGCAAGCATTCCAAGCATGAGTACAGTTTGGGTCCAAATGAAAGACAGATCCACTTCGCTTGGGTCCCATGATCATCCATGTATGATCTGGTCTCCTCTCTGCTCCCAAATGCTGCAGCAAATCATGACCATGGCTCGCAGCGGGATCCCAAAACGGGCATTTCTCGTAGAATTCTGGGAAAAAGTCGTTTGACCACTGGTTATTGGAAGCAAAGGCAGTTCGATCGAAAAGATAAAGCGGGGATTCTTCCAAATACGAAAATTTTCCGTATTCCTCGTACGCTTTCAGTTCAAATGTAGCTGGCAGAGGTGCTGCTCCACTGGTGGCTCGAAAGGTCGTAGATTCGTCGACATTCTGTTGGAGATAATCAGACTTGCGCCATTTGTTCAGAGCCATTCCTTTTGCAGCACCTTCGATAATAACAGGCATATTCTTCATTTCGTACTCCTCAAAGAACTGCTCAGGTGATATATCTTCGACTGCAACTCGTGGCACTTCATTCGGAGAGCTAGGCGACGAAGATTCTGAATCATTACACCACGCCGATGGAATTGCAAATGATCGACACAAGTGTGTCCGATAGTATTCATCAGAATACACGCCCGATACTGGTATCGGTGAATGGTCCTTTCCAGAGTCTTTCACAAACAGAGCCAAGTAGGTATCTCTCCATGACGGTCGAACTGCTCGTATCGTTTTCTTTTCCTTGAAACACTGTCGTAGAACCAGATCGCGCCAAAGTTCTGGCTGGTGACCAGCGACATAGAAGTAATGTGATGATTGTACTATGCTGCCCAACATTTTGGCATCAAAAAATGATAAAATCTGCTGCCATATGGTATCTGCGAAAACTTCCTCTGATCGAATATTCGAAGCACCGAAGAACCGATTCCCACCAGGAAGGACACCGTAAGGGTGCATCTCATCCAAGGATAGAAAGTCGGCTTTCCTGACAGACCTGCCCATTTTTCTTCCTGTTTTGTGTTCGGTTTTGCTTTTTGTTTTTTGGGGTTTTTCAACAGGTAATGAGTCTGAGTCAATGTAATCCAGTCGGAGGAGTCATAACCATTCCATCGAATCGATACATGCAAAGAACTTCCGATCATGGACTGGCAGCAGGCAGATCTTGAATTGAGAACCCTCAACAAGATGATGAGATTACAGTATAGTAGATCCTACTCTTGAGCAAATAATAATATACATACTTCCCAATAAGTTTAAGTTCCCAATAAGTTTAAAATCCCAAGTTTATGATGCAGTTAGCATAGCTTATTATTTGAACAAGTGCTTTTCTTCTTGCAGCAGCAGGTTGAAACTTTAGCAACAATTTCCAAGCTGCCTGTGATGCCTATGCGGCAGGAGCAAAACAAAGCTCTTTCGGTTGAAACAGTGCATTCAATAGAAAGAATATGTAGTCTTCGTCCACGTCCATTGATGGATTGGGAATAGACAGAGCTTGGCGTAGCTGCTTGAAGCATTCCACAGTATGATCCACTTGGAAGGACTGTGCAAAGATATTGCCCATGTTATTCAGTATCGCCAGCAATAGTTTGTGGCATTCCACTATACAAGTGACTCGTCTCAGCCGATGAAAGGCAGACTCGTACATTTGCAGTGCATGCGGAAGAGCAGCGGATATTCCCTGCCGAACCCCCATGTTGTGGTAGACTAGCGCTAAATTGTACAGAATCACGGCACTGGTGCAATGCAGGTATTCTCCTGTTAGTATATGGCCACATTGGCCCGTGGCCATGACCAGTCCTCTGTTGTACAAGGAGTGGATCGTGCCGGAGGAAGAGTTCGAAAAATTAGAGGGTTCGGGATTCTTTGATGGGGGTGTCTTTCTAAGAACTTGATCAATATATTGATTCATTGTACTCGAAATGCCATCATCACAAGCTGAATAGAGTTGTTGTGGACCATTGGGAACTGAATAACCATCGATAGGCTGGGACTGGAATCGATCAATAACATGGCAGGCCATTCCTAAGGAATCAATGGCCCTTTGATAGTCACCGGATAGAAAGTGAGCCAAACCGACGTTGTTCAGTTCGACTATAGATGATTCAAGAGGCGAGGATTCCATTTTGCTTGAAACTGGTTGAAATGTGTATTTTAATATTTGGTAGCTTTGATAAGAATGATGATGCAGCTGCTGCTGGATGGTTCGTGATGCCAGTCAAAGAAACAGACTGCTCCATCTTCCTTCTCCCCAGAAAGCGAGGAACCGTGGAATGTTCTCCCATCTGTGAGCTAAACAAAAACCCATCGCTCAGACCTGTTCCTCAGACTTGCATCCGAACAGTCAGTCAAAATCGTACCGAGGAGAGCATGCAGGGTGTGGAAAATCGCGCCGGTTGGCATCAAAAGCGCGTGGAAACGAAGGAAACTCTTCTTTGTCTGTTCCACTCTCGCCACCACGAGCCTAAAATCCTGTGCGAAACATGAGTCACGAGTCACGATTGGTTTGTTTCGCCAACAAAATTCTCATTTGCAATATCAGTTCCGCTGTGTTTGAAGCACTCTAGCTAGCTAGCATGTTCGAAGCATGTTCCACTTCGTCTCGGGGATTGGCGTTGTGAATGTCTGCGAACGCTTACAACATGTCTTTCAAGACCATAGCCTTTCCCATCTAGAATTGGAAGGGGTTGCTTTTGATGACCAATCCAATGCCTACCTGAATCAGCAATTGGCAAACAAATATTTGGAGGTAATCGTCTTTCGAAATTGCCAAGATGCACGTATTGACTATTGGGCACACGTTCAAACTTTAACCTTACAGTGATCACAACCCTATATGGACCACATTGTCATTGGGGATCAACTTGTAGAACTCAACTTGATGTTCATCAGTTTCTCGGAAGGTCTTGCAGCTTTGTTGGGTAGGCAAATAGGGAACCGCCGCAAACTGAAATGTCTCGATTTCTCCGAATCCAGATTCCTTCAGGATGGTCCTTGGCTGTTTGCGCAAGGACTTGCACTCAACTGTACTCTGGAGACTGTCAACTTTGCAGACTGCAACTTGATGGACGAGTCACTGGCACATCTTGTCAATGCCCTCCATCACAAGCAGCCATTGGCCAACTTGGATATTTCGTTCAACAAATGTCGATCTAGGGGGGTAGCGGCATTGGCCAATATGATCACGCATAAAGAATCGCTAAGAGAACTATCGATGGGGTTTCAGGCATTCGGAGAAAGCAAACAAATTGAGTTACAGCCACTGTTTATTGCCTTGAGCAACTCCAATTCCAAGTTGGTGCGTTTGGAGATTGGGGGAAATAGTATTTGCGATGATGATGTACCATATTTGATGGACATGTTGTGCATAAACAGCTCTGTCAGCTCCTTGGATTTATCCGGGAATCGAATATCTGACGCTGGTATTCAAGTGCTGTCGGCAAGACTGAATGATGTCAAGGGGCTTCGCCATCTGGCATTGGAAGAGAACAATATCCAATCTCCTTCATTGGAGGCTATGGCCAGAGCTTTGAAGTCCAACCTGAGCTTGTCAGATGTGGAGCTTGACGAAAGTTTAGGTTCAAGTGACGGTGTCAACCAGGAAAGTTGGAGAAAACTTGCATACTTTCTTGATCTCAATTGGGGCGGACGCCGGTTAATAAATGAAGAACGTGACGCTCTTCCTGGATCACTATGGCCCCTTATTTTGGCACGAGCTAGTCGACCACAAGATTTCAATTTTGCAAGAGACGTGAAACAGCAATGACGTTACTTATTTTATACTTCAAGAAATAGCGCAGCTGTTGGTATAATTAAGAACCGTACCATGAAGAACTGATTCTATGATTTGGTGAGCGCACCTGAATACAGTAGTCCTACAGTACACGTGTAGCTTGATCTAAAGAGTGTCTAATAATCCTTACGCTCCAATTTTGTGATTTCTGCTGTAAAAACTATTGGTTGAGATGCCTCGACAGTAATGGTTGGTTCCATCATTCTATTAGACGAAGATATGAAGGTGGAGAAGCTCAGCGGTGTGTCGCCATTCAAGTTCCACTTGAGGCCAGTAGTAGTGATCGATTCGCAGCTCATTCCCAGCGGTATTAGTCCACAGGTTGGGCCCTCACCAAATCTGTTTGAAGGGACGGTCTCATCATAAAATGGCATTTTGATTTCAGTTTTTACGTTGGGTGCTATCAGGAAAGAGCAATTTTCCTCACTGTACAAGTATATTTGGTTCTTGAAAGTCGTGGCCCATTTGTAGAGCGTGTAAAAGGATGCCATCTCTTGATCGAATCTCCCACCATATGCACCATAAATAAAGACTTTATCATATCCTTCACACCGTTTCAATGCCTTGTCGAGGTCGTTTGTATCTTGGCATTTGTCATGTGTCACCTCTGTCTTGTGCTTTTCAAAGTGGGCTTGGACCTCTGGCAACAAAGAATCCAAGTCACCAACAATTTTGTCGGGAATGTAGTCTGTAGAAGGGTATGTAGCACTGTAAAGTCTATTGGCGCCCCCATCAGCACATATCCGAACAAGGCTGAGATTCCACAACTTTTGAAAACATACACTTGGAGGTTTGGGAATTGGCAAGTTCAAAATAATGAGGGCAATTTTGGGAGCATTGGATGACGTTTGCTCAATAAATGGACTTGTAAATTTCATTGCCATGATTGGAACAGGTTTCAATGAGGAAAAGATGGAGGTTAAGATGATGAAGATTAGGCAGAGAAAGGAATGGTTTCCCATTCGAATTCCATTTGTTGATGTTTGATTTGGTGCTTATTGGTCGGTGTGAATCGATCCCGAAGGCCAAAACGTACATACTTAGTTTCTGATTTAAATCATGTCCCATATACGATACGATGTCCGATGTGACACATCGTCTACTGGTATTTAGGACGGTTTTTGCTCAACGACTGAAAACTACTGGTATGGCACATGGTCAAACCAAGACAGAAAACACAGAATCTTCCAACAAACGAAAAGTAGCTTCCATATACTTGCATTCCCCAATACCAGTGAAACCATGAATGATGAGGAGATGCGATATGCCGAACGGCTGAGTCTGCAACATCAAGACCGCGTTCAGCAACAAAGATCTGCTGAGGAATCTAGATTTGCCATAGAAATGGAAGCTCTTCCTGATCCTGATGATATGTTTGGAAAAGTCAGTAGCGACCGCTACAGTGACGAAGGAGAAGTATTGAACCTACGGTCCCAAGCAGATAGGGCGCCGAACAGACGGAAAGTGTACATTTGGATTTCCTTGATAACAATCTTGCTCCTCGTGGTGGTTGTAACACCAACCGTCACTGTTGTGAGTCGACAAAGTTCTTCTTCCGTTGGGGACGGGGAAGACAGCACACTATCCGAGCAGCCACCCACTAGCAGCCCGGAAAACAATGGCACCAACGGTCCTCCAATGTCGACAGAATGGGATTATTCAACGATACCCTTTTCAACTGTTGATCCTGCCAGCAAGTTGTATAGTTATGTACGACCAGAAGAATCCTCTCCTTCCAACAGACTGAATGCGTTACGGCAATCTTTTACGCCGAATGCTTCCATTCAGCGAGAAAGCCAATCTCGTCCTCTTCCAACCAGTGCTTGGTATCAAAATATGCTCATGCTGGAAGAGCAAGAAGAACCGACCACCACCAATAGAGTATATGCCATGCCCTATGTGGTGGACGCCAGTGGCGAAATTCCGGGTCTGAGGATTCACACCTTTACCAAAGTGACAACCTACAATACTGTCAATCTGAATGTGAATGAACCTCATGCATTGACTTTGGGGGCAGCCTTGGACGTTCGAGAATCCAATGAAGCTGGCGAGACCACCAACGGATACACAGTGGAGGCAGCAACTGATTTGGGGGTAACGCTAAACTGGGACTACTTTCCTATGACTTCGACGATTATCAAGGGCATGCCGTATGCGACAATGGAGTATGAAGCGAGGGTAAATAGAAGGGGTGTCAGTATGAACATTCTGCCAACCATCTATTCGGAGGTTGAGTTGATTGGCTCCATGAAAGTTGATGGAAGAAGTCAAGGAAATTGTGACGATCTTGGGCAGTTCTCGGTGGAACAAGAAGCTGAGCTATTGTTTCAAAGTGGTGTCACATGGATGGTATTCTTCTCGCGCCCTGCTTTCTTGCAGTGCTCGAATGCCAATGGTCGGTTTCTCCTTCAAGTTGTGGAAGACTTTGACAAAGACACCCCATTTGTGCTTCGAGTCGCCATGGTTGTTCCTCCAGAAAATGAGGAGGCGTCAGAGGAAGCCTTTGCAAACAAATACAAGGAATTCTTGCGCAAACATGTCAATGTGTACCCCGGATCGCAATCCAGTGTGACTCACAGTGTGGGTGCGGCAAAGAACTATGGGAATGTCCTTTTTTCTTGGGATCCTCAAGAGATGATAAGTGGTGGGGGAGGGAAACTAGCCATGTTTGCATTGCCGCATCATCAAGACCTTTTATGGGATATTGTGGAAAAGGATCTTTGCACCATATCTCTGCTCGGTCCGCTTTGTCCAATTGTTGGTTCCTCATGGAGCATGATTGAAAATCTTCCCAAGGTTTCCTTCCGCGCACCTCGGCCTCCGAACCCTGAAATGCTGGTAGAACTGGCGAAAGCACTGCATTCGGACATTCTATATCAAATTCCAGAAAACTTCAAAAAAGGAGCTGGAGATACATACTTTTCCGGAAAGGCCCTTGGAAAACTCGCAAGAATCCTTCTCATTCAAGAAGAGATTGCCCAACTTTGCCAAGACGGCAGTGGCGACTTTCTAGAGGCCTGCTTGGATGTCAAAGAGCACATGCCAACAGAATTGGAAGTCAGCACGGCACTTGAGCAGCTTCGCGATGGTGTGGAAATTTGGTTGCATGGAAACGCGCAAGCTCCTTTTGTGTATGATCCTGTTTGGGGCGGAGTTGTCAGTTGTGGATGTACCTACAGTTACGGGAATTGTTTGAACAAAGTTCCAAACTGCCCTGCCTTTACTGACAAACTTCTCAATTTTGGAGGGGGCTTTTTCAGTGACCACCATTTCCACTACGGATATCACGTCTACGCAGCCGCCGTTCTGAGCCACTTTGATCCTCAATGGGGGCGTCAGAATTATGAAGATGTTTTGTTGTTGGTCCGAGACTTTGCCAATCCATCGTGGGAAGATGACTTCTTTCCTCGTTTCCGGCATAAGGATTGGTATCAAGGGCACTCATGGGCGTAAGTTTTTCTGATTGTGTTTGACACTTTGCATTTTGACTCTTGTCCAACTAACGACGGTCTTTACAGAAATGGGATAAGCGTCAGCTTTATGAATGGAATGAACCAAGAGTCATCAAGCGAAGCTATCCATGCTTACGAGGCGGTTGCGCTTTTTGGAAAAACGCTGTATGATGCATTCCAAGACGCTGGAGATTCTGACAAAGCTGCTTCTGCAGATGCTGTGTATCGCGCTGGTTTGATTTTGACTTCAACGGAAATTCGTTCGTCACAACGTTACTACCAAGTAACGCATACCAATGAAGCCAAAAAGATTTACCCTGATGTTTACGAACCTGCTGTTGTTGGCATCTTGTGGTCAACGATGGCTCACTATGGGACATGGTTGTGAGTAACAAAACTGCTCTTCCAGCATTCAATCGTCTCCTTTCTTCAGCACTAACAAACGGTTCGTCCCACCATTTTACACAGTGGCAACAAACCATACTATATCTATGGAATACAGCTCTTGCCGTTGACTCCTGTTTCAGAATTACGGGATGATGTCGAATGGTCAAAGGAAATGCTTCCTCCCTTTTCTAGCTCTTGTGATGTATCGTGCAGAACAAGCGGCTGGTCAGTTGGAGTACTTGCTATTTTGGCCACAGTTGGACATAAGGGAATTGCTTTCGAACAGGCAATTGAACTTCCTGACTCTTCATTTGAAGGACCAGCGGGAGGTGGCCACTCCAGGAGTAACACCTTGTGGCATATTTCCACGCGACCAGATGTTGACGAGCCATTGCTCTTAGACACTTCGTTGCCCAACATTGGCTCTGGTGGTGCCATTTCCTGCTCTCAACCTACATCATGCACAGAACGAGTTTTGAGCACTTTGGCCGCAGGCTATTCTTGCCAAAACAGAATAGTATGGTTGATGGATAACAAAGGTCTCTCTGAGACTGATGCCTGCGCTGAAGTCGCTGTAAAAGAGTTTCCGAGTGAATGCGGAGGCTGCGATCCAAAAGTTAATGATGGGGGTGATCAAGGATCGGTTGATACAGTGCAATATTGTGACAAACCAGCGACCTGCACCGATGCTGTCCTGGATACTGTAGCAGACGGATTTTCATGCAGATCCCGAATCGCATGGCTCATTAGCACAATGAAAATGTCACGAGACGATGCATGCTTTCAAATCGCTACCCAAGAATTCGCCACTGCTTGTGGTCCTTGTGATCCTACTGGATTTTGATTCAACTAGTTGTACAGTAAGAGACTATTGCTTAGAATTTTGTTACTCAAAACTTTGGTTGTCTCGTTAAACGATTCTCTCCATTTCTGTGGCGTAACTTAGATTTTGGGAAATGAGTTCCATCGAGGGGATATCACTGACCTTGGATCCAGAGGGTGGCAATTGGAAAGTTATCGCGTGGTTTTCAACAATCCAATCATCACGGCATTCCTCAATATAGTCCATCAATTCTTGTTGCGCGTCGAATTTCATCATTATCATGGCATCTTCAAGCGTCATGGATTGGTAGGATACCTCCATGCAGTCTGCTATACTATCTCTGACAGTTTGTAGCAAATTGTCAACAAAGAATTGATATGATGCATCAGGGACCTTTACGTTCAAAACCTCGTCATATATTCCGACCATCAGCTGTCGTTCAAGATTGATAGGAAATGAAACAAAAGCGTTGGATGCTTCCTCCTCTGTCAATAGTTCCAACTCTGCATGAAATTCGGACAATCGGTTGTCCACCAACAAATGCATCAAATTGAGCCCCAGAATGTGGCATTTGCGTGCCGTAGTCTTGAGGAGAGCATAGTATGGCTTCAACTGAGCAACGTTCCGCCCAAAAGCATCAAAATCACCGTCGGCCACTGTGAACAAGACCCCCAATTCCAGTGTTTCGGCAGCGACTATGTTATGTGCTTCCGATTCAACAGGAAAGTTCAACATCATAATCTTTAGCTTGGAGAGACATTCTTTCCCTCCGGCAAGGTCACCGGCTTGAAATTTGGCATTGAGTTCCTTGAGGACTGGGGCAGCAATTTCTAAACTCATGGTTTCAAAGGTTTCGTTGGTATCTATCACACACTAACTCCAAGTTTTGAATTGGCTTCAAAAGATGTCGGATGAAGCAAACAGAAACACGCGTAGAGCTTCGTTCGTTTCAGTACCGAGTAATCGACTGGTTCGATTGATTCATTCATTCCACCGATCGGGAAAGGTGCTGTACTTTACAATGTACTCAATTCAAAAAGTCTAAAACCAGTCAACCATGCGCTTTTTTACTTTAGGCTAGTGGTCTGATATCATGCTTAATCTATTTCCACAGTATTTGTTTATGTTGGTGCATGTCTTGTTGTTTTCATCTTATTCGACCATAACCTCTTCTTCTTAGAAGTCTTCACGATCAATTTCTTCTACAAGTGCTTGGATTTCATCGTCATCAAGCTCTTCTAAACGCTTGGCGATTACGGCGTTTTCATAATCCTTTAGTTGCTTGGCCTGTAGTTTGAAAGAGGGAAAATATGAATGCCATGATCACGTCACGTCACGCCAGTAGTAGTGCCGATAGGTCTGGTAGTCCGCCACTTACATAAGTCATATCTTTGGTTGCCACACGAAAAATATATGTTCCCACCCATGCAAAAGTTCCGATTGCGGTGAAACCAACACCAATCCACTTTCCAGCTTCAACCCCATCAACGCCAAAGAGGCCAGTTACCACGTTGTATGCGAGGAATGGAAGAATCAAAAGAACAATACTCAATACAATAACCCCACCCTTTGTATTGGGATCCAGCCAAAAAGGAAGCGAGTTTTCTTTATTCTCTGCGGACATTGACAGTGCGGTGGTAGTGGTGAATCTTTGAGATGATTGTGTTGTTGTTGATGATGATGACGATGGATTGAACATCTTGAAAGGTTGTTGAAGAGCAGATTGGCATCTTGCTTGTGGGGCGACAAATGCCTGAGTTACAGCGACACAAAGGAAGGCAAGGAGGGTGACCAATATACTTCGTGACATCTTTCTTGTTGTTGCCGTGTTGTCAGTGATGGTTCTTTGTTGTTTCCAATCAGTCAGATTGATCCAAACGTCATCAACGGTTCTGGTGGAGTTTCGTGGTTCTTTCCTACCGGTAGAGTAGTCCCAAACAAAAGTTGGCGGATTTGAGGGATGAGAGATACAGAGGAAATATGCCCCCAAAACCCCCTAACAAATTTCCAAAATTTGCACAACCGGCAGGCTCGAATATAGGCCAGATTGCCGTTGTATCCGATTCGGGCGAACAAAAAGGGACATTTGTGGTGCTTGACTTGCGCCTTTCCTAGGTACCCGGTACCTTCCGGATCAAAGGCTCGATCAAGGCTTCAGCCCCCTGTTCAAGAGTGAAAAGCTGAAGGGAAACTCTCTGTTAATGAAAGCAGGCTTGAAAATTGGCCTTTTGTTGCTATTGGGCGTGAAGAGAACAGCACCAGTATTCAGCGTTGAGTGTTGAGGCTTTCTTGGCGGTGATATTGGAGGAAACTCGTAGATAAAGAGGCACATTCCGATTGAGCGTTGGGAGTCATAATGGAGGAGCTTCAGGATGCCATCGAGGATGCCCAATATGTAAATGCTATTGCGACGCAGGAGGAAGGACCAAGGCCTGTTCTGGCTTGGGATAAACCAACTGATGAGCAACTTGCTATATGGGAAGCTGACACAAGAAGGAAAGCATCTCCCAATGGTCCCAAACCATTTAGTACCGATTGGTCTCTGCAATCAGCGATTGGCTTGTTCCTCTTTTCAGCGTACCTAAAAGAGATATGCGACGATTTTCATAGGATCAATTTCGTGGAGGACGTGATACGGTGGAAGGGGATGAGGGAAAAGCGCAAATTTGAAAAGGCAGTGGAAATTTATGAAACGTACCTCGCTGAGTACAAAATTGATCAACAAACTGGTGCCAAGATAAATCCACCAAAGACTCAAATCACAGAATTGGACTTGTCAAGAGAAGTTCCAGGCATTGACTATGATGATACTCAATTTTTGTACGCATCAACGGTGGATCCAACGTATGCTCATAACTGTTTGGGCCTGAAAGGGAGCATTATTCGCGAGGTTTCAGAGACGATCAACAGTCGGGAGGATGAAATGAAGGCGAGCGGAGTTCCGTCGGAAGTGAATGGTGGAAGTTCAGCATCAATGCGACTTGCCAAAGAAAAGCGATACGAATCGCTTAGAGAATTGACGCAAACATGGAGGCAGAAAGAGAATCCAGATGCTTGCTTACCCCAGACTCTGTTTGACAAGGCAGAAGTTGTGGTAGTGGAGTCTTTACGGAGACAACATTGGAAGGGATTTGTAGAGTCGGAGTACTTTAGAAAGTTCAGAAATTTCTTGTGGTTCCAAGATAGAGCAGTGGTTCCAGATGATTTCTTCAACATGCGAGTCCTCGGTAGAGGGGGCTTTGGGTCAGTGATTGGTAAGTACAGATTTCCTGGATTGGGGGTCCAGACAACATCGGCATTCATGTGGATAGCAAACTAACAAACTGATCTTCAACAGCATGCAAACGGGGTGTTTCAGGGAAGCTTTACGCGATGAAAGTTATGGACAAGAAGAGAATCAAGCTGAAGAAATCTGAGTTGTTGACAGTCAACGAAAGGGTCTCACTTGCTGCTGTCGAGTCCCCATTTGTTGTCAACTTGAAGTACTCCTTTCACACACAAGAATCCATATTCTTAATTCTTGATCTTATGACTGGTGGTGATCTTGGATACCACCTGCAACAAAAGGGCAAATTTCCAAAGAAAGAGTGCCTGTACTACGCTGCCAGAATTATGCTGGGTCTGCAAGCCCTGCATGATGAAGGGTATGTTTATAGAGACCTAAAGCCCGAAAATTGTCTGCTAGATGAGGATGGAAAAGTAAAGATAACAGACCTTGGTCTTACAACGAAAATAACGCCTACGCTACATGGTGCTGCAGGAACGAGAGGGTACTGGGCACCTGAGATGCTGCGGAGGGACAAGAAAGGAAAGCGAATGGCCTATGGTCATACAGTTGACTGGTTCAGTTATGGATGCTGTGTAGCGGAATTCATATCAGGTGCTAACCCCTTCCGGTCAGAGGCGGCATTGAGTTTTGGTTTGGAAGCAGGAATGGAAACGAAGGTATGTCTTGTACTGGCTGACTCTAATGAAAGGCATTGCCATTGACGCTGATCACGACCTCACTCACTATGTTTCTTCTCCAATAGGAAAAAGCAATTGATCATGCAACACTGGAAATGCACCCCGATTTCCCAGACAGCTTGTTCGAAAAGGATGCTGCAGATCTGTGCGCGAAATTATTGGAAAAAGACGAGAAAAAAAGACTGGGGACGCAAGGGTGTGAGGAAATCATGGCTCACCCTTGGTTCAAGAACTTGAACTGGGAGTCAATCATAACAGACCAGAAGAAACCACCATACACTCCACCAAAAGATGTCAATGCTGCGCCACAAAGCGAGATTGGTACCTTCCACGAGGATAAAAAGCACCAAGAGACGGTACTGGAGTTAAAGGACGAAAGATACTACAAGGACTGGGATTGGACCAACCCAAACGCATATGCAGCTGAGGTTATTGAATTCCTGATCTACGAACGAGAGACTGGCGAACCTCTATTACCCGTGTCCCAAAATACTGGCTGTTGCTGCATAATTATGTGAGATGTTTAGATGTTTGATGAATGAAAATGTGCGCAACGCGAGGATACAGCAGAAACTGCATTTTGTGTTAATGTGATGTTCTACCTACCGTACTCTTTATTCTTTTCAATGATACTGGCATCAATAGTCAATAGTTGCTCTTCATGTCTGTAATGATAGTTCTGTTAGTTGTCCGTCATGTGTACGTTGGATTAGTTCGATTTCATCATTTTACAACATTGGCATTTTTCTCCCGATCTTTGGATAGTAGATATAGTCTTAGTCCCTGGGCATTTAACATTCAACAATGAAGACGATTCTTATTCCATTACTGCTTGTCACCCTTGTGGAAGCATGGACTACTGAGCCGTTGAAAGTTCGACCTTCCCCTTCCTCTAGCACGAGTCTCAACATGGGATTGCGAACAACAGTAAAACGTGTTCGAGATTCTGTGCTCAACAAGGAACGTTCTCGCGAGGATCTTAAAATTGGAATTGCCGGATTTTATGACCGATCGTCCAAACTGTGGGAAGACGTATGGGGAGAGGTGCGTTAGAACTGAGAAAGCTTTCACGAAGATGATTCGCCTGACAACTCTTACCATATTATTGCCATCGTATAAATGTAGCACATGCACCATGGATACTACATTCCAGAAAACCGTACCGATCACCAGCAGGCCCAGATTGATCTCATTGACGAAGTTTTGGATTGGGCTGGAGCGAAAGAAGCCAAGTCAGTAGTCGATGTGGGTTGCGGAATTGGCGGCAGCAGTCGGCACATTGCTCGAAGATATGGGGCCACGGCAAAGGGAATCACATTGAGTCCCTACCAAGCAAACCGGGGAAATGAGTTGGCCAAGGAACAAGGATTGGAGGATAGCTGTTCCTTTCAAGTAGCTGATGCTCTGGATATGCCCTTTGATGACAATTCGTTTGATCTTGTCTGGAGTTTGGTAAGTCAACTTTTGCGACGAGGCCATCATGATGTTGCCTCTTTGGTGATGTTCCTCACCCAATAATCCTCTATTCTATTGGTGTAGGAGAGTGGTGAGCACATGCCCGACAAGCAAAAGTTTGTCAATGAACTCTACCGTGTAGCTACTCCCGGTGGCCGTGTCATTATTGTAACTTGGTGCCATCGCGATTTGGAAAAGGGGGAGAGTGCTTTGGCCAAGAAGGAAGAAAAGCTGTTGGCTCGGATCAACCGCGCCTACTACTTACCCCGTTGGTGCAGTGTCCAAGACTATGTTGATTTGCTCGAAGCTAAGGGCGCTGTGGGCATTAAACGAGAGGACTGGTCCTATATTATTGCTCCCTTTTGGAGAGCCGTCATTAAGAGTAGTTTGAACTTGAAGAGTGTGGTGGGTCTCTCCAAGAGTGGTTTCTCTACCATTCGCGGAGCCTATGCCATGCTCTTAATGTTGCGGGGATTTGACCGTGGCCTCATCAAGTTTGGACTCATCACGTTTACCAAGCCAGAAGAGAAAAAGTCAGAAGAAGAGTAAATGTGTGTTGTTGTTGTCATTCAGCTAGCTAGCTTATCTGTTAAAAAAGTTGATCGAATTTTGCTACAATTGTTGTAACTGCATATTCAGAAGGATCACTGCTTCGGGTACTGTATCATATACAAGCACCTTGAAAGGTGGAAGGATCAATGTTGTATGTCTTCATATCATCTTCGATGGAACTCTTTTCAACGACGTTGGATTGCAATCCATGTCCATCAATGTCCACTTGAAATAGATCGACCACAGATCTTTGCGGTCTTCCTCGATCAAACAAGACCAGTTCCCCTCTTTCCAGTTCCGTCCATTCCTCGTCATCCGTCAATGGCTTGGTGGCAATCACCGAGACGCAATCTTCCTTGGAGGTGCGTGTCGAAAAGTCGACGGTAATATCCACGTCGCAAAGGTGATGGGAATGAAAGGGATATTCCCTCGTCGTATAATGCAACCCGTTCCAGACCTTGCTACCAGGTCGACTCCCTGGCCAACTGTAAACCCACAGTGTGTGTGATCCACAGGTCAACAAGAAATTCAAAATGGTGCCTTCCCGATCCGAGTCCACAATTTCGTCGCACAACTTTTGCATGGAATCATACAGAACTGGTACGGAGGGCACTTTATCAAACTTTTGTCGCAAGGCATTGAGAATGGCACAAAAGGTAGCTTCACTATCTGTGGTTCCCACAGGGTTGTAATAATAGACATTTTCTAAACCCTCATCATCATCTTGAAGCAGTGATGTCAAACAATGATTGGGACATTGATCAAAAAGAGGAACTTCTCCGTTATGCGCAAAGCAAAAGTCAATCCCCCACATTTCCCGTCGAAAGGGATGGACGTTACTCAAATTAACTTCACCGACAGTGGCAAATCGAATGTGACTCATCATGTTGAGGGTGCGAATGGGCAATCGACACACAAAATCTGCCAAGAGAGAAGTGGAAGCGGGTTCGGCATCGTGAAACTGTCGTAGACTCCCATTTTCGTAAATGACAATCCCCCATCCGTCTTGATGGATGTCCGTTTCACCCCCACGTCTGCAAAAGCCACTAAAGGAGAAATTGAAATCCGTAGGAGTGGCGCAATTCATTCCGAGTAGTTGACAAAGCAAAGCTGATTGAGTTTGGTGGACAATCCGTCGTTGTTGATGATGGGGGCTGGGCGGTGACATCGAAATTGGTAGCATTGGTGATTGAAAGCATTCGACGCATGGTAACAACAGTAACCATTGTAGTAGAGCTAGCCGTAAACAATTCAGTAGCTGTTGTCTACCCATGGTTTACGTAGGTAGTGTTTTTGTCCGGAAAGCAAATGCCACAGAAGTCGGCAGTTTTGGTTGAAGAAAAAATGACTGTTGGTCAACCGAACGACGAACGATGTCAATAAAAGAACATTCTTTTTCTCCTTCTCTTCATTCGCCATGTATTTGGGTCGGATGAGTCCAGCATATGAATCATCAAATTTCTTTCGTTTCGATTTCTCGAACCAACCCAAAGAATGCCCCATCACAACTTATCAGCTCTGTCGTCCCTCCTTCTTCTTCTTCTGCTCTTCTCTTTCCTGCCGTTACAAACGACCACAGCATTGACCGAAATGACTACTTCCACGGATAAGAGTACCGAGGATTCTTGCCTTGCTCCCAAGGTAATGATTGCCACTCGTCTGCACTTGGGAAAGGCCACTTCACCTCCCACCGCCGAGAAATTGGCTAGTCTGGTGACAAGCTTTGGTCAAATGGCAGAAGCCGTGGAGAACTCCATTCCAGTGATTGCAGTGGACAGCACTTCTAAAATTGAGGGCTACGATTATCCAACGGCTATTCGTCAGGCACTTGCCACAACAGCAGGTACTAGCAAGATTCAAATTCTTCCTGTCACCCCCTGGGGCAAGTTTACGCCCGCGTTGAATGCCTTGGTGACCTATGCGGTCGAGGTCGATTGCGGATTGATCATGTTTTGCTCAGCTGAAATCAAGGCCCCCAAAGAGGCTATTGAAAAATTGTGTCGACATGTGGACATAGATACACTCGTGGCGGGAGCCGCTCTGCCTGGACACCTGTACTCACCCGGTACACAAGACTTGAGTGGAAGAACCTGTCCCTGGAATACATTAGCGGTATGGGACGTCAAAAAGCTTTCTCTAACAGGCTTTCAATTGTGTTCGGATCTGGGAGCTACCGCGGGGGTCGAGGAATGCGCTGTGGTCGGTCTTTTGCAAAAGTTGTTCGTCGTTCCTGCCACCACGATGATGGCCAAACTAGTAAAGCTAGACGAAATCCAATGGGAACAAGAATTTGAGGACGAAGAGCGACGCAAATGGCACGAGTATAAAATGAAGTCCAAATTGGATCGGGCGCAAGCACAAATGGAACAACTGAATTTGGCCTCGAGTGGTGGGAAGGTGTTGCATTGCTAATGATGATGATGATGATGATGATGATGATGATGATGATGCAACAGGACTGAGCCGTTATAGGAATCAACAAATGAATGAATGGATGAATTTATTAATCAATTCACACAAGCCAGAGCTACCGGCATACTACAACATAACAGAAAAATATAGAACACACGTTGCTTGAAGCAATCATCATCTTCATCTCGTTTCTATTTACTTTTTTAAGCGACGAAGTCGTGGTGTCCAAGGCAGATGCATGTAGCGAGCAATCCAAAAATGAAAAAGGGTTGCGACGATGCTTGGTACTTGACATCATTCTCAATAGGATCGGGAAGCAACAAGGTAGCTTGGAAGTACACTTGTGGAATGACTAAGGCGAGGAGACCAATGGCGTATGGAGTTTCGCCAATGGTGGCAAGGTAGGCGGCAATGCCCAATTGCGTAATGGTCAACGAACCAGCGCAAATGTACTTAGCGCCGTCAACACCAAAGGCAACGGGAAGAGATTCGAGTCCCATCTCGCGGTCTCCCTCGATAGACTTGAAGTCATTCACTATGGCAATTCCCAGACCGGCAATGGAGTATAGAATGGGACTAAACATTGAATGAATGAATGGATAGAGGGAAAGATATTGGGGAGTGTGAGCATGAATTGGCCTCGATTCAACTGCACATGGATGACTCCCATATAGAATGCAACTTACAGAATCCAGAAGACTGGTCTATTTAATTCTCCAAAGACGGCTTGTCCACACCACCATGGCAAAGAAATGTAAGAAGCACCCAAGGCGTAATTTCCGGCCCAACCATTTTGCTTCAGCTTCAATGGAGGGGCAGAGTAAATGTACGAGATGAAGGATCCGAAAATAGCCAAAGCAAGGTTGATTGGGAACTCGTGTTCACACCAGACATCAAGACCGTATGAAAGAGCCAATCCACCAATAAGAAGAACCCAGATTTGGGCAATGACGTCTCCTTCCGAGATGGCTCCAGATGGGATGGGCCGGTTGGGTTCGTTAATGGCATCAATTTCTCTATCATACCAATCATTGATGGTTTGGGTGTAACCAGTCAAGAAGGGTCCAGCAAGAATCATGGCAGTCAATCCCTTGGCAGCATCCTCCAAACCCAACATGACGTTGCGATCATTCTCATCAAAAGGGTTCCAGATCCAATGGTAATTTCCAGAACAGGCAGCACCGCACATGACACCCCAAACCAATGGAATCCACGTAACAGGCTTCGTCAATTGCAAACGAATCTTCCAGATATTGGTTTCTTGGGCAGCACCTCGGACTCCCAACAACTGACGAACACCACCACTGCCATCATCAGCTTCTTTGTTGGCGTTCAACTCGGTCTTGCTTTCAAAAGGAAAGTAGGCTCCAGTGGCTTTTTCCTTGGGGATCATGGCAAGGGAAGTCTGGCCATTACGAATGTTGGCACTGGGCGAAAAGGCCGCAGCCAAGGAAATGAGGGTGGCCGCTACAAGAAGCTTCATGGTGAAATTTATTTCCTTTTCTCTCCTTCATCGCGATCTTCCAGTCTCAACAACTGCGTCACAACCTGCCAGGTGGAAGGATTTTCTGGATGGTCGGAGGTGTCGAATCGGATTTCAGTCACTTCTGACCCGGGAATCCTAGTTAGACAAAAAAAATCGCAAGCTCGACAAGGTATCATAGCACGAATGAACGAACAGGTGAGACTTCCATCCACAACGGTCAAGTTAAGTTCATTTTCATACACTACGAAAGCATCACTACGAAAGCATCACAGCACACCAAAACCTGAGCGGGAGAATCCAGCTGCTTCTAACAGTTATCAGAGACCTAGAGAATGCGCTTCCTGCTGGCGACAGCCATCTTAGCTCAAAGCAGCTTACCAGCAGCTTCAGCGATGGCACAGCCATCAGTAGAGGATCATGTGATGACGACAAGCACTGAACTCATGCAACAACGCAATATTGCAACTCAATCCATTCGTTTCAATGAACCCGAAGTGAGAAGGCGAGCTCGACGACGTCTACAGAATGCACTTCAAAAGAAGAGCACAACCATGATCCAAGCAAAACCATCCGTCTTACGGAACCCAAGAAGAAGGACCACGACAGATGCTGTTATTTCGACTGATCAGAAGGAATGCGCACCTGACATTGGAATTCTTGGGTGCGGTGTCAATCAATATTGTGTCGAAAGCGATAGTTCCACACTCGGGGGGCTATGCTTGTCACAAGAATCGTTTCATGACCTCCATCGCAGGAATTTGCGAAGCTACTTTCTTCCGGCTCCTTCGGTTTGCGATCCAACCAGTTTTGATGCAGGAAATTACGACTGCAACTGTGATAAGTTTGATCTGGCAGAAGAGATTGGTGAATTCACTTGTACTCTTAGCGAGTATGAATGCAAGACGGATAATTTGTGTGGGAATAATGAAGTCACCCATGTTGTATCGGAAGGTGGTGCAGTTGCCTCTTATTGCTATGGTTTTGAAAAGCCCTATGATATCGATCTGTGCTACACAGTGGATACGGAACGAAATTGCAACATTTCGGTACAAAATGAAGCATGCGCCAAGTGTGAAATTGTAGACGGGGTGGTACACCCCATTTATGGCTTCATTGGTTACAATTGCTATGACTTCGATTGCACCAATACTCTTGCGGGGCTCAGGGGGAACAACTGCGCCGGGGACTATGTCTTGGATGCTTTGAATGGACTCACCATGCCGAGTTCCTCACCATCGACTCCATTACCATCATCTTTACCGAGTGCATCACCATCGCAAGTACCATCCTTGCAACCATCTTTTGCCCCAACGGTGACGGCATCTTCGCAACCAACAGCTCTTCCATCCGTTTCGCCGTCCATGCGTCCATCTTCTGCTCCCACAGATGCTCCTTCCCAGTATCCTTCGGCAATCCCGTCTACCATTCCTTCAACTCCACCATCAGCAGGACCATCCATGTCACCAACAATAACACATTCCACAACACCAACAATGTTACCATCGTCAGAGCCATCTATGCAGCCTTCACCAGTGGCATCATTTGTGCCCACAAGAGTCGTTAGCGGTCAACCCTCGTTGAACCCATCCGAGTCCCCTTCAATTGCAACAGCGCACCCAAGTGAGGCTCCAAGTTTTGAACCGTGGGATCCTTCGAAAGAAGACAAGGCAAATCGGTCAAGGGGAGGAGAAGAGATGGATTCTGCGGGAAATTTGGCTCATGGAGACATCTCATTATCATTCTACATTTGTTCCACAATCCTTTTGGTTGCTTTGCTGTAGGGAACAGGGATGGATCTTGTAGATTAATAGAATAGACCAATCTTTTCATTCTCGTTTCAGCGCATCAATATTTTTATCAAGATTTTTGCTGCTTTTGACTCTTCTTTCGACTTCCAACCAAATTCAAGTCCAGATTTAGAGCATTGCCCAGACGAAAGAGAACAAACTCTTGATCCTCAGTCAATATAGATAAGACTTTTCCGCGTTTGCCCAACCGACCTGCTCGTCCCGAGCGGTGAAGATAGGTATCTGCGTCGGGAGGCAAGTCAAAGTGTACCACATGGGTGATCCCAGCAATGTCTAAGCCACGGGCAGCCAAATCAGTCGTAAGCATGACTCGAAACTGGGAAGGATCCGAAAACGAGTCGGTGGCTTCGGCACGTTGGCTAAGGGAGTCTTCAAATCGTAAGACAGATGTCATTGGTTGCAAATATTGTTCTTCGGGATTATCTGTCCGACTCTGGAAATAGATCCCCTCTACATCATGAGCCAGTGCCATTCCCATCTCTTCCATTGGTCGGAAGGAATCACAGAAGATAATGACTTTATTCGTAGGAGATTTCAATTTCTTAACGAGCATCCGGAGACTAGCCAGTTTCTTTTCTTTTGATTGGCAAAGCATGTAGCCATGGGATAAAGTTGGGGGTAGGGCTTCTCCCAAACTTGTGCAGATGAATACTGGTTCTTCCAAAGTCCATTGATTCGACCTGCATTGCTTCAGGAAATGGCGATGCTGTGGGATCGTGGCAGAGGCAAATACAGTTTGTCGTTCCTTAAACTTTCGTTGTCTCTTGGTTTTGGTGTTTTCTAGATAGGCGGTGTCGTCCTCTTCTTCTGCGAACGTTGGGCTCAAGAATTTGGACAGAAGCACATGCAAATCTGATGATATGGTTTTGTCCTTACTGGTGAGTGCGGCACCAGATTTGTGCACAAGGCATGCATCCACCTCATCCACAACTACATATTTTATAGTGCTGATCCTTGGAATACCACCATATTGCACCATATCCAGAATTTCTGTTGGTGTCCCAATCACCACTTGAGGCGTCTCGGCCCATGCCCAAGCTCGTTGTCGCTTTAACTGGCTACCCTGAAGCAAACTCATAATCATAAACTTTCTTGCCGCCAGTCGTTTTGCAACCTTGGCAACTTGCAATCCCAGTTCTCTAGTCGGTACAACAATCATTGCTTGCACTGATGCTCTATCCTCCAAACGGGCCAGAAGTGGTAGCAAATACGTCAATGTCTTCCCCGACCCAGTTTGGGCCTGAATTACAACGGAATTTGGATCTTCATGCATGAAACAATCAAGAGATCTCTGTTGGATCAATGTTGGAAAAACGAACCCATTCTCCTCGCACTTTTCCAGCAGCCAGTCCGGGAGAAAATCGTTGTACTGTTCTGAAAATGTTGTGTCACATAGTGTTGCATCATATTGCAATGCGTGGAGTGGAAAGGATACGTGCCGGGACTTTTGATTGCCAATAAATCCCTCTACTCTATTTGCCAGGCCCAGTAAGGCCAGTGTGAGTATCGTTGTGGACCCAAGTTTCATTTTTTTTATATATGTGATACTGTAGTTTTTGGCTTATACTCGTAGTTTTGTCGGGGCATCGCCAACGGTTCCACGTGGAACCGGAGAACTCACAGACCAAACAACAGGAGTAATTTGCTGAATTGGAACAAGATTGGAATAGACATTTGACTTTATCCTTTACCCTGAAGTACTGCTGTACTCTACCGGCACTGATATAAAAATATATTGATATTTTAATGTTGCTATTTACTCGAACTTCTGATCTGCCAAAATGCGGCATTGATCAGCAAAATCTTCTTCTGCATCCTCATCGTTTCCACTCTCTCCGCACAAGAGCTCGAATGCAACTTCTACCATACTGTTTTCCCCCTTGGATGAACAGCTAATGATATCTGTGAGCAGAATTCTCTTTTGCTTTTGAGACACTCTACCATCTATTGCCAGTTTTCGTAGCAGCTCAATACATTTCTGTTGAGACTTCTTTTTGTTTCCACCTTCCAAGCTCGAATCGATGTCGTCGTCGTCGTCACTCGCCCATTCGTACGTTGGGCCGCTGACATCGTTACTACCATTGCCAACATTTGAACTACCACCAATATTGTGAACGCGGATAATGGCTTTTCCGGGTCCCATAGGACCCATTCCTTCAATGCCTCCTCCTAAGAGTTCCTCAATTCCTTCATCAGCGTCATTAGACCCACCTCCCATAATATCTCCAAGCTGCCCACTCAAGAGGTCGGACAACGAACCCATGATAACTTTCTTTGGACCACTTTTGGATAGACTGCCTGATTTTGGATCACCAAGAATCGGTCCGACATTCTCTGGTCGAAGGATACTGCTGATTGCAGGAGTCGGCTTATCGTCTTCGCCATCTTTGGAGGTATCTTCACCTTTGCTGTGCTTCAGAGCAACTTTTGCAGCTTCACTACCCGCATGCCACGAGGAATGATGATAACTCAAGTACCATTTTCCACCAATTTTTCGGAACACGTTGGTTGCTTGTAGCTTGTTGACGAGCTCAGTTTCTCTCGTCTTGCCCCGAACGAACCTTCTTGTGAACACATGCTCTTCACACGTGATAATGGCTGTGGTCGCTTGTACAGTTATTCTGACTTCCTGAGGTTCCATCCAGCTCCTTTGAAAACTACCATTTGAACTTTCAAACATGTCACGCCAGCTACTCATGATGTTTTTTGCTCCAACCTGTGAACAAAGTGTCAGCAAAATAAATGGATTCATCGAGGAAATTTTTCATGACGAAACGTACCAAAGGTTTATGGGAAGGGTGAATACAAATGCACGATCGATCTTGTAGCCATATGGATTCCATTGCGGCAGGATCTTTCTTGCTGAAGGCATCATAAAATCTTGAATTAGCCTGCAAAACAAGACCACAATCATCCACATGTTTCTGAGAAATAGCTTCTCCTATCTCTGATGCTTTTGCAAATTCTTGTTTCTTCACAGCTTGGTAGAGTTCTGCTTCCATCTCGCTGATTTGCTCTTCATTTGCATATTCAATCGAGTTTTCCGAAACCAGTGGGGGGCTAATGCTGATAACCTTCTCCAGCTCTGTCTCTGTGTCGAAAGGAGGATCAATCGGACAATTGAGAATACGGTCGACCTCAGCCTGCGCCTTTGCCAAACGAATCTTTCTCTCTGCCAACTGAGTGATATTTCTGGGAATTCCCTCTGGCGAAGACCCTTCTTCACTCATGCATAGTTGTGGTGGGCCATGTTGAAGATGATGTCTCGGTAAAGTTGATGTCTGCGATGTAAATGCTTCTGACAGCAAAAATTTACTGAAACAACAGAGAACGACGAAATGTTTCCACTGCATCCTTGGGATTTATGATATATTTCCAATCCAATTGAGGAGAAATGTTTCAAGTGGTTGCTACGCAGTACGAATCAGTGGGTGATGTCAGATGCCTTCAATGCTATTGCCACTTTCGATTTTCTTCGATGAACTTTCTTCTCAAGTAAGTGACGTTTGAAAACTACACCAGTACGTTGAGATCGATGGTCATTATCAGAAGACGAGCGAGCCGCCTGGCCGTCGATGCTGATTTGAGGAGGAGACAACAACATCATCACTAAAGTTGAAAGTCACGAATCATCCTCACCAAACTGTGATAATCTGTATGAAGCAACCGCCTAGTTCAGATGTTCCATGGATTTCAATCACAATAGCATCTGAAGTGTTTCCCTAAGTTTTCTGATCAAAAAATTGACGGTTCACTCAACGATGCAGCCGTTACAAGCGACACCAGAAATGTGCTACTATTGCTTCGAGGTTCTCATTGGGGCGTTGGTGGAAAATCGAACGCCCGGTAGATTGCCTGGCTTTGTTAATGATCTACCTGATAGATTAGTGGAATGTCCTCTCTTTGTCACTTGGGAGAAAATGCACAACCGAACATGGCAGCTGCGTGGATGTATCGGGACGCTAAGTCCAAGGCGTCTAGATTCTAGTGTTGGTGAATATGCACTGACAAGCGCGCTTAGGGATCGTCGATTTCATCCCATCAAAAAGTCTGAAATCAGGAGTCTTCGAGTTGGTGTCAGTTTGCTGATCGACTATGAAGTCTGCCGAGATGTTTACGATTGGACCGTGGGAGTACATGGTATCCTTATCAAATTCCAAATGGGGGGAAATCAGTTCAGTGCCACATACCTGCCAGAAGTTGCCCAGGAACAGAGATGGGATCAAGCCACAACAGTTATGAGCCTTATTCAGAAGGCAGGTTATGATGGTGCAGTTTCCAACGAACTGTTGGGATCTATTGGATGCACTCGCTACAAGAGTTCGAAATGCAAGGTACCATTTGATGAGTTTGTATCCCAGAAATGCCAAGGCCAAAGCCCTTTGTTAATGAACAATGATGGAAATCGAAGACGAGATATCGTAGCAGCGGGATGCAAGATCAGCTAGGTTAAAGTTGTGATTTTGATTGCGATTGAGGTTCTCCAGCACCAGCGGCAGTTGCAGAGTGTAGGAACAGATCGAGGAGCAAGTACCATTACGCGCAAGAAGAGCGAAAGTATCTAGAGCGTTTGAGAATTTCGAACGATGAATACAAGTACCAATTTTAAAGAAGAATTCACACCACGGCTGACAGACTGTTCAAAACAGCTACAGAATCCCAATTGAAGAATTCAACACAAAGGACATTGTCACCGTAGATATGCAGTAAGTGCATAGATCAGGTAGGACGTATGTTAGCCTCTTCAATTGAGTCAGTCATATTCGTAGTTCAACATGATGCCGGTTACAGAATAGTTGAAGACTTAAAATGTGTACGGTACTCATATCCAGTTGAAGCATAAAACTGGTTAGAACCCACATCGTGGTTTACGGACTACTAGCCAAAATGTGCATCCCAGTTGAAGATTATATTATAAAATAATTCTGCTATGATATACATATGTTAGCCTGTCGATTATTGAGAGTCATCTTCGTAGTTCAACTGATGCGCGTTGCACAATGTTGAACAACACTTCAATGTATGGTGTGGTACAAGTACCCTGGTATCTGGTACACTACTGGTACTGGTACCTGGTACTGGAAACATATTGGTCAGGGTTTCCGTCATCAATCAAAGTTCCTTTTTCGCGTCAGCTCACAATGCAACATGCGTCACCTTTGCTTTCAAAAAGTGTGTACGTTCGAGCGACATCGACGAAACGCGGGGAAACCACATTCGTACAGATATGGGTTCTGACGCAAAAGTGCGCAAACATAAATATGGGACAACTTTGTTGCTTGAATACAACGCCTTGCGTCAGTGGTAAAAAAAGCACTCTCTGCGATGCGTCAGCACCAGTAGTCAGCCGAACAATGTTAGATTTTACCACCAACCGTATGCGCAGAGCAGAACAAAACAATTAACACAGGTCCTTAAACGGCTCTTCGGCTCTAGCTGAGTTTCTCTTTGAACACCATTGTCTCTTTTCAAGTTCAAGTTCGCTTTGAATTTCATAAGTAAAAAACAACAGCTGTGCAATAGTCTGATCCAGAATTCTCCTTGAACTTGAACTTTTAATTGTCCGAATGGCAACCCTTTTAACTCCAACACTCTTGTACCGGTACGAGGCAGGTACAAATGAAGGTACAAATGTGGTGCATCTGATCCCAGTTTCCCTCATAAAATCACAACACAAACAACACAAACGACAACCATGACCATGATCCACAGGAATAGAAGAGCAATTCACCTCAACAACGTTGCTGTTGATCAATTTGAATCTGGACTACTAGTAAATGCATACCAAGCCCTTATCGAGGCTACAGCTCTTCTTAGTGCCGATACTGAAGAGAGACAAGAACAGCAGACAGAGGATGCCTACAGAGGGATGTACCGATACTTTTGGGTAGAATGCTCATCCACTTACAATCGACCCAAGGAGGAGAAGAAGAATGAACTCTGTCTCAACGAAGGCATCTCATCTTTTCTCTGTTTGCGTGCCTTGAAGGTTACCATCAATCCTCAAGACTTGGAGAAGCTTGATTCAGTTTGTGATCGTGGTTACTCTTGGGTAATATGGTACAACCTGGCTCTGGTTTCCAACCTAATGGGGACTCGATTGGGCGAAAAGGGGTACAACCTTTTGGGAAAAGCATTTGATCTCTTGCAAAAGGTTCAAACCCGCATCAACTCGGAATCAGCCACTTGTGATTGGTCATTCCTCCAAATGGCCATAATAAACAACCAAGCCTGCATTTACCGAGAGCTCGCGATGATGGACGCACTTCATCAATCTCTCGACAAGCTAAGCGAGTCCCTTTCCTGTCAATCAACTTCTGTTGTTGGAAAGCAACACAGAGACACATTTTACTTCAACTTTGTTGTCCTCAGTGGACAAACATTCGCACCCGCTGCATAGAGAACAAACCATGATTACAATAATTGTACACTAGACTGATATTATTAGATTGATTACACTATCCAATGCCATACTACTAAAACATTTCAATAGCTGCTGTTTGGATTGGGTGTTCTTGTTACAAGGAAGCCATTCCACACACTTGTAGTGATTGCCCTGTGATGTAAGAACTTCGAGGTGAAAGCAAATACGTTACGGCATCGGCGACTTCGGTGGGTTGCCCGAATCTTTTCAGTGGTATCCTTGGTAACATTCTGGATTTCATATGATCTGGGATGGCATTCGTCATGGGAGTCTCAATGAATCCTGGAACTACTGCATTGACTCGAGCGTTCAATGGCGCAACTTCTTTGGCCAACGATCGAGTTAGTCCTAAGACCCCTCCCTTACTCGCAGCATAGTTCGCTTGACCCATGTTTCCAGCTTCGGAAACGATGGATCCAATGTTCACGACAGAGATATCATCAGAGTTCCCATTCTCCGTGATTCGGTTTTGGTCGAGAAAGGCTTGACAGGTCAAGAAGGTCCCTTTCAGATTTACATTCAAAACATCATCCCAATCTTCAAGGGTAAGCTTGGAGACCCAGTTATCGCGGAGGATTCCAGCACAATTCACCAGTAGCGTTGCCTTTTTCTCAGGTTCGGAATGTTCCGATGCGAAGTGATCCGCGGCTTGGATCAACTGCTGCACCTCTTGGGGGTCGGTCACGTCGCAACCCACTACCAGCAGCGGAGATTGTGTGGAAGAAACTTGTTTCAGACGACTGACTTCATCTTCCAAAGCATCCATGTTTCTATCGGCTAGTACAACATTGCATTTTGCAGTTATGAGCGACTTAGCAACTGCAAATCAAAATTTAGTTGAGATCTTTTGCATAGTTGATTCATTCATATTTTCTTTAAATGTTTCTTACCAGCCGAACCGATACCCGACGCTGCTCCCGTTATTATTGCTGTCTTGTGTGCGAGTTGTAGCCAAGTCATGATTGATCGATGATGGACAGATCCGATTGGGATCAAGCAAATGATGTGGGCGGGAGGAGAATTTTTTTATTTGACTTTGGCGAACAAAAGAAGGACTAAATCATGCCCGAATACAACAGAGAAGAGGAACGAGCCTTGATAATGATAGGTACCAGTAGTCTGATGACGATGATGCTATAGGACAAAATCTGTAGAGATTTTCTTGTATTTCTGCCGTATTGATGCTGCTGCATCACTGGTTTTGTACCAATCAACGACGAACTGTGGAGCTCTCAATAGACCGACGGTTTTGCAGTGATGGTACACATGACCAAAGACGATGCCCAAGAAATCCAACATTGGAGGTTCACCCTCCAAAAGGAACGTTTGTGCCAAGAAGAACCAAGGCAAAAGTTCTGCTCGTGTGGTGAAGAGGTCAAACATCGAGACTTCCAAACCTTCATGATATCTGCTCCAAATGTACACCAAAAAGGTAGACAAGTTGTGACCAAGGAACTTTGGATTCAGTTTCATGGCTGGATATCCAATCACCATACTCATCATACCAAAGATGATCATGATCCAGAAATCATACGGCTTGTGGTGATGCAGCCTTTCCAGAGTACTCATATAATTCCACACAAAATGCACTGTCATTGCATATCCCAATCCGAACCGACCAAAGTTGAGAAAGGTTGTGAATGGTCTCCATATTTGGGCTTTATACAACACTTTGTTCCAGTCTAGAACAAGAAGCTTTGGGAAATCCGTTTTGGAAAGGTATCCTATACCTGTCGCAACTGCAGAAGCTGTCAAGTACCCTTTTGTGAGCGGAGGTGTGTCCTTGTAGGCTTGGATGATTCTTTCCACTGTATTGTCTTCGTCAAAATTTTCTTCGGCGTCCTCTTCCAAGTCGAAATCATCGAAAAAGTCTTCTTCTTCCGATTCATCGTCAGTGTCATACTCTTCTTCCTCCGAACCCCCTCTGGTCGATAGCAAAACTCTGGATGGTGGGGGAAACAACTTAGAGGCAGCCATTCGTTTCCCAAAAACTGCGCCGCCTGCCGCCAGTCCAAATGAGCTTCTTTCGGCCTGTATGAAGGTTGTGCACAATAGGAGTGATAACCAAAGAATCATGGTTAGCGTCATGATGGGCAATGGAAGATGTTCGGTATTGGTTGCTTCCAATGGATGTAGCTGCTTTTTTTTGAGTTGCCACCTGGAAGTTTTGATGGGATCAGTCGGGTAGGTCAAATTAGTAGTCGTATGGGTCGAACAGAAATAACGGAATTTGAAATGAAAATTTGAAACCAAAAAACCGTCAATGTACTACAGCTACGCGTTTTGAACGGAGCTGTTCCATACCCCACTTTTGTCTGTTGGACTTGATATGCCAACTCCCCACCTACAACTGTTCGAAATACATGGAGCAATATCCAACAGTAGTATTGCACCACGATCCTATTGAAACGCGATTTGCACACTATTCCATCAATCTTGGTTTGCGTCTGTCAACCAAAATCAAACGACTCGTAAGCAATTATCGAGGAGACAGGACTCACTCCCATGACTCTCAGAGATTATCAACAGACCGAAAATCGAGCTCCAAGAACGAGAGAGGCATCACCAGTTCCTTCCATTTCACGAGTAGTTACACCCACTAAAAGCAATTCCTCTGACGAAAATCGCGGTGAAAACTTCTTTTCAATTCAGATGAAACCATCGCAATCGAATATGAACGAAAATTCGAAACCATCTCCAGCGATTGTGGAACCGGACTTTGTCCATCAGCCCACAAGAGAAGGCAAATACTCTGCTAACTCTCCCATGAGACCTTCGGCTCCTCAGCTATATTCTCTAAACAACGGGAGAAAGTCGTCTGGTCAACGCTATGACGATGAAAGTCTATCCAAGAAGTTTCAGCAAGCAAACTCTCTTGCGCTACAAAAGTCTCCGGAATCTTCCAAAAGCAAGAAGAAAAAGAAAAGTAGCCGCAAGTATGATCCCAATGCATACAAGATCTTCCTCCTCTTGTTGCAACCAGAGTCCAAGATCTTTGAGTTGATTCAGCTGATCTACATGCCTAATGATACCACTGTTGGAAAAATCATCCAGATGATTCCAGAGAATGCTACTGAAGCGGCTCTAGGAACTCAAAAGTACAGCGGTCTTTGCCGACCAAAGACAGAAGAAGAGCTCATTGATTTGGACGTTCTCGCGAGTGAAACAAGCTCTGGGATGGTCTCTGCAAAGATTACATTAGGTGAAATCTTGGTGGCTATTCCAAAGGGATACTCCGGAACCAAGGTTGCAGCACTATCCAAACAGATTCTATCTAATCCAAAGATCGTCAAGCTTCTAAAGCGAGCAGATCCATTGGCACCAAAGAAACGCCGATCCAGAAAGCATCGCTCAAATCGAAGCGTCAGAAGCAATTCACGAGAACATGTAGACGTGCTCGAAAAACATGACGAAGCCGAAGAAATTAAGGTCGAATCACAGCAAAAAATGAAATTAGCAATGGAACACGCGGCTGCAGAAGCAGCTGCGGCAAACGCAGCAGTTTCGGGCTGGGAGAAAGAAGAAGAGTTTGTCCCAAAGCCTCTTGTTCGTCAAGACTCAATTGGATCGGACGGACAGAGTTTGGGTTCGAGTCTGCAAGATTCTGTTGACGAGTCCTACTCTTCTTGGTCCAAATCCTTTGACGCGTCCTTCTCTAGCAAAATGTCAATTTGCTCTGGTGTCTCGCGGAGGCAAGTCCGCCGCCGTGATCGACAAGCCAAGCGATTGCGCATCATTAAGCGTTCTACTTTCGTCGCCTTCCTTGCAATGGTGGGGCTTTACATTGTCGATCCTAAAGAGCATTCCAAGAACTATGCGGAGGCTGCTATGGATACTCCTATGGGAGTTGTTGGACTTTTCCAAGTTTGCTTTCTTCTTTTAGCTTTGTACAAGATTGAAAAGTTCATTCGTTGTACCTCTGAAGGTAACTTTGACTCTTACCGGAAGTGTCCATTTCTCAAAGCTTCCGATGCTGCTATGCAACGATTCAAGGGGACTTATGCATCGAAACTAAAGAAATCAGGACGAGGACACGATGACGATTCTTCTCTTGTTTCAAAGAGGTTGCGCAGCTACTCACTCAAGACCGCTTCCTTCAGAGACTTGGATGAATGATCACTCTGGATCACTTTTAAAGAATGAATACACTACCTAGAAAAAATGAAACCAACTAAACTAATGCTACAACGAACCTATCCATCTTTTGCACTGTGCATTGAAGTAGACCAGAAAGTCCGAAAGTGTCCGTGAAACCCAGTAATCCATCCACAGTACAAAATGTACATACGGTGTGCCGTAGCGAGAAACGCATGGGGCATTGGACAAGGTCATCCGAATATCGCACTAGTCCTCCGATCATACATCAACAATGGTGAGTCAACCTAGCAACCGGATCCTTTCCACTCAATAAATCCGGGCGTATAAAACATAGATGTTCAATGTAGTATATACGGAAAGCTGACAAAAGTTGAAAGTTGCCAAAAAACTCTTGACTTTTTGTGACTCTTGTCATGGGTGATTTTCAAATATCCGTCCTCACCATTAATTGTTTGTTTGTTCGTTTAGCCACTTCGATTGGACATCAAGAAGAAACTCTCTGCTCAGAGTGAGCGTGTAAAGAGTGTGGATATCCACCCTTCTGAGCCATGGGTTTTGGCTGCTCTGTATTCCGGAAATGTAATGATATGGGACTATGAGTCAGGAAGCATGGTCAAATCCTTTGAAGTATCCGAGCTCCCAGTGCGATGCGCAAAGTTCGTTGCCCGAAAACAATGGTTTCTTGCTGCTTCTGATGATATGAGAATGCGTTGCTTCAACTACAATACGATGGAAAAGATTAAGGAATTCGAGGCACATGCCGATTACATTCGTAGTCTCGAAGTTCACCCTTCCCTCCCATATGTCCTTTCGACTTCCGATGATATGACGATCAAATTGTGGGACTGGGACCGCGGTTTCGACTGCACTCAAATCTTTGAGGGACACGCTCACTATGTGATGCAAGTCAAATTCAATCCTAAAGATACAAATACATTTGCTAGTGCGTCATTGGATCGATCCATCAAGGTTTGGGGACTTGGATCGCACGCACCGCACTATACTTTAGAGGGACACGAAAGAGGAGTCAACTGTGTGGACTACTACCCATCCGGAGACAAACCATACATTCTGAGTGGAGCTGATGATCAAACTGTCAAGATTTGGGATTACCAGGTACGATTGAAATGCTGATGCAACGAGATCAATTGAATCATTTTCTAACCTTTGCATCCTGTTCCCATCGTTCCAGACAAAATCTATTGTCCACAGTTTGGATGGACACACAAATAATGTCTGTGCTGTCATGTTTCACCCTAAATTGCCAATTATCGCTTCTGCTAGTGAGGATGGTACCGTGCGAATCTGGCAATCCACAACTTACCGTGCCGAGACTGCGTTGAACTATGGCATGGAACGTGCTTGGGCCCTTGCTGCCTCTCCGAATTCGAACAAGCTTGCCATTGGTTTCGATGAAGGTTGCGTGTGTATCGAGCTTGGATCTGACGATCCAGTTGCTTCCATGGATGCCACAGGCAAGGTTGTCTGGGCAACCAACAATGACATCCAAACAACTTCTGTCAAGGGGGTAGCTGGAACTGGCGACGATGCCACCCCTGATGGAGAACGTCTCACCGTTATTCCACGTGACTTGGGATCGTGTGAATTGTACCCACAAATGCTCAAGCACAACTGCAACGGCCGTTTCGTTGCCGTTTGCGGCGATGGCGAGTTCATCATCTACACCTCTCAAGCTCTGAGAAACAAAGCATTCGGACAAGCTTTGGACTTTGTCTGGTCTGGAAGTGGAACTGGAGACTACTGTATCAGAGAGTCAAGCAATAGCATCAAGGTCTTCAAGAACTTTAAGGAAAGCCAGACCATCATCCCAGCAACTTCCAGTGCTGAGGGTCTCTTTGGAGGTCACATGATTGGTGTTAAGGGCGGAGATGGTTCCATCTTGTTCTACGATTGGGATTCTGGTGAATTCGTCCAAAAGATCGAAGCTACTCCTAAGGAAGTCTACTGGAGTGATGCTGGGAACATGGTTCTCTTGGCCACTGACGATTCCGCCTTCGTCTTGAGCTACAACAGTGAAAAGGTTGCAGAAGCCATTAGCATGGGAAATATCAGCCTTGAAGATGGAGTTGAAGGGTCTTTCGACTTGCTTTACGAAATTGGAGACAACATTACATCTGGAAAGTGGGTCGGGGACTGTTTCATCTATGTCAATGGTGGAGGCAGACTGAACTACAGTGTTGGCGGACAAATCGAAACTTTGGTTCATTTGGAAACAGCTGCCGGTGGACAAGCACAGCACTCCATTCTGGGATATTTGGCTAAGGAGGACCGAGTTTTCTTGATTGACAAGTCTCTGAGCCTCATCTCGTACAATGTCACTCTAGCTGTTCTTCAATATCAAACCGCTGTTATGCGAGGTGACTTTGAAGCTGCTAATGCCCTTCTTCCAAACATTCCAGAAGATGAATATACCAAGGTTGCTCGCTTCTTGGAGTCTCAAGGCTTCAAGGAAGAAGCATATGCTGTTACCACTGACCCAGACCACAAATTCGATCTGGCTCTTGAGTTGGGTCAAATCGAAACTGCCCATGAGCTTCTTGTAGAAACACCAGAAGAAGATAAGGAATCGACAGAGACCCAATCAAAGTGGAAGCGACTGTCTGATGCGGCTCTCAAGGACACCAACCTTGAGCTTTGTGAAGCTGCTGGAATTGCCAGTGATGACTTTTCCGATCTTCTTCTTCTATATTCTGCTGTTGGAAACTTGGCAGGTGTTGAGCGCCTGGCTGAGTTGGCCACTGCTAAGGGCAAGACTAATGTTGGCTTCGTTGCCCACTTCTTGACGGGCGATGTTGAAACCTGCGCCGATATTCTTGTCAAAACAAATCGATTACCTGAGGCTGCACTTTTCGTGCGAACGTATCTTCCATCAAAGATGGACGAAATTGTTGCCCTTTGGAAGGAGGACCTTGCATCTGTCAGTGAAACTGCCGCCAAAGCTTTGGCATCACCGTCTGCAAATCCAGAATTCTTCCCTGACATGGAAATTGGTCTCCAAGTTGAACAAATGTTCCTTGCACAAAGGGAGCAATCGAAGGGAGTTGGAATGTCATCCATTGATTACCCAACAGCTAAGGGAGATATAGACTTGAATCTGATTGAGTTGATCAAGTCCCGCCAAGGTGGTGGTGGCGGCGAATCAAAGCAACCCGAACCAGCTGATGAGCCTGTACCTGAACCTGAAGAATCGGGACCTTCTGAGGCCGAACTTGAAGCCGCTCGATTGGCAGAAGAAGAAGCTGCAAGGCAAGCATCAGAGGAGGCGGCTGCGGCAGAAGCAGCGGCTGCTGAAGCTGCTGCCGCGGAAGCAGAAGAAGCTGCGGAAGCAGAAGTGGACGAGACCGATTTCGGTGATGACTGGTAAAGGTTGAAATATAATAAACTGCCAATACTTAATTCAAAACTTTGAAGCATAAGAATGTTGGTATCTTTCAACTCATAGTATCCGTTGTGTATTGCGGTAGAAGAATGCAGGCCACAAATACAGCATGCGAGCCATACCATGAAGTGTTGCTTGTTACGATGGCCAGGAGTTGCGGTTGACATCATTGTGGCCTGCAACGGGAGAATGTAGTAGGTGTGGCACATCTATTTCTTTACTCCCTTTACAACAAACATTGGATCTCCGGCATTATTCTTCGCGACTTCCCCAGCAGTATTCATCCATGCTAGACCAAGGGCAGGGTTGGCAAAGATTTCTTGCGTCGACGGTCTTTTTGGGGCTTCCCGTCTTTCTTTGAGATCTAAGGCTTCGATGCTATCCCAACTTGCAGAATAGTGGAAGTAGCTTCCAACAATTGTCAATCTCCCGATATCGTCTGCTTGCAGCCACATTGCAATTGCTTTTGTGGCAAAGCATCTGTTACTAAAGCTCATAAGAGCTACGCCATTGGGACGCAAGATACGGTGCATCTCTTGAAAAAGTTCCAGGGGCTTTGTCAAGTAGTCCACCGAGACAACATTGCAAATGACATCAAATGAATTTTCTTCGAATTGCTCAAGGCTGGGCTTCTGGTTCATATCTTGAACATAGTAGTCCGTTAGCTGTTTGTTGGCCTTGAGTTCCTCTGCATTCATCCCGACACCGACAACTTTTCCATATTGAATGTTCTCTGGCAGATGCGATATCCAAGAGGAGCAGAGGTCAAGCACGTCTACATTTTCGAGATTCAAGGCAGAAAATTCCTCTTGATAGTACTTGGTGAGGACCGAAATGGCGGAATCGTCAATGTGGGTCACAAATCGAGGAGCGTCATAAAAATTGGAATCGTCGGTATTGTCAAGTCGATTGAGATCGGCAGTAGTGTAGGGCCAGTCGCCCACCTTTCCCGCAAAATCCGTTTCATCAAAGGTGCAAATGGATTTGGCTGCCCTTTGGGAATCTTGTTGCGGGGAAGCCTTTTGCGTGGAGGGCGCGAAGCCTTTGACTCTTAGCGAAAAAAGAAGCGTAGACAGTACGACCGATCTTTGCATACTTGCTCTCTGAATCGAACGATCAATGGTGTTGAAGTTGTGGTTTGAATTTGTTGCGATGCTGATTCATTCTCAATCCGATCCAAGTGAAAAAATGTGCTTCCAACTTTGAAAAAAATGACGTCATCCGTTCACACGACCGAAAACGGAAACAGAAAACACATCGGACATGAGATCACGAATAATCACTTCTTGAGAATCATCGGCAAATCGACCTCTTATTCTTCCTTCATATCTCCTTTCAAGGCATACAGCAGTGGCACCAGAGGAAGATGGTGCTTTCAGTGCGGCACATCCTCCGAAGCTTATTGCTGGCTCGACTTATGTTCCCAGCGACTTCGTTCACTCCCACTAGAAATGGCGTCATCCCAGCAACGCACCAACAACGGCCACAACAAGAAAAACCAAAAGTTCTTCAAATGGCCCTCGATGCAAGCCTCCTGACAGACTTGAGCACTGCTTATTCGATGCTTCTCCAGGATCACTATTATCCAACACAATCTCTTACCGGTGGCATTTGCTCGTTCATGGGTGATGCAGTTGCACAAACTGTGGACCGAAATGATAATGAAGACTCTTATGATTCCAAACGAGGAGCGGTTTATTTTTGCAAGGGCCTCGGTGGAGGAATCTTGTGGAGTTGTTGGTTTGAAAGTGTCGACCCTATCGCCAATCAATTGACAAGTGCTTTACTTCTGGGGCAAAGTTCTTCACCATCAGTGGAACAGGCCACAAGAACTGCCGTTTGCATTTTGCTGGAGCAGTTCTTCGTGTCTCCTCTATTTTTCTCGATTTGGGATATCCCATTGCCAGCCTTGCTACAAGGCTCTCCCCCGTATCAAATGCCAGCACAGATTCAAGAAAAGTTACCGCCTCTGTTGGTAGCTAATGCCAAGGTTTGGACGTAGGTGTCATTTTTGTGGACAATGTTGCAAGTCGTGTCTATCAGCTAACAATTTTTTTGAAACAGTCCTGTTAACTTGATTACCTACAATATTCCGCCGGAATACCGTGTGTTATTTTCAAGTTCTGGTAGGTTTTCAACGAAGGCCTTCTTCTTGCCTTGATGGTCTAGATGGCTAACGACTGTACTTTCTATCCTTTCTCAACTGTAGCAGATATCTTTTGGCAGGCTATTAACGCTGCCATCACTTCGAGAGAAATCCAGATGACAGATGTTGCCACAGCAGGAATGGCTACCACCCAACTACAATCTGAGCTTGTGAAAAGTAATACTGCACCAGCAGAATCATCATCTGTCCGATGATCCAACAACGTTTTGTCGTCGACAATTTGGACATGAACGATGAAGTCCAAAAACAATTCTCGGGGAACACCCCGATCTTTCTACGGTCCAGATACCGACTTCAGTAGTTTGGTACACAACAAAGCCTTGCTTTAACTGATTTTACTGTACATGAAAGTACGACGACGATGGGCAGCATGCGATATCGTGCCACTTGAGAAAACGAGATGATTTGGCAAGAGTGCTATTTCGTTGACGAAAGCAGGGGCCGATTATACAACAACTTCTAGCAACTATTGTTGTAGGTGCCACTCTCACAAAAGCGTTTTCTTTTTAAATCTTTCTGGAGCGTAGTTGGAATACTGTTCATCTTCATCCGAAATACTGTACTAATCCCGGTAGGATAATGTTTATGACATCGTACGTGTACCGGTATGTTCAACGACTCATTCAGTCACGCTTCGAGCTCGCGCGCATTTGTCGTAGAACTCTGGTAGGAATTACACTAATAAAAAGATGTCAGGAATGCAAACGGCTACTTTTTGGGGTGGTAACGGTATTTTGTGAAGTTCATACCACCTTCACTCTCAACAGGACAACCCTATTTGACAATCATTGGTTGAGAAAATGATGCTCCGAAACGATGAGGGGTATCAGGATATGCTCCATAATCGTGATGAGGCATGCTCAGCTACCAAGGGGCGACTTTCCGTTTCAATTGGATCCAGATCGAAGTCACCAAGAGTGGTCGGGTGGAAGGGAGAAGCAGTAGAGTCCTTTCGGCCTATCAACATTGAAGTGAGGTCAGACGAGAACGTGACAAGTCCTTTAAACAGCGCTACCTCATTTCGGTCAGGCAAGATGTTCTGGCAGAAACTTCTAGAGGAGAAACATGATGATGTGCCTGCCTTGTCTCCCAGCAGTGGATCAGAAAGTAGTACATCAGAATACGCCGAAATTCATGTCACAGGCAGTACGGTGTCATCCATTACAGATCATAGTGGTTTCGGAGGATTGAAGATTCCATTGAAGAGCCCATTGTCAGTGGATATCCCATCCTCGTCCACATCTCTCCACAGCTTGTCCGTCTCAAGCATTGACAACCGTCGTCCAAGTCGTGACACCAACAGTCAAGAAATGAATAATCCTCCAAGTAATGACGATATCGATCCCCATCAGAGGTTGAGCAATCAAGGAATGAGTAAATTTGGAGACGGAAAGAAACGTGCACCATCACCAGTAGCCTATCCATTCGGAATGCTGCCAGCGAAATCCCCTCGATTCAAGACGATGAGTGAATCATCGTTTGAGTCACCAAAGGCGAGCTTCGATGATGAAAACGACAAGCATGATATGCCCGCAATGGGAACTCCTGTTATAGAACAACATTTGAGCACCTCCTGGGCAACAATAGCCAACGAAAACAAGGTGAAGGTTGTTCGGTCGTTTGTTCCTCTGTCAGCATCGAACAAGAAGGACAGTTTTAAGAGCGCTTATAGCGCCTGGCAGCGAGCTGGATTGATGAAAGAAAATCGTGACGACAATGACCATACTAGAGAGCAAGATAATGTGAGGGAACAGGTTGTTGCTCCGTCACCTCGAAAGGTCGTTGTTTCCCCTCGATTGGTGCAACAGGTGACCGAGACAAGGGATTCTGAACTTGACGAAAGCGTACCTGAAAGCACCCAAGTTCTCAAAGGTGAAGATGTCGTCCAGCACTACAAGGCCTGGCAGCGCGCGGGGCTGATGAAAAAGGACGCAGGGCTAAAATCTAAAATGAGATTGCCATCAAGACAAAGCGAACATCCCAGAACGAAGCCAACAAAGACAGAAAGGCGGCAAGCATCTGGAGTCGTCAGAAAGGCCCCAGATACGCTCGGAAATCCATATAGGGTTTGGCAGAAAGTAGGACTAATGAAATCTGGGCTTCGTAATGAAGATCGCCAATTTCGACCATCTAAACCAAGGGCCTTACCCATGGCGCCATCGACGGCTGCCAATGTCCGACAAGTCCACAAACAAAAGACCGGAAAACGCACACCAACAGAGAAGAGATCTAAACCAATGGTCTTGCCTATGGCGCCATCGACGGCTGCCAACGTCCGACAAGTCCCCAAACAAAAGACTGGACGACGCGCACCAACCGAAGAGAGATCTAAACCCATGCCATTGCCATTGGCACCATCCACGGTTGCCAACGTTCGAGAAGTGCGCAATCAAGAACCCTTTGAGCGTAGACCAATAGATGAGAGTGAAGATCACGATGACGAATTCACGAATATTCTTAACAACATCCGGCACAACAGTGACACAAAAGAGAACAGTCCCTTGGGTTCGCAAGAAGGGAGCCTTTCGAAGAGCTCGCATGATAGGAATAAAACAGAGTGTGATTCGGTTTCCTCGCATCATCGACGTGCAGGTGTAGGAGGGCTGTCAATTCAAACAGCAAGCGCCAATGGGAGTACCATCGACTTTTTTGATCAAATGAGGGAACAGCTGAGTCCCCGTGCAAATGTTCGCAGCAGTCCAGCATCAAGTGGACAGGACCAAAACACATTGGGAAAAGACGAGCTTTACCCGAAGTCACCAGCGAATTCGTCTTCGATATTCCGAACCTCAGACTCCAAAGCAAGCGGGCATCAAGGATTTGAGGCTACAATCCGGGCTGGAAAGGAGAAGCTGCATTCTTGGGAAGAGAAAAGTCCCGAAAGTCGAAATCGCCCAACGTCAACTCACTTTCAACAGATTTGCAAATCGATTGAGTCTTCAGATAAGACGGAAGGTCCACTAGCAAATCTTGGAGGTAACCGAGCCATCGTCCTTTTGGAGCGAGACAACAAGTATGAAGTGTTGGTTGGCCAAACAAATCATTCGTCAAACCAGCAAGAACTTGTTCTTAAGAACCTTGAGGTCATTGCTTCAGAAAAAACAGCGGAGGTAGAGGCTGAATGCGACGGGGCTTGCCAATGCTCACAATCTATATTTAGCGGGAACGACAATCTTATTGACTTTTTCTTGCCTCAAATGGGTATGGCATGTACATGTCGAGAGCAACATTGGAAATGCGCAAATCCAGACGACCCAACTGCGATCGAAAATGTCTTGCGCCCTTGGCAAGTTCAATTTCTGCATCGTTTCGGCATTACGCACGCAGAGGAGCTGGTGAAGGCTCGTCACCGGAGTGTTGGTATATTGGGCAAAGCCATGAGGCAGTGGAGAATAAAGGAGGGGATGCAGACTTTCCGTACCAGTAGTTGCATTATGGCGTTGGACATTTGGAGTAAAACATGCAAGGCGTACGTGAGATCTATTCGAAAGCAACTGGGAACCAAAGATGGTCCGCATGGAACAAGAGAAATGCCTCGAACCTTGATTCCTCAGATTTCCAAGTTTCTTATGGAAAATCCTCCGGCTCAAACTCCACAAAAATCATTCGATACTATTTTGGCATGATCCCACCACCTAGCAATCATTTGGGTATGATGAAAATTAGGAGCAACACAATTGTAGCTTGTTCGTCCCTTGATGCTCCAGGATGTCCACCAAACAAACCTCATATCGATTCTGAAGTGAGTTCGAGCAGCCTTCTGTATATTTGTTGTCATATGCAGAGCTGACATTTATCTCTATTGCACATACATAGGCAAGAAGCATCGATACAACACGTCGAGCATGTATTTATGATCATACTAATGGGCCAATCGTGTGGCCTATACTATCGGGCAGTCTCCGCAGTGGGGCGGGGCCGAACAAAGTGTTGTTTTCGAATTGTATATTATGACTATCACTTCTTTTCCATCATAGTCTAACGCTTCTGTAGGAAATAGTATCTGAACGAAACACATTCTTAAAAATCATGAAGGTACACAGCCACTAGCATAATAGAAAACAACTGGGGGATAAGCAAGAATCAATCATGGGCTCAAATACTGTTGGGCAAATCACGATTCTCTGACTTTGAAATTGTTGACTGTGTGATAAGATACAATTACATTTCTAGAACTGAGCACATTGACACGAACATTGAGCTCGTCTTCAGCATTGAGTTGCTCGAGTCATGAATCCAAGAAAGTCTTCCCCAGTTCCCTTGGAAATTAATTTCCATTTTGAAAGTCTTTGTCAAATAACTTTCCATTCTGTATTATTCCTTTTCATGATGCTGAATGAATGAATGAATCAATCCGGTGAACTGAATTAGTTCACGCGCTCCAGTGCCTCGAACTGTACGATACTATTCCCTCGGATCACCACCTGTCCGAGATAGATCCCTGTGCCATCTTGCTCTGCATCTTCCACGACAACGTTCAGAAAGGCGTCGTACCCTCGCAGAGTACCAATCAACTTTCTGTTCCCGTTCAGTAGAAGCTTTAACCGCTTGTCCTAACGATGAAAGGCATCAACGTTAGTGAAAATTCTATTTATGCTCATGGCGAACGACAA